TGCGCATACTACCAGCGCTTCGTCGCAAACTTCGCACGCATTGCAGAGCCACTCACGCGCCTGACGAAAGAAAGCACCCCTTTCAGCTGGGAAAACGACCAAGAAAAGGCATTCTGCGAGCTGCAACAACGCCTGCAAAACCCGCCCGTGCTCGCTCATTTCGACGAAAACGCCGAAACGGAAATGCACACGGACGCCAGTGATATCGGTTTGGGTGACGTCCTCGTCCAAAAGCAAAGCGGTTACGAAAAGGTAATCGCCTATGCAAGCCGTAGTCTGTCGAAGGAGGAGAGAAACTACTCTGCCTCCGAGAAAGAGTGCCTGGCTATCATATGGGCCATTTCAAAATTTCGCCCATACGTCTATGGTAGACCGTTTAAGGTTGTGACAGACCATCATGCGCTGTGTTGGCTCGCCAATTTGAAGGACCCCTCTGGCCGTCTTGGGCGGTGGAGCGACGTTACAATATTCTACAAATCCGGCAGGAAACACTCCGACGCCGACTGCCTGTCCCGCGCCCCCGTCGACGCACCACCACGGGACTCCGATGAAGACAGCGCGTTCTTCGGAGTCGTGACAGAGAGCGACCTAGCCGCCCAGCAGCGTGCCGACGCTGACCTCCGCGCCATGATCGACTACCTCGAAGGACGCAACGTCGCCGTGCCTAGGGCGTTCAAGTGCAACTTACCAGCGTTCAGCCTCAAAAACTCCATCCTAGTGAAGAAGAATTTCAACCCCGGAACGAGAACAGATTATCTACTTGTCATCCCCGCAGTCGTGACGAAATTTTGGAAGCATGCCACGACGACCCGTCTTCCGGACATCTCGGAACAGCTCGCACGATTACAAAAATTAAGGCGAAATACTTCTGGCCTCGCCTTACATCCGATGTCACCCACTACGTCCGGAGCTGCCGTGACTGCCAGCGACGAAAAACACCACCGACGAGACCCACCGGACTTCTGAAGCCGATCGCCGTCCCAACGAGGCCTTTCCAACAGATCGGAATGGACCTTCTGGGCCCGTTCCCTACATCCCGATCCGCGAACAAATGGATTGTCGTAGCGACAGACTACATGGCGCGCTACGCAGAGACCACCGCTCTTCCGAGGGGAACTTCACAAGAAGTTGCAAAGTTCTTTATTAACCAAGTTGTGCTGCGACATGGAGCCCCTGAGGTCCTAATCACAGACCGCGGAACGACCTTCACTGCGGAGCTCATGCAAGGAATCTTACGCTACAGCAACACGGATCACTGAAAAACGACGGCGTACCACCCCCAAACGAACGGACTAACGGAACGGCTGAATAAGACAATCGCGGATATGCTGTCTATGTACGTCGACGTTGAACATAAGACGTAGGACGAAGTCCTCCCGTACGTCACATTTGCGTACAACACGGCTATCCAAGAAACCACGCAGATGACACCGTTCGAGCTCGTCTACGGAAGACGGCCGACTACGACGCTCGACGCCATGCTTCCGCACGTAGAAGACGACGACCTCAATGCCGACGTCCAAGGATACCTCCAACGTGCGGAGGAGGCCCGCCAGTTCGCTCGAGTTCGTATAACGGACCAGCAACTGGTGGATGCCGGACGCTACAATCTCCGACGCCGAGTACCATCCTGGAGATCGTGTGTGGGTTTGGACTCCCATTCGACGACGTGGACTCAGTGAGAAACTTCTACGACGCTATTTCGGACCCTACCGGATTCTACAACGTGTTGGCGAACTAACGTACGAAGTGATCCCCGACGGTGACTCCCGTACATCACGACGACGCACGCGGCCCGAAGTCGTCCATGTGGTTCACTTAAAACCTTTCTACGGACGACGACGAACTTTTATTTTAATTTGTTTGGACTGTCCCTTATGTTAGCATCGGGTCGATGCACTCTTAGAGGGGGGGTAATGCCGCGAACCATGCATTGGGTTTGTTTATTTGTGTTTTGCTTTTTCGGCCTGTGCTATCACTGTTTTCACAGCGTTTCGAACAAACGCTATCACAGCGTTTCGAGCGTTCCGAACAAACAGCGTTTCAAACAAACGCTATCACAGCGTTCTCGATACAATTAGACTATTCGAGAAACGCTCGTGCCGAGGGATATAAGTTCCCGCACAGCCAATGCCGCGACATCCGATCACCGACGCTCACTAGCGTGCACGTCGTTTTGCCGACCGCTGCTTCGCCGCCTGTGTATTCTTTCAGTTGTTAGGGGAGCACAAGCTCGCTCCAATAAACTTGTTTTCCTTATAGACAACTGCGTCGTCCTTTGCTGCGTGACAATATTAATATATTGCTGTGGCCCACGCCACCAAAGTAGCAGCGCCTCCCCCCCCCTCCCCGTGTTTTAAACAGTGCTTATGTTGTGCCTCTTTTATTAAAATTTGTTGAAGCAGCCGAGGAAAATATTATGCGAGGCAGATAGAAACTTCACGTGGTGCGTGCCGCGGTAATGCCGGTCATCACTTTTTTTTTTTGCGCAAGTTCTGACACTTTTTTTTTACCTTCTAATATACTGCCACGTTCCACTTTCCAAGTTTTGTTATCGTCCCAACAGCGGGCCGACCCGGAACTTAAGGCCCTAATAAAATACCTCGAAGGCAGGACCACCGAAGTCCCGAAGGTATTCAAGCGCGCGCTTGCGTCGTTATTTTTGCGAAATGGTCTTCTTCAAAAGAAAACTTTTCACCGCTCCGAGCCAAGTACCTCCTTGTGGTGCCTTCAGCTCTGCGACCAGAACTCCTGCAGGCCCTGCACGATGATCCGACGGCAGGGCACTTCGGTGTTTCTCGCATTTCGCGAGGATACAAGAAAGGTACTACTGGCCACGTTTTACCACCGACATCACTCGTTATGTGAGGACATGCCGGGACTGTCAACAACGTAAGGCACCGCCGACAAGGCCAGCGGGACTTCTGCAGTCAATTGAACCACCTTGCCGACCTTTCCAGCAGATTGGTATGGACCTACTGTGGCCGTTCCCGACGTCGTCTTTCGGAAACAAGTGGATCGTGGTAGCTACCGACTACCTCACCCGCTACGCCGAGACAAAAGCTCTTCCCAAAACTGCAGGCGTGGTTTGCGCTGAGAATTGTGTAGTGTTTTGGGACGATAACAAAACTTGTGAAATGGAACGTGGCAATACTTTTGTTGTACGCTAATGTTCAGTGGAGTCCCTGAAAATGATGGAGACTGTGTTAGAGAATTAATTGACACTTTTTTTTTGTAAATCCTGGCCCCGCAACTCGGACCGATCAGCTATACTTCAAAGTAAACTAATATTGTTTTGCATCTATTTTCACAGTTTGTTTAAATGCAATACCCTAATTTCCGCGATCGCCATTACGATTTTAACGGCTTCCATGACATGCTAATTGTGCACGCAGTGGTCGCAGACAAGTTTGTATGTACATTATCTTGGTAAGCTATCTCTGCAGATAAGTGCTTGGCTATGGCACTTACCCGTAATGAAGTTACACCTTAAGACGCTAATATTACCGAGTTTCTTCAAGTAGTTTTTGTTAACCCGTGCCAGCCAAACACGCCGGCACTTTTTGGAAAAGCGCAATGTGCGTTCTATATTTTAGGTAATAACTTTCGGCGAAGAACTGCGTGACGCACGTGTGGAGCTAGCGAAACAGGCGTCAGCACGCTGAGTGTAGCATGTAGTCATGTTTTAAATGACACGCATATCATATTATGTTTGGACATGTAATTTACCTTCGTCGTCCGTTCACGTCACGTAATACTAAATTTCGTATGCATGTGGAGCCAGCAAAACGGCCACGAGCACGCTATGAGTGTAGCATGTAGTCATGTTTTACATGACACGCATATCATGCATGATTATTATGTTTAGACGTCATTTACCTTCGTCGTCTATTCACGTCACATGGTACCAAATTCGGTATATGTGGAGCTAGCGAAGTGGCTGCGAGCGCGCTATGAGCGTAGCGCATGTGGTCATGTACATGACACGCATTTCATAATTATCATGTTTGGATAGATAGATAGATAGATAGATAGATAGATAGATAGATAGATAGATAGATAGATAGATAGATAGATAGATAGATAGATTAGATAGATAGACAGATAGATAGATAGATAGATAGATAGATAGATAGATAGATAGCTAGATAGATAGATAGATAGATAGATAGATAGATAGATAGATAGATAGATAGATAGATAGATAGATAGATAGATAGATAGATAGATAGATAGATAGATAGATAGATAGATAGATAGATAGATAGATAGATAGATAGATAGATAGATAGATAGATAGATATGCTCAAGGTCACCGAAGTATGCTTCGCATTTAAAAAAAAGTGGCTGCACCAGTCTCCGCTCTTTTTTGCTTCCTTTCTGCTCTTCAATGGCGGCATGCGGAGAAGCTAGCTGCACGTGCATGTAGGACAAATCGGATAGCTGACTTCTCCGCTGTACTTGACGCACGCCGAAAAATAGGCGTTTGCATTCAAGATGTACATCTGAAATTAAAGAAAAAATTGTCGCACACGTGGATGTCTGTCACGGCTTTTAGTTGGCCAGCTGGTGGGCAGGAGCGCGCCGTAAGTACAAAGCAAATATTGATTTAGAACGAAAAACTCCGTGCTGGAGAAGTTCAATAGCGACAATTTAACAGAGGCTTAAATAGATGAACTGCGAAAGTTGTTGAGGAAGGAGCGGCGACGGAGCCTCATGTCTACACGCGCGGTGACCCATGCAACACGAGCGTCACGCGCGGAGTGCTCCACCGGTTGCATAGAACAAAGATAAAAGACTGCCGGCCCCAATGCGATTGCTATTTTTGCCACCTGTCAAAAACACAGCAAGTAGGCAGCGTAAGCGCTGAATGCAGTACTACAGTAGCAGTACTTGCAAATCGGGTTTCTTTCCTTTTTCTCTCGCGCACGTGCGAAACTGTTTCTGCTGGTGGCGCGTGAATCGGCGGCCACTTTCATGCTCTCCCCCCCCAAACAGAAACATGGCTAACCCGTGGTGATCGGCAGCGCTCGCGCTGGCGTTTTCTCGGCGCCGTTTAGAACAAATCGCCGCTTCCCCGCTCTGCGAGCAAACATGGAAGGTGTGCTGTGGAAATGGACCAACTACTGGAACGGTTGGCAGCCGCGCTGGTTCATCCTGGACAAGGGTATCCTCACGTACTACAAGTCCCAAGACGAGGTGGGTTGGTCGGTGTCGCGCGACAGAGCACCGGTGACCGAAGCTGAGCGGCTGTTTCGCTGTCAAGCGCATATGTGACGCATTCCTGGTCGCGACGGCCTGTCATTTTTTGACGTCAGCCACCTGCGCTACGTACCGCCTGATTGTAGAACGACTATGATGCCACTCAGCGCTACGATCACGGTCGTTCTTTCATTCGCGCACCGAAACAGCTGGCTAAGTTTCGTTTCGCTTTTAAACGCTCCCAATAGGTCGCCCCCCAGAGTGTGGCTTTAAAGGCAATGTCGAGTGCACGAACCTACGCTGATCTCTGTGCGCATCATTTAAACGCAATGAATGGATCCCCAACCTGATATGAACGAAGGAAAGGCGGTAAAATGATGTGAATATAAAGGTATATTCCGCTGCCTGCTTATTCTTACAGAACACCTGAATACGTGATCTAATGTGAGAAGAATAACGAAAGGGCACTGCGACACTTGATTTATGCCGAGACTACATTGTCCTATGCTGTATTATGATGTTGGGGAACTGCTGTTAAATGTGAAAAGATTCAACGAATGACAGTCAAACATCAATTATACATGGAACTACATTTCCCTGTGCGAATGCACTACAGAATTGATGATTGCTCAGCATTATGTGATGAGATAAAAAATGGCATTGCAAAATATGATTTATAGGTGGAATGTGCCTGCATATAATACGTAACTGCTGAATTCATCATGGCCCGAGCTAACCCGACTTCCCTCCCTGTGTGCGTTACTTATCGAAAACGGTATGAAATGTTGAAGAAATGCAAGCCTCAAACACATGTAAAACTTGCAGCAGTTGTGAAGGTTGCTTTTAATGTTTGCCCACACTGATTACGATTTTTGTGTCTGATGGTAACTTTCACAAATAATGACTTTTCGATGTATAGCATGCTTGCTTCAGATTCATTGCGAAAATATGTGGTGTAAGGTATAGTCAAGGTTCTCCACAACGCTGATAGGAAACTGAATTTGTTTACGATTGCTGCATCGCAGTGAGCTCCTTAGGTCACTCAATGCATGTGAGCTTTGTAGCTGTAGAAAAGATTTTATCAGACACAGTATTACAGCTAGGAAGTCTGGAAAGGAAAACTTTTTTTAGCTTGCTTGTAGCGATATTGAGAACTAGCTTGTTGGGTGCACCAGTATCTACACTTGTGAAGACCAGACACAATGCAAGAACTAAATCCACTTGAGATTTTCAAAACCGACTGGGAAAAAAAAATGTTTGTTGTAATGCCAGTTGTATTTTGTTGTGTTTTGAAGGTAGTTGCAATAAACACTGTTTGTTTCACTCAGTCTGGCAAGTTTCAGAGGTTGTGCTTCGGATTAAACAACAATGCGGTAAACAGATAAGTCATTGTTGATGCTGATAAGTCATTGTTGACGCTGATAAGTTTTGTCAGCCCTGCCAGGTTGATATCCTGTTTGGTATCACTTGAAACAGCTTGTATGTGAAGTAGGTCTTAGTCATACCTTTGTTGGAGCTTTGTCACATGTACTTCCTCAGGCTATTGCACGCTGTAGCTCTATGCCATCTTTACGGTCATTCCCCAGCCATTATATAATAGTGATGACACCATGCCACAATTGTTATGCCATAAAATTAGCACCTAGTAGGATGCAAAAAAAAAGGCACCACAGCTAATTTCTATCCCAGTATGTTCGCTTCTGAACATTTTTTGCTGTGTTACCGTGACGTGACCGCAAACTGAACAGTTTACCACCAAGCAGGCATTTCCGTACCTGCTAAAACTAACAGCAGCACAAACACTGCAAGCGGGACTAGAACAACAACGAATAACACTCTTACTCCCTTTTCCTGTTTTTGCTTTTTGTGTGTGTGATTTCATTAAGGTTTCTCTCGTAACACCAACTTGTCCGCAGAATTGTTCTCTTAATTTTACCATCATTGCAGTCTATGAGAGGTCAAGTAAATTAATTAAATGCACGTGTACATTCTTGCTCATGTGCAGATGGCTAGGTGGTACCCTTCAGTCCAAAGGCACAACCTGGAGCTGAAGCACCTTGCTGGTGCAATTGTTTTTTCAACCAGAAGAAGTAGAATAGATCTCTCTGTCGTCAACATTTTCATTGCAGAAATTCGAGCAAACTTCTATCCAATGGTACTTGTACCTTGTACCATTGTACCCAATGGTACACAGTACCGAAAAATGCAGGAAACAAAAAGCTGAAATTCGTTCTAAGTATTTTCGTTCCTTACAACCGTTGATCTTTTCATGTTATCAGGTGGCACTTTCAAAACACAAACACTAAAGAAGGACTGCATTCGAGACTTCCACCAAATAGTTCATTTTTCACGTGGTTCTCGAACGCACAGTTCTGGGCTTGTTGCAGTGCGGTAATTCAGCTGAACTGTGATGCAGCTTGGCTGGTGGAAGTTGAGGACGCGCTGGCCCACTTCGTGCACTGGTTCAAACTTCTTCATTCTTTTTTCATTCACTTACTCATTTCCCTGTCACACTAAGCTATGCTTTCTTTAAAATTATATGGAAATGAGCTTGTTCGTTCTTGATAAAAGTAAAAGACAGCGCAATAAAATTACGACTCTGAAGGCTGATCCTTGTCTTTGATCTTGTAGTTTTATTGCACTGCTTTTTTTATATATGACCATGCTTTCTTAGCACTATAAAGGTAGGGGGTAGCAAGCCAAGTGGCGCACCAGGCCCAGCCTCCTCTCCCAAAACGTGTTTTTTCTTCGCCATGGCGTAAAGAATGAAAAATGACCATTACAAAGGGGTGCCCCTCCTGTAATCATAGTCGTGTCCCCCCCACCCCCCCAAAAAAAATTTTGTGGCTATGCGCCTGTAAGATAGTGTTTATCATCTTAACTGTGCCTCACCCATTTTATTTTTACTTAGAGGGCATTGTTCAGCAAGTGTCTGTCAGTTTCTCGTAGATGTGCACAATTATCAAAAATATTAACTTCTGATTTTTTATGCCTACAGTTAATTTTATTAATATCAACAGTAATATAAGCAAGAAGTACACTGATCCAAACGTCCTGACTGCTACATCTGTTAGCCACTGATAGCTCTTCATAGTGAAGTGCCCAATTAGGCAGGTTGTAGCTTTTGGCGGCCTGCCTACCACCAGGGTACAACATTTCCCTGGAAAGTGAGAGTTCAGAAAGATGTCAACGTTGTGCTTTCATTGTGAAGTTGTCATGCCATGCTTGACTACAAAGTTTGGCCCGGTACGTTCAAAGTGCCATCTTCTACCGGCAGCATGTGTTTTCTTTGAACGTCTGTGGGTGCCCGGGTGTTTTAATGATCTTGAAAAAGCTGCTAAGACTGAAAACTCACACAAACCTGAGAAAAATTGAGAGGCACACCACAGCACTGGAATCTTAAGTCTGTAGAAAATTTTCCCTTTTTAGTTTCTTCAAGATAGTCAAAAAGTATTACTGACTAGCCCTTGCTGATTTTTTTTAACTCTTAGACACGCTACGTACAGACTTGTGTACAACCCTTGTATTTGCTATTTGTTCTCACTAGGGGCTATAATATAACAAGATAAATTGAGGTTATGGTGAATGTAATCTCCGGCATAATAAATTTGTCATCATACAACTTCATTTTGCAGGGTACTGTTACATATGATCAGTTTACTGAAGGCACTAACATATTCATCAATCCATGCGACGTGCCGCTCCCGTGACCCATGTCAAAAGTATGATTTTTCTTTGCTCAGCGTGGACATAACCGAAAATTAGTTTGTACTCCAACCTGAGATTTCATTTGATTTAGACGGAAGCAGAGCACGAATGGCTTTAGAATAAATATGACCAATCATTAAACGAGGGGCAGGTGCTGGAACCGATGTTTCAAGAAGCAGCATTGTCTTTTTCAACGCTGCAACTGTTTTTCTTCGTGCTTGTGTGTGTATGCTTTGTACCCTCTCCTCCAAACCAAGCAGAGGAGGAGGAGGAGAAAGCAACTGCAAATTAAGAGGCAGGGCAGGGGCAATTGGGGCGAATGAGAAGGAGCGAAAAAGGTTTGCCGTGAAAAAAAGTGGGGTTGGGGGGGGGGGGGGGGTACATGTGTTGCTGATTTATAAGTGTCGGAAGAAAGCGCCACCTAACAGTGGTAAGTTAGAAATTTTTAGAAGAAAGTCTTTAACTTGTCAGTTTTCGTGTGGTGTGTAACATATCGCGTGGAATCAAGGACCCCTTTTGAAACGTTCATGCCTGCTCGCTGAAGTGTGTAGACTAGTGAGCGACTTACTACTCTCTAAATAGGTATTTAACTACAAAGAAAATTACGAATAATTACTACAACACACATAAATTATTATGACTTTATTTTTGTTGCAATATAATATTGAGTGCCTTGAAATAGCATTGTATCAATTTGATGCACTTACAGATAGTTCTTCATAGCTGGCATCTGAAAGGGTCAACCACCTGAGTGGGAAAGGGAGAGAGAGAGCGATATTATCGAAAATAAATTGTTAAAAATGCTCTAAGCGTAATGGTGGTATGCGTAAATGCCTTTGGCCATCTGTCCGCATATTTCAAAGGAATAAGAAGATATACTAGCATTTCCTCTTAACAGTCAGAGGTCTTTTAGATGCTCTCTTAAGGGGCATTCATCGACAGTGACAGCTGTCATTCCTCACCAACTGGTAGCCTCTTACATGGACATTTGACAAATGTTTTAGATGCAAAGCAGCTCTTTGACTAGCCTGTGTGATGCTGTCCCTTCATGCGAATGCACCGCAGGTGTTAGCACAGTGCCAAGTCACGGCGCTCTCGCTGCGACGTCCCCAGCTGCTGCCTCATCCGTTCGCCCGCAACTCCTGCCACGACTGCCGCTCGCTACATCGTCAACTCATTGGTTCACACGGAATCACACGGAATAAACCTGAGGCGTGCCTGTTGTACGTGTTCGAATATGTCTGTAGGCGTCACGTACAAAACCTACTCCAGCCATCGTATCAAACGAATCTTCCAGCGCACACCGCAGCACCCGCGTTAGCGCCGTTCAACCCGCGACGTCACCCGTGTGCAACGCTACTGCTTCGCATCCCACCAGGGTTCCCTTCGGGGAGTTGGTCCTAGTTTTTAGTCATAAAACAAGTAATTCTAACTTAGTCAGATGCATGGCTCATGTGCACCCTGTTTTTCTATTATTATGCACGAGCAGTGTTCTGAGGCTCAATAATTCACATTTTAAATTACATCACAGATTAAACTCCGTTACAATTCCTGGCTTAGTCTTAATGGCTGACCAGTGGAACGTCACCAGCAGTGGTGCGCTCCGCCAGGTGATGGCCAATGAATGAAAACGATGCTTTTCTTGGTTCGTTAACAAGTTCTGGTTTTGATGCCCATAATATAATAACCTGGATGATTTTTCAGTGCTTCATTTATACTATTAGTGTGCTTTGCCGTGGCCTCGGCAACAATGGAGCCTGGTGTACTTCTAGATGGTCCATATAAGCGCATCATAGCCTAAGGAGCATCTACAGTTCATGTCAGGCATACTGGATTTACAGCACTGCACTTTCTTGGGGCATACACACTAAACGAAATTTCACGGTTCTGAAAACAAATGCACTGTGAATAGACACTGCGAGTGGTTAGTGATTGTGTAAATATATTCTTGTTGTAGCAACCGTTCATTGTAATCACTTCACTATCTTGAATGAAGGACTGTTTGTAATCGGTTAAATTTAGTTTTTCTGAAGTGTGTTAGAGGTGTATACTGAATCCCATTGCCTTCTCGAATGGTGGCAGCACTGTCATAACCCTCCAATGTTGTGATGTGCAAAACTGTGTTCCGAAGATTTAGTTCTTCAGATGTAGAGCAGTTTTCATTATAGGCACCACGCAATGTCTCCACACCAGGTGAACCAGGGCTGCAAGGGCTCGGTGAAGGTGTCGGCATGCGAGATAGTGGTGCACCCGACCGACAACCGACGGCTGGACCTGGTGATTCCATCGGAGCAGCATTTCTACCTCCGGGCGCCCACGCCGTCTGAGAGGCAGCAGTGGCTGGTGGCCCTGGGTAGTTCCAAGGCGGCTACGGCAGCGGCTGGCAGCCACGCAGCGCAGCCAATCCGACTTGGAGGTGGCGGGGGTGACCCTGAGGGCGGCCTGCGAGCCAAGAAGGCCGAGTTGCGGCTCTACTGCGACCTCCTTATGCAGCAGGTTTGTAGCAAAAAAGTTTTGGCACACTGGCACGTGCGTATTGTATAATTACAAAAGCAATTACTGACACTCTAGTGGCAATTTCAGCGTCAAAGCCATGTTTCGTGTATATGTATTCATGCTCCCCTTCTCAGCTGCAGCTCACTTCATAGCATGAAAAGTAATTTGGAATCAACACTCTTTTGTTAATAAAAGTGGGTCATGTTAGAGTTCTGGCAAACAAATGTATATTAAAAGAAGGCACATTGAAGCACGGGCAGTGCTTCACAACATGGTGGCCATGGCATGACTGATGTCAATTCCATAGGTTCTGGAAAAATTAGTGTACCGGCACATTTCATGCGAACGAGTTGATGCTGTGAAATAGGAAGGAAGGGCAGTGAGCACCTGGCTCAGCTTGTTTAGCCTAGATGTGTCCCTATGTCACAGAACCCACACATTTCATGGGGCATTAGCCTACAGCCCCAATAAGCAGGTGTCTCTGCAGAATATTATCACATTGCAACAGTGAAAAACACTCCTATTCGAAGCTGAGAGCTCATTAAAGAATGATCTCTTCATTTGGTTTGGAAAACTCGCATTCAGAAAACCGGAGAAAGCTCACAGTCCAACTGTTGAAAACACTGCTCAGCGCAGACAAAAGTTTACAGAGAATTTTATTGAAACATGTCAGCTTGTGCATAGGTCACTATACATTGCAGCATAATCACCGGTGCTTGTCCTAGTTCAAGAATGTGTGCTGCTGTTTGCTTTGTGCGTGCAATTGCATTTGTGATTACATTTGAGAAGCTTTTGATACATCAGGACCCGGCTCTTGCCAAGATATCCCATAAGTGCCTGTAGCTGATAGAGCAAGGCCACTGTGAAAAGATGTATTCGTATCACTAGCTCTCAAAATCGACGGCACAGTTTTATTACTCTGGTAAAATTGCAGGGGCCTTTGCTTGTTTATTCGTCTACAGGGTTGTCAGTATAAGTGCTTGCCAACATTCTCTTCGCCTTCGTTTACGTGTTGTTAAGAGGTCCTCCTAAGTATTCTTGAATACTGTGGACCTTGCATGAAACTTAACAACAACAAAAAGAAAGCTTTGTTACTTATTTTCGCCACATGACTTTAAGACCTGGCACTTGCAACATTGCAGCTGCTTGAGTCATGTACGCTGCAGTTAGTAATGCTGGGCTTATTTATTGATAGGTTTCGTTTGCTCTTCTCTATAGATATTTTAAAGTGTGGTATTCTGTCTCAGGTGCACACCATCAAGACCTCACAGAATGGAGGGGAGGAAGAGGCTGCCAAGGCAGCTGAGGCAGCTGACCTGCTGCGGGCTACCTGCGACACCTTCATTGCTACACTAGAAGACTGCATGCACCTGGCCGACGCAAACTTCACCTACGAGCTGCCCCACCAGGAGGTTCGGGACTCCGCACTGCCACACGAGACCCCACCACTCGTCGCACCTGTGGTTCCAAAGTCTTTGCAGAGTGCCCACCCTTCTTCCCGACGCCGAAGGAAGTCCAACTCCATCTCATCTTCTTCGACTACACCTGGGGCTGCCTCTTCTGCAGTGTCCATGATGGATAGTACCAGGCAGCAGCATGGTCAACGAGCTGACCACAACACTGATGCTGCATTGAATAGCCCCGGACTCATCCCATCCAGTGCGACATCACCAGGTTGCACATCGACTTCGTCTCTGTCTTCTGCTGCCACCAACCACGTGACGTCACCTGTTGATCTTGTGCCATTACCAGGCAGTGCAGAGCTTTCTGATCACGAGTCCTCACCTGCTCTCAATGGGTCCAGTGTAGCCTCAGTGAACCACCCTAGTCCAGTAGCCAATGGAAACCTTTTGAATCACCTAGGCCGGCCGCGCACCTTCTTCTCGGTGATGGAGCACAGCTTCAACGACCTCTCTCCTGCCACTGGCATTCCAACAGAACAGTTCCTGAACAGCTGCCGCTCCATCTTAGCCGTGTTCGATGTGCTTGGCTCGACGGCTTTTGTCCCAGGTCAAGATGGACATCCAGGGCAACATAGGCAAGCTACAAGCCAGGTACGAGACGGACCTGTCAAACTTCGACCAGCTCTTCGACATGGTGCGGCAAGAGATCGACTCGGGTGCCAACACCGCCCGCAACTCTGTGACCGATGCACTGCTATGGCTGTCCCGTGCACTGGCCTTTATCCATGCATTCCTGGAGCAGATCCAGTCGGGGAATGCAGTCCTCGCGGACTGCGCCTCTGTGGCGTACGCCACCACCCTCAAGTGCCACCACGGCTGGGTGGTGAGGAGCATCTTTGCCGTGGCGCTGCGAGCCATGCCCGAGCTGGAACCGTTTATAGAAGCCATGGCTCCGTCAGCCGAAGACTTGCAGCACCCGGACTACCGGAGGCAGCTGTTTGCCGATGGCGGAGCGTACGTGCAGGCCCTGCAGGAAGTGCTGGATGCACTCAACAACTTCTACGTTCAAAACGGACTCGAGCCACCTGTTCAGAAATCTTGAGCTCTTTGAAACCCTGTGCCCTTCGTGCGTGGGTCAACAGATCATCCCGTAATCGAGGCAGGAGCTCAAGATTTTTACAGCTGAGCAGGATGCCAATGCTGAACATGCACGAAGAATGGCAGACTGCATAGTTTGACTGGTAGTGCGTGTGCATGTGTGGGCAGGTTGCTTCTGCGTGCATGGTTGTAAGAATTTAAACACTGAGGCACTTTCCCTGGTATAGTCAAATCCCACCAGAGAAAGTGAGTTGCTAGTCCGTTCACCTGCTCGTCTAGGAGGTGCACTTTTCTAATAGTGCAGGTAGTTAGGTGAAATGACTTGTTGCCACTTGGCCCAACTTCTTATATTTTCTATTAGTTTACGATTCTGGCTGACTTGAGATTCTTGACTCTAATCGATTTGAATATTACGAAATAGTCCAAACTCGTCTGACATGCTAATACCCTGATAAAACGTCAAGTGTCATAAAAATGAGGATGTAGATAAAGCATTTATTTGCAGTATTGTTGGGCCAATGTTCATTAGAGTCAATCAAGAACAGGCAGCAAATAAAGACAAAATAAGGGCTGCATGCAATAGACAGAGCAGCTTTTTTGTCAGCTTCTTTCGCTCTCTGTACATAAGTGAATAGAGCACTTTAAAATTTAAGATAGCCTTGCAGGCTTTTGTTTTTTCTAAAATAAATCCTCTCCACATTTCACTGAAAGCTTTAGTTCCACTTGAATGCATTTATAACATGCCCTTCTTCATTGTTTTGTGGACAAAATGGTGCTCAGTAAATGAGCCTTGCAACGATAAATTTTTTGTTTGGGCACTGTGGAGGTGACACTACGAGCTGAGCACTTGTGGGTATTTTGAGAACTTTGTGATTGCGTGGTACGACCAAGTTTCTTTTTGATCTGACTGAGGTCCAAAGAATTGTATTAGTGCATATATTGACACAGACCTGAGGGCAGTCTCATGTTCTTATTCACCGGCACTGGCTGTTCCACTTGAAATTTCTTCGAAACATTGTTTCCATCATTTACTAGATGCTTCCTGAGTATCGAGGGCTGAGCGCTCAAGGCGTGTTCTTCGTTCTTGTCATTTCAATGTGAAACAGACACTGCAAATGTGTGGCTCTGCTCTCAATAAGATGTTATTGACTGAAAAGCATCCTTGCGACAGTTTTAAGCTAGAATTCGCATTAAAGGAGGTTGCGGTGGACATCTATTGTACCTGTCGGCCAGTCAGTCCTTCAAACCTAGCCCTGCGATTCAGTTGCGTTCATTTCTCGAATAGCACCATTTCCTACAATCACTAGAGGCAACACGTGTGCTGGTATCAATTGGTCAAACATGGTAATGATGGGTGATGCATGGATTTGCCTAAGAATTTCCGTTCTTGCTTCAAGCTGCTTTACAACTTTGAAAAGCGTTTTTTTCTTTTTTTTTCAATGGTGTTATATCATTATAAATGCAACGGTGTGCAATTAATTTGCATGTATGTAAAAGCTTCTTGTCCTCATGCATCCATAGAGGAAAATTTGGAAGTGAAAATTAATTAGCTAAAGGAGCACTGACATCAAGTTTACTCATGTCAAGATTTTCGCGCCAACGAGTAGCTATCAACCTTCTAGTAGGGATTCGCGACCTAAGACGCACCTGAAGTATGAATGAATATCTTTAATATTGATTTATATATTAGTTATCAAACGTGGTTGAAAATGGGTCGAAAGCCCGCCAAATTGTAGTGCTGTCAGTGCAACCTCGCAGCCACGTCGAGGTTGCTGCACAGCTGATGCAGCTTTCACAAAAAATGGTGACGTCACGCATACTGGCATTTCGTCTGCTAGGAGCGCACGTGCAGTCAGTCCAGCAGTGTCTGTGATGATGTACAGACTAAAGCCTCTCCGTGCGTTTTCTGCTGGCTAGGTTAAGTAGCGCCAACTCGTTCTTCCCCTCTCCCTTTAACCCCTGCCTCGAGAAGGGGCCTCATATTGCCAGTGAAACCCAACTCGTTTGCCAACACAGGATTTACCCTGTAGCAGCTCGGTGCAAAGTGAAGCGAGCAAATGCAGTTGTTCTTCTTAGGCGTCCAGTCCCTCTGTCCATCGGCGCATACGAAGTCAATCCACTGGCTGCGTTGAGGTTCGTGGCTTGGAAAGGCATGAAATTTCACGCAATTTCCGCTTTTCCCGCGCCTCGACATGCAGGTTCTCACTGCGCAGTGGTTCCCCGACATTCTGGCACGTGTTGTCACTCTGAATGATCGTACTCACGCTGTTGAGCACATGTGAAATCGATCGACGCGACACGATGAATCGCACGCGCACTTCAACACAGCAAGGAGAGCCAATAGTGAGGGTATGGCGAGGAGTCCGCTCCAAACACACTCAGATCGTCGATGTCAAGTATCGTCATTCAGGATGGTATTTGTGGAATGTATCACATCGAACACATAGCACTAGTGCCGATGTCGCAAGGGAATCTATTTTCAGTTTTTTCTCCGAAGCTTTTCTACGCTGTTTGTCATCGAATTAAAATAACTTCCATGCAACGGATGCCATTCAGATTTGGCCAAGAAGACCTATGCGCACCAAGCGCTCGAATGATGGGCATATCTCGATCTTGAAATTTGATGTCAGTGCCACTTTAAATCAAGTGCAGTAAATTGGCGCCGCAAGATTGTCTGAAGCAAAAAGCATAACGATAATACTTTTCAGGTACCAGGCATAACATCCATTCTCATCAGAGACGAGCGTTTGGGACATCAGACTTTCCTCTAGAAACTTGAAGCAAACTTCACAAAGAGTGCTGATAAGTGTAGGCTCTGTGATGTAGATAGCGTTACATTGGACATCAAACCACAATCTGGTGTGCGTAGGGCATAATCTCCGTGTTGCACACCTGTAAGAAGTTAGTAACCAGTGTTTTCAACTTTAGCCAAAATATTAGTGAGCCGTACGATCTAAAACCAGCATCAGCCTGGCAAACCTGTACAGTGTTTGTGCACAGATCTCTCTTTTATATGTGGTTTGTAATGAGTCAATTCAATATTAAGTAGAGAACTGGATTTTACTCCAGTGTCCTTCTGTGAACTTCGGATATGCTGTTTCCTCGTGCAAGACATCAAAAGTGTGAATTGAAAAATTTAATGGGGCTTGGCCCGACTTGTAGCCTTTAGTGATGTCCCATGAGTCAGCTTGTCAATGTAGAGATTTGACAGCTGCTGGTCCTATGTAACCAAAAAAATTATGTTGAATTGTTCGGTGGTTTTGGTACACTTCATAGCATAGTGGTGCTAATTTTGCAAGCTTAAAGCGGTAGCTATCTTAAATGCATGTTATTGTTTTGTTTGTAATAATGTCGTCATTGCATTGTTTTACTTGTAGCCTCGTTGATCAGTGAGCTGCTACATCTCTGTGAAGTGTCCTTTATCAGACATCATAAATTGTGTCCAATTCACAGTCTTCTGTAATATTAGGTTAATTCTATAAGTGAGTTATTACAATTTTCTAGTTATTGCAGTGTTGCAGCAGTGACAGCTTATGGACATGCCACGTTGTGCGTTGCATGTTAGCGCATGCATAAAATAATGAAGCAGTCGCCATAAAAGACAGGATTCACGAAGCTGATAGCTCCTCGTAATTATTGTAGTTTTTGGATCAACTTGCACTCTAATACCTATTTTTGACTTGCAAGCCCTGCGCAGGCTCCCGCCCTTAGTACCAAGCCCACTGTATTGTCTTTGGCGTCACTTATCATTGTTTATTTGTATTTCATAGCGCTTACGCTTTTCGGCAAAGTTTCCAAGAATGCATATTTTACGTTCAGACTATTGTTGTGAGACAGTGCATTAGCCATTCTTTTACACTTGCTGGGTTTTGTAAGGTTATCATTGCATCCTAGTTTGTGGGCATCAACTGCGTTGCCCTTCGAACTTCCTTTAGTTATCGGAAACATTCCTCTCACGTCGTCTGGCAGTGTGGTTGATTTAATTTCCGCTGCGGAAAGCAAATCAATCACGCTGCGTCACATGACATCCATGACATGCTTCAGTGTGTCTTGTTTTACAGCAACATTTTGGCTGAAACTTCCAATGTCGTCTCAAAATGTTCCTCTTGATCTGATTGTTGCTTATCATTATAAGTATGCCAGAAAGTGGTAGAAGAGTATAACGACAGCTCGTTGCATCAGTCTTCAGCATTGGTAAACTCTGCAAGTATCGCTTGCCATTGATAATGGCATCTCGCAATAGGCCACAACTCCTCCTACTGCTGCACGTTTGCACTTTGTGGTTGATTCAATGTGACTGAGCTCGCTTCGTCTGAGGGACACCAATGCTGCACTGTTTCTTATGTTGTAACGCAAACTGAAGTGGAACTGCACGAAAAGATTTAAAGTGTGGTGCTATTCCTCCATAATAAATACAGGATGTTCAGTAGCCAAGCTTATCATACTTTCGCAATTAATGAAGCTGGCCTTTAGTTCTGCAAGCTGTCTGCTTTCAGAGTACTATTTGAGAAAAAAAGTGCAACCAGTGCAGTGTTGGTCCTGTTTTTTATTTGTACCCTCCTAAGTCAAGGTAGCGTTGTGTTTGCAGTGATGTGCTTTGTTTGCAAAAAATTTGTAATATAAGAATATTTGAGTAAAGGTTTATATGTTTATGTACATATGTACAAGCTGTGCCTTTGTATTCAGCTTTTTAAAGTGTCAGTAGTTGCATGAGAACCTTATGCAACATCTTGTCGAACGTGGCTGCTTTAGTCGCAGTTGAAATAGTGCCGAAATAAAAAAGTATCACATAAAGCTTGTTTAGTAGCCACAGTGAATGACTTGGTAACACACTAGCTGAAATGAAAACTATCGCGTGTTAAGTTTGTTCAGTAGCCGCAGCAAATGTGACTCATCAGCCAACCTTACTGCACTGGGTGTCGGACCAATTGTCCCACGTTTCGCGCAATAAGCCTCAGGTAAGTGTCCTTGGGTTGAAAATTGATGGCGAATGCAAAAGTATCGCAAGTTTCATGGCCGTAACTGCAACAATATGAAAACGTATCGCGCATCACTTGTCTCGTGCCGCTGCAGCCGGCAAATATGTAGCCTTTGAGATTCGTAATTCTTGCTGAAAGGAAAGTGTTACTCTGGCGTGGATTTCAATAGAAGTTAATAGATGAATGGCAGCCATAGTATTATGAATCTATGTTATGGCAGTGTTAACGTGTTTACACCTAGCTGGTTCTTCTCATTTGCTCGGATGACGGTAGTGTGGACGATAGTATAGCGCGAGAACAGAACGACGACAATGTACTATACCTTTGTTGTCGTTCTGTTCTCGCGCTATACTATCGTCATGTCATACCATAGAGTTTCATACAATATATGTGTCATACCAACTGGCAATCAGCCCAAACCGCCACACTAAGGTAGTGAGGAATACGGAGCCCCACAAAAAGTAAATGATTATTGCGTGGAAATAGTAAATCATTATTGAGTGTTAGAAGCTGTGGTCGGAGCTCAAATTGCGCCAATCGTTAATTATCAAGGCCTTTGTTGTCACAAAACCGCCAGTGTTCATCTACGCACGTATCCCTCAAAGGTTCTATGTCTTCTGGAGTGGAGGTGTGCCCAGATACGTGACGCCAGTCGCCGCCATATTGGAAAAGGAAAGACTCGGAAGCAGACGACAAAGTGTGCTTCATAGCTCCGCCCTCGCAGTCGCCTTGTGACATGCTTTTGTAAAGCAGTTAAAGATTGTACAAGGTCATGATGACTTCGTGCGTCGCTTAAGGCTGCACAAATCGCATCAAGATGACGCCTGGGATCACTTTTCACGTGTAAGTATTCTCGCTTCGTTCGCTGACGATCGTCTGTTTTTCCGCTATTTTGTTAAATTAGAAACAATATCAAAAGTGCGCATGCGTGTATTACATGCGTATGGAAGGTAACTTGAGGCTTTAAATACTCGCTGACACGACGTTGTCCCCGAGTTTTAAGTTTATGTACGAAGGACTTGCGGTCTGTCTGCACGTATCAAAACATTGGAACGAGTAGGACGTCTGAATGCCCTTTGAATTCCAAGTTTTCTGGTGTTGTTTACAAGGCAAGGCTGACGGCGTGCCTGCATATATATATATATATATTTGCGAGTGAATATCGAATTTGGTGCATGTTTATCGAGGAATTTCCATGCCGTGATTATCCGTACTGTTACAGCTAGGTTTCCGAAAGGCATGCGCTGCGTTCTGCCTGGGAACGTGCTGTTCGAAGAAATAGTTGGAAGACTACAGACGGTCACCACCTCTGTTCTATTCACTCCGAAGAATGCTGCTTCGACAGAACGGGGCAGACAACCAGACTATGGCCTGGCAGTTCACCTTCGATTTTTACTGCTTTCCGAGCGCATCTGTGAAAACCTGTTTGTTTCAACCTCCTTGACGTAGCTTCAATAGAATGTAGTCACAAAAATAAGCAATTGCGTCTAAAACAAGATGAGACACCGTTGAAATCCGTTCTATCTTGCCGACGAAACGGAAACAAAAGCGCTGATAGACGAAGTTGCCAAAATGAGTGAGTGGCGTTATATCAAACATCGAGCTGCCTCGTTTCAAGGCTTTGAAGGCTGCGCATAAATCCCATAACAACACTCGTAGCCAACGGACTAACGCCATTGCAATCGTTCTTATAAATGGTTCAATTGGGGTACGTCTCTTGAAGTTGCACGCGACATCGGTGCTTCGGTTTTGGTTCCGCCTGTAAATTGGTGAGAATTCGATAACTCTAGAAAAATTACTGGTGACTCCCAGTTTACTTAATTACCTCTCTTTTCTAACTTTAGCTCTAATTACTTCAACTTCCTTATGTATATTCTCTGGTAATCTGTCGACACACACACAAGCATATATATGAAAGAGGCGAGCAAATGTCGCGTTCCCCTTGATCTTGAGTATCTGCAGGCACATTTCTTAAATTTCTTAAAATCCCAATATATACTACAACCCTTTTGTACCGCAATAGTGCGCCAGCAAGCTCGATATGCGAAGCATCCCTCGACAACATATTGATCTGAAAGCGTGCAGCTGACAACGGGTGCATGAAATAATTTGTTTCATAAACAAGAAGAAGCATTCATTCGTTGGTGCAACCTAAAAGTGGTTTCCATCTCTTTTTTTTTTTTTTTTTTTTATCTAGCGATATGGCCGCCGGCGGCTTCACCGGCTCCCGTTGGCGGCAGCCGGAACTGCCACTCCAGAGGTATGGTGGCTAGAATTGGGAGGTGACGCCAACGGGAGCTCGGAGCCGCTCCTTCGTTTCGAGCAGCGCGGCGGTGGCGCTGTCGGCGGAATGGTGATGCTAGTTACGCGCGCGCGCCTTGAGCGCGCGGACCTTTCAAAGATGCTGTTGCTGAAGCATGATTCAGATAACTCACTGTGACGATGGCTGATAGAACGCCATTTCAAGCATTAAAAGAAATTGGCTGCCGCTGCAAGACTTCTGTGACGTTGAATCTGCGCAAATTAAAGCTTTCGTTCGCATATCCCTGCAGTGTTTTGGAGTGCAAGGCGACGGCGTTTTTTTAAAAAAAAATATTACCAAAGTTCTGGGCGAGGAAAATAAAACAAATATTTATTGCACATCATATTATTAGGAAGATCTATTGCACATCATGGAATACAGGGTAAAATAAAATAAAATGAAAAAATACGCACATTTACATACGCTCGGGAGTAGTTAAAAACATTGAAACATTGCACACAGACAGCGCATCGCTTGGCACTAAGTAATAAGAGGCATACAATCACTTTCCACTCGGCAAAAAAAAAAATCAATAGAGCTTAAAGTTACAATATCAAACTCAGAGCACGCGTCTAAGCTTCAGCAATTTCATTCTTTCCTGCTTAGCGTTTCGTTTGCTGTTCTGGGCTTTCACATGAAAGTGGAGCCTAGTAAGAACATAAAACTTGATAATTTTGTTTGTGAGGGACATACTGTGGTCAGGGCAGCCAACAAGTGTAAGCTTTCTTAACTGCAAGAAGGAAACCAAGTCCATGATGCTGTCAGGTTTGACTTCTGTAACACTGAAGCAGTGGGTAAAAGTGTTCTCGAGAGTGGTCATGAGTTCATTGAGCTTGACTGATGGGTACAGCAGGCCTCCTCGGTCAACAGCAGCCGTGAGGGATGCTGCAGCTGGAGATGGATCGTTCTCGCCTTGTAGGAGCTGCTGGCTGCACTCTGCACATTTGGTGCTTGCAACGCTTTTTCTTGCCACATATCCAGCCATGTAGAATATGAGTCTGGCATCGCTGCTTTGCACGACCATGTCTGCATGCTCGGTGCCGTGGCCGTATTCATTGAGCACTTCATGTGCTTCGGCAAGGTTTCCTACGTCAAGAAGCTCGTCTAATTTCCTCCGAGGAGTGAGGTCCTTTCCGTTGTCAGCTCCCAGCAGACTTCTCAGCAGTCCTGAGGACACATTGCTTCCTTTCGGTGGTTTTGCCAAATTCTGGAAGCTCAAAGTGTTGACCGAGATTAGGAACTGGGAGGCAGTCGGATGATCATTGCATCCAGACATTTGTCGGACGATTCCAAACAGCCTCTCCAGGGGGTCCTGACTCAAGCGGCATGTCATCATATAGCTGAAGTTCAACTTCATCGTCAGGTAGCGGAGAAGGTGTAGCGTGCTTGATAAGGTAACACGAAGTCCCTCGGCTGTACTGCGGCTTAGGAAACCTCCGGAGCCAGCAGCTGTTTCCCAATCGTCCAGGTAAGTCAAGAAGTTTTGAATGCACTTCTCGTGCATCCCTCCAGGCTTAAGTGCACCCGAACTGCACCTTGAAGTCATGGCCTCAATGAGCCTTCTCATTCTTTCCACAAAGCTGACTGTCGCCGCTGTGCTCCCATGCTTTTCTTCGATGGTTGCATTGTACAAAAAAGGCCTCTGAGGACTTCATCACTGTAAAGCCGCACTGCATAATTTACCCTCATTTTCTCAAAGCCATTGGGATGCACAACCGATTTGCTAATATGAGGCATGGCTTTGAGAGTCGTGTCATGCTGTTCATCAAGCTTCCGGGCACAGTCAATAGGGTCAACACTGGCATGGCCTTCTGGCAGTTTCACGCCCGTTCGAACAAAGGTGTTCCTCACACATTTAAGAAGGTGTGGGAAGTCCGAGATGAAGTGCAGAAAACGTTCTGGGTCTGTAGGGTGCTGCCTTCTACATACTGTGTTTTCTTTCCTGCCGTGTATGCCGAATGAGTGCCACATGCTTCTGTTCCACGCAGCTCCATCAGTGGTGATAAAGTCTACGTGCAGACCGGCGTTTTCGCTCATGACTACTGCTTCGAGGATTATTTTGCGTAACGTCTCGGACTTCACATTGCTGCGTGATGCGAACACACCAATAATCTGGTGCCACGTGCCTGTAAAAGGCACGAACAATACTACAAGGCCACGGTCACATGCTACGGAGCGCTCACTCTCTGGTGTGAACTTCCCAAGGTCCACAAAACCTTCGATGGTGCCATCGGTTCCCAAGCTCAAGTGTTCAGATAGCTTAATCTCATCAATTAACAGCCCACCATGGCGCTGGAACAAGTCCATAGATTTTTTTTTTTCCGCCACAGCAGCAAACACTTTTTCGCTCAGGCCGAATCCACTCCTGTAACGCTTGAGATATCGACGTAGTGATGTTCGAGAAGGCAACGCCATGATGTTGTTTTTGCGTATATGCTCATGGAGGCGTGGGCTTTTCATGGACATAATAAGGCACTCTAGAGCCCATTCACTTTCATACTTCATCCCTTTCGTGGATTTTCTTTTAGCCGCAGCAAAGCACGCCTTGACTTGTTGCTGCTGCTTAATGGGTAGGGCCTTCACCGCTTCTTCAAATGCTGTAGAATCATTCCGTGCATTCTTTTCTTTCATTTGTTTGATGAGTGATTTAGCCTGCAGGACACTCAGGCGACTCCTTTTCGCTTGCGCTGTTCGCAGCTTAAGCCTGTATGAAAGCTTTTGGGACTGGGCCACATTTTTGCCTTTTCTTCGCCTGTAGGACTCACGATTCAGGAGTAGTCTTCTGAGGTGCTTGCATTGTGGGCAGGCTTTTTCTGGCGTTGGAGCAACCCCACGGCAAGATGGGCTGAAGGTTCTGCCATCAAAAGTCTTCTCCTTGTACTTTAAATTCACTCCAAATTCACCAGTTTTACCAAACCCTCTGCATGGTATCATGGAGTCGACGTCGCGAAGCAACTCTTCTGCCATTTCGATGTCGGTAATGTCAAGGGTCTTTATTTTTGTGGCTTGCACAAAAGCTGTCGCTTGAAGTTTGTTTTCATCTGATGTCATTAGTACATACTTGTCAATAGTCAACTTGTCACCATCTAGTGCGCAAACTGTAAACACCGTGGCGTTGTCGGCTCCAGCAATTAGATGTCGAGCCCAGTAAGCGCTGGGAAGACCACACTTGCGGACGTCGGGAATTGCGGGCACATTCGGAACAGGTATTTGGTTACTGTCGCTTTCTGTGCTGTACGAGCCAGCTGCTCCTCGCAAGCAGACGTGCTTGGTTCCTGACGCCGAATTTTCGATGGTAGGCCGCAAGTGGATGTTCTTGACGTCCTTTTCTTCGGCACTTTCTTTGAAAGATACGCAGGAACATTTGGGAATATGGTTGGCACCGCGTCAGATTTCAGCACCGGTTTCCCTCGGGGAATCTGAACAGTTTCGCCGTTTATCACATGCGTGTAAAAACGCTCAATAAACTGCTCGTCGAAATGAAGCTCACATAGCGCCGACTTCACGTCCAACGACTTGTCGGCACGGGGTACGGCTCGTTGCCAGGCTTCGAAGAGGGCAGGGTCTTTGGGAACAGAGAAAAGAGAAGCACGCTGACCTTGCTCCCTCGATGACACATAGCCGCTCGTGCAGCCAGGAGCAAAGCAGTGGCGTTGCCTCGCTTTCGTAGTGCTGGAGTTCGTCCTAAGGTCGGCACTCACACTGTCATGTCAGCAACTAAATACATTTTGCCATAAGCGAGACATCAACGCGGAAAACTGCACACACCCAGACACGCTTCCAGAGGCGAACCAGCGAACCCAGCGGCGAGTCGACGAGAGAGCGCGGAGCGCGCGCTTCGCCCGCATCACTATGCCGACAGGAGCGCCGTGGTGGCCGTCGCGGCGGCGCTTGAAAACGAGGATCGCGCGCGCTCGGCGAACATGACCTACTACACTCCTGACCTGTTCAGATAGCGGGGTTCCTATGGGAGCGCGTGTCCCCGCTCTCGTTCAATCGCTCGCCGTAGGTGGCGCTACCTATAACCTGTTCGTCTGCTACTGTGCGGCCGGCAGGAGGGCGACGGACTGATACCATGCGTCTGCTTCTGTGACAAACTGCCTATACGTGTGATTGTTTTTTGCTGAAAAGGCTAACGTGTGCTATGTGTTACATTTTAGTAGTTAGGCTATACTGGTTGATTGACTTCTAAAGCTGTATATTTGCGTAGAAATGTCTTGCTGCATGGTTGTTTTTGCCATTCCAGCCTAAAAAAACTTCAATTTAGTATTCATAAAGCTTTTGACTAATAATGTACTCATTGGTAATAGAATATCAAACTGATTTTAGGTTGTTTAGGACGCGTCAGGTGAAACGCAGTGCCCCTGTTGAGCACTTACCTTGGACACTCGCCCTGGACAGGTGTTACACTTGTAGTCAATTGATAGAAGAGAATAATGCACATACGCCCACGGACGCATATCAAGGAGAGACACAGGAATTGAAGCTTTTTCATATCATTTTTCATATCATATTTCATATCATTAATTTTTTTATGGATTTCGGCGGCATTTGTTGAGGCAGCCTTCGGGAAGGGTGCTCGAACCCCTCGCAACCCACCGCTACGCATTTTTACATAATTTACAGATTTCGTATATTTACTTTTTTCTTGTGTGCTATATTTAAATTTCTTGGCACTATTTGTGGAGCCTGCCATATTAGCCGCGGTACTTTAAAAAAGCTTTCATGTTTTTTAGCTCAGTGAATTAGCATAACACACGGAAATAAAGTTTACTAAAGCACCCTGGTGCTTCTTGCTAGCTTGCAACTCGTTCTGAATTGAAACGACTCTCAAAAACACAAGACTCACCTTTTCTTCCAATTGCCTCGATCCATTCTTCCCGTATGTCTGTGGCAGCTGGAAACTCGTGAAAACTTACTTTACTTTGTTTGCCTTGTTCCGATTTGCAATATGGCACGCAGCAATACACCATACTTACATTTGAGGTGTCAGCTCATCTAAAAAAAAAAAAACTGCACGCGGCCACTATTAGAGCTGACTACTGCAGCTATCTGCCGTCTGCAAGTTTCTGCACACGACCTACTGTGTTTCTGCGTATCTTCTGCAATTTGTGTATGCGTATCGTCTGGAACCATCGTGATTCAGTGTGAACAATGAATGCCTAACAATAGTTTTTTTATCTCGTTGGACTACGTTTTCATTCAAGAAATATTTTCATAATAAATTTTCCTTCATTTGTAGAAAAGTTCCCGTCTGCTTGCCACTGTGACCCTTTGTGTGCTTTTTTTACGGTTCTATTTCTGCTTCAAACGTCCACACGAATGCAGCCAACTCTGACGAGGAATCATATCGCTTTATTTGCCATATTTTACACATTCATACACAATTCATGCACAATAAGAACGATTTGCACTGCCACAGCGATGGCTGAAGCAGACGACAGCGAACAGGTGCTGCCTAGCGCCACGCCGCTCGTAGGTGACGGCCCTAGCGGCAGAAGGTATGAACTAGAACGTGGGCGCTGGAAGAGGTGCTCTCTGGGCAGGTCAGGAGTGTAGTAGGTCATGTCGGCGAATATGCGGGCGCTGGCGTCACCTCCCAATTCTAGCCACCATACCAGAGGTTCTCTCGAACCTCCTTGCTAGCCCTGTAGCTATTAGCCATAGCCTCCTATATTTTTGAGGCTATGTATTAGCAGATGCATTCGTTGAGTCCATGGACAACACTGGCAGCGGTAGTCTCGGAGGCCAAGGGCGGGTGGCGTGTGTGCGAGTCATCGGCTGCTCTACCTGTACACGTTTAACTGATAAAATTCATGAGGTAAGTGCCGCTGCGCGCACCTACTTCCTTTATTTAGCAGTCAGTATTCCACGGCCACTCGCGACAATCACCAGCGTGGCCTGAGTAGCGGAGGTTGATTCGCGAGGTGAACCCTTTTGTTATATTTCCTGCAAGCTTGTACGTGATGAATTGCGGCGGTGTAGTAAACTAGCTGGCATTCGATCGTCTCAAACGTAATGTGCATCGTGGACACTAGTAGCTAGCTCGGACTTCCGTCTTGATCAAGAGAACTCTAATCCTTTGCCAAACGGCCAAATCAAAACACTCATCACATTTGGACAGCTTTTGGTGGCCGAGAAGTAATCAAACTTGCCTCAACCTGCTGCTACGGTAGGTGTACTGTGCTGCTACTCGGAAGCGGATATCCGTTATGATACCTACAGGTGCGCTGCAGAGGGTCATAGGAGAGATTCAGTAGAGTGTCACAAAGGGATTCAGTAAAGGTGGGGGGTGGGGGGTCACTAGCATAGAAAAACTATGGTCACTAGTTAGCGAATAACGTGTGTGTGTGTGTGCGTGTGTGTGCGTGCGTGTGTGTGTGTGTGTGCGTGTGGTAGTTTGCCAGGAATAATGTCACGCGGTTGCTCTCTTTTGTCGCAGGTGGACTAGAGGCATATACCGTATTACGTCACCGCAAAGAGGCCATGACCTCAGAGCAGAATGTGAGCGAGGAGGGTCTCGGTGCGCCCTCCTCCTTGCCCGCTGACGTCACCGGCTCCCGCGACGTCAGCACCTTCTTCTCGATCATGGAGTCGAGCTTCGTCCATATTAGGGAACCATCCGAGTCCAGCATCGAAACTGCCCAGTTCCTGGCGTGCTGCCGATCCGTACTTCCGGTGTTTAATGTCCTTGGGGGAAAGGTCTTCTCTCCGATCAGGGCCGACATCCAGGGAAACATAGACAAACTCAACGAGAAATACAATACAGACAAGAATGGCTTTGCTCGGTTGATGGCGATGCTGCAGAAGGAAGTCGATGAAGGCAGGAACGCGACATCTGGCCGAGCCATTGAAGCCCTTCTGTGGCTCAAGAGGGCCCTGGAGTTCATCCTTAACTTCCTCTCTGAGATTCACGGGGGCAATGAAAACTTGGCCGACTGTGCCACCAAGGCGTACAATGGAACCCTGAAGCAGTACCACAACTGGATCGTTCAAAAATTGTTTGCCGTCGCTGTCCATGCAATGCCTTCGTTGAGGACCTTCAAGCGTGAGCTTGCTCCCAGCCCAAAGGACGCATCGCATCCCGATTATGCGAAACAGCTCCATGCCGACTGTGGGGAGTATGTGGTGGCCCTCCGTTCTGTTCTGGAGACCATCAACCAATTTTACAAGAATCTAAATCTGGAACCAAATTCGTAATACGGCCTTTCTCGTGATACGTGCCTTACAATGACTTAGTACAGAATTCTGGGTGGTTACAAGCACCAAAATCTAACCCGGTTCATAATAGCAATCTCCGAAACATGTGCCTTTCAACGACTTTGAACTGAAGTCTGTGTGGTCTTGCACATTAATATTTTTTAGACTGCTTGCTAGACATTAGCTTAAATTTACGATGAATAGAATGCCCAATATTTTAATGCTGTGATTTTACAACATGCATGCAAGTGCAGTTGCTGGCTTTTTATAATGGTTTATTTTTTATAGATACTATATATTTACCCGATTTCAGAAGTTATATATTATGGCCTTACAAATGCAAAGAGCTTTGTAACTTTAGTGCAAGTACAGAGAGTTCATTCTGATATATATTGATACACAATGCAGATGCAGTGCCTAATTTCGGGAGTCTCGCATCGTGATCTCAAAAATACAAAGTGCTTCTTAGCTTCAGTGCGAGTGCAAACATTTCATACATCTCTAAAGGTGCCTTTAGTTTTAGCTATCCACACACTGCAATTTTACTTGAGCATGTAGAGTGTAGCAAATGTATGCTTAATTTATATAGGAAAGATCAATGATGTTTTATGCTGATACAGATATCTATATTTTATTGTTGACTGTCCCACTTGTGATGCCTTTATAAATGAAACAAGGGGAAGTGGATGTTTGTGTTCTGCCTCTCCAGTGTTTGCAATCTCAACACGATACTTTGTGTTGGTGTTATGCTGTGCAATGCCACATAAATCATATTATGCACTGAATATTTCATCCTCGGTCTTACGTTAATTTTGACAAATAAAGCTATTTACAGTGTTGCTTACTCAGCCTTTTTTGAACATGTTGATTCTAGCTCAGAGACAAGGCCTGTCCTTGGAGGATCGTATACATTAAGAGCATCGCTGCATGCATGTTTAGAGAGATGAAGCAAACGAGCGGTAGCATCTGCTAATAGGACAGTCTGCAGCATGCTGTAGGCGCTGTGTAGTTTTCAAAAAATAAAGCTGAAAAGCATGCGAACGTAGGCAAAAAAGACAGAGTACGAAACGTGACCCATGACTTCCAAATGGTCTTCATTTTGCAGTAGGGCGTAATATATTTTGCTCTCCTGGGGTACTATTTTGGAAACTAATTCCGCCATATTGCTAAATTTTGTAATGGCGGCATTTTAAGCCAATCAGAGAGGTCGCAGGAGCTTACTTGGCCAATTAGCATCGATCAATGGCGGAATACATCGCGGAATTGCTCAATGTCCAGAATAGCACCCCTGTCGAACAAAAATATGGTTGGGTGTCGGGAGCACTAATCTAGCAGTTCGCGTGCTGTTATATGCGCCGTCATTAACAAAAGCCATCTAACCGAAGCTTTTACTCTGCTACGCTAAATGCAAATATTCACGTGTGTGTGTAGGTAACCCACATGTTTTTTGGAGGGTGTTGTCAGAAAAATAAGGAGCCAAGAAAGATGAGATTCTAGTGTTCTCATGTGCGGGCAGTGATTCATAGGGACACCTCTTTTGATAAGAACTTTGCGTGTGTGCATGCGTGCATCTGTTCATCGCACAATAAATATTTTGAGTGCGGTTGGTACTGTCAACTTCGCGTTGAGCGCACGTTCTATGTGAGAAACCGAAACAAAATTCACAAGATATAAAAGTTTGCAAGTTTTAATGAACCACACTGGCTCAAGACTTCGGCAAATAATTGTTAAGTCGTCAAGCTATGAATAATAATTATTGCTGCCGTAACATTTTCTCCCCTACACGTGCATTGCAAAATAATTTTTTTTCAAAACTATTATGTACATATTTTAGTTTCAAAATAATTTTCGAGTTTATTTGGACCTATACGAGGTATTAAATAAAAGTAAATATTTAAATAAACACTGACATTTATTGCCACACGTCACTATCATCATCGTTGTCATCTGATGGCTGTCATGGCCGCCGTCAACTGCACTTTCATTTTTATTCTTTCTGCGATCCGGCAGCGTGGTTGCGGCCACCGGTAATTCATTTTCTTCATTTCGGTCAAACGCGAGCTACCGCGACAATTGACGAAATTCAAGGCCGCCTTGAGGCGCGTTTAGATGGCGCACTTTAATTCAGAGGCTCAACGCGGTGCGCGAACTTGAGTGTACCTAAACTAAGTCAGTAAAAACCGCACATTCTCTTGAAATATGTCGCTGTGCACTGATCTGGCTCAAGCGCCGTGACATTTAGACGTAATAGATTGAACTGCGGAAATGTTGTACGAATACGGCTACTGTGTGATGTTCAGTTCCGCGTTCCAGCTTGTTAGCGACGCACTTTCTGACCTTGCCCGCTGACCTTTGCGTTGAATAAGGGGCAGCGGAACATAAGCTATCATTTAGCAGTGTACGAGGTTCGTCCTGCAATCGTTGCACTCGCCTACTGCCCGCTGACTTAAGTACACCTTCGTGATCGTACGCTCAACCCGGCCCAGAGTCGATGCATGCAGCCGAGTTGGAGAGTGTCGGCCATACGTCAAACCTGCAGCTTTCAAGTTGTTGACGTTCCGGATTTCGGGTTGTGTGGACATTTGTCCACACTACCTGAGAGTCTTACCCGTGTGTATCTGATGCGTAGTACCAGTTCTCAATGTTTCGCTCATAGCTGATCATTGGTGTAATCGTTCGTTGTTTACGCAAGTCGTGATCGCTGCCTTCGGCGAAAAGCGTACCATTTCGAACTGCTGGACTATTTATTTACTATCCGACTACCGTAGTCCAGAAAAAAAAAACTGCCACTATTCAACAAGGTGTTAAATGTTTCAGTCATTTTGTTGAGAAAGACGCAGTCGACGTTTAAAGGAACCATTTTATGGTATCTTCACATATTTTCAGTGGCCTCCGTTGTCTGCCATAGTTGAAAACAAAAATATAGTGGAAATTGACAAGCATATGCGACGCTGTTTGCTATGTTGTTCTCACATGTGGCCACCTGTGTTTACTTTTTCGTAAATGTGTTTTAGAAAGGGACATCTAATGCAGTTATGTATTAGCGCTCAAAATAGTGAAAGCTTGCCGTAAAAATGAAGTCCTCTTGAATCGCGAATGAAATATACTTCATTGCTATGTATAAATGAGAAATTAATATAATTTTAAAGATACAAACTTTGTGAGGTCTTTGTAAATTTGCTGACGGGGGAGTACTTCAGGTGATTCTACATCATAAATGAAATGTTGCAGATAACAAGGAATTATGTGGTGGTGGTTGCTTCTGTAGCATTCCTTGTATTTGTGCATTGTGTTTGCAGGGCTTGCATCTTGCTATGATGTAGCGTCGCACTCAAGACACTAGTTTATTTCTGACAAGTTGTCGGCAGTTTTTGTTAAGCATTGTTCTTCAAACTGTTCGTGCTATTCAGCTGACAATGCCGCTGATCTATGATGTACAGTCAACCACAAAAGATTACAGACCCGAGTTTCCTAAAGTTAATTAGAGGAGACTCTGGCGCTGCGATCGTTCAGCGTCCATGGGGATGAAAGGTAGCGCACGAATTGGCCTAGTCTTCGTGATTGCGGACCTCTAACGCACATGTGGCTTTGTTTATTGCTGTGTTTTGGTTCTGTTTCGAATGAAAGAATGAACGATTGTAAACTTCATGAGCCGATTTGCAATGGGGAGCCTTAAAAGTTAAAGTAGTGAAGTGCAACTGCTGAATATTTACTGATTTTCGTTTCGTGACTAAGCAACTTCGAGGCACGTGAATCCAGCTGGAGCCGAAAGTACAAAATTTAGACAAATCTGTGTACTACCCATCATTTCCATGCTCGCTGAAGTGCCATGCATTGCAGCTCCCATACACACCAGCACCAGAGTTCCCTCTAGTGTATAATATAGGAAATGCTATGGTTCGCACCACCTAATGGTGCACCATCTATTGTAATTTGCAGTGGTGGGCCAGAAATAGGTCTTCGTGTGGTTCACTGGTATATTAATTTTGTACTGCCACGCAGAACCTGTTAGGTCATCGTTTTCAAGCGAAGTGCTTATCTGTGGTACGAGTGTCACACTTTTACTTTGACAGCAGAATCGAAGCTACGAGAGCGTGCTTCAAACGGTGTACCATTGGGCAGTCTGTCAGTGTATCTGTGAACAGTTCTGCTGACTCTTAACGGTCAGCATAACTGTTCATAACATTTGTGCTGGCAGAGCGCTCTCGGGACAAAACCCTAGTGCCATGGCAGCCAAAGAGCATGTATCATACCCAAGTGAAAGGGGGGAAAATTACCAAGGCATTCATTAAGGTATAGATGCGTTTTGGGCGTTGCACTGTTGTTGATTACGACTTACATAGACAAAATGTCTCCAAGAGGCTCATGGCCAGGTGCTCGCGTGGTCCGTAAACTGTTGTGGTTGATTGTAACTGCAGCACTGGATCACAAATGCTGATTCTGGCGTCACTCGGTTGATTTTTATGGGGATAAATTTCCTTGATCACAGTTTGCACCAGTGTTAAATGAGGCAAATCGTGTTCGAGGAATACGAACCTGATCGGGCTTGATCTTGGTTAAAAGCACATCATGTGACATTATGGAAGAACATGAGTTGCAGTTTAAAATACTGGAGGAGAGGGCTGTCCTCTAATTAGTGCACAGGGCCATAGTTGTGATGGAGGGAGCTACTGTGATTAGCCTGCAAGACTTGGATGAAATTTGTCAATTGCTGCTCGCAGGTGACGGCAGCGGCATGTCGTGTCTAGCCATGCTGCCGCTGCCAAGCCTGGTTCGGACCCAACTGAAGACCAGGGGAAGTGTTCGATACCTTCGTAGTGTCTACCGGCCGCACACGGTAAGTAGCTTCTTGCAACCTGGGGAGAAGTGATAGCTCAAAACTGCCATTGAAAGGCCCACTGTGATAAAATACTATTTTGACCAAATTCATTTCGCGTGAATAGCGTGTACTATTAGAGCCATCTTGAACGGTATGTCTGGTACAACCAGCCTGCAGCATAGACATGCTGTAGTTCGGGTTATGACACGGTTTTTTGATGAGCAGTCTTTAAGAACCACGTTTGTAGATTCCTGTCTTTAAAGCATCTGCTAATGTAGACTTTTGTGCATGTCGTACACTGAACGAGACATTGTGTGCAGCGACTCATTGTGCTGTATCCCAATCACCCGTCATCATACCCTCGTCTTTTTTTCCCTTTTCCCCCTACCCCCGTGAGGAGTAGCAGGCTAAAAACCCACATCCCAGGCCGACCTTCCCTCCTTCTCATTAAACACCTTCTTCTTCTTTGTAGATGACACGTCTGCCTAGTGGTTGCTTCTGTTACGTTTGTCGAAGCACAACTTGCTTAAAGGAACACTAAAATCAAATAATTTACGTTAGACTAAAAGCTTTATGTATGACAACATCTAAAATGCCAATATTATCAACAACAATGCCTTACTTACCGAGAAATTAAGGTAAATGCACAAGAACACATGGGCCCCAGTACGACCTTCTCAAAGTAATCCCGATGACATCAAATGGACCCCCTTCGATTAATGACTAGTAATCAATCTAGCTGCACTAAATGAAAAACCTTCCATGCATCAAGAGACACAATAAAATGCTGCTTGCTCATTTGTGTTTGATTCATGCAAAAAAAAGAACTGCTGAACGTTACTATGGGGAATGGCACGAGTGGTTCAAAAATTCGATTTTCGCATAGATACACTGGACAGTGGGGCCATCTAGTGGGGCGCAGTTGAACTAAAAAACGTCTGCAATCTCGGAGCCAATAACCGTTGTTACTGCTGTGGCTCCTGCTGCTTTCGCTCTGCTGCTACTAGCGCAGTAAAGCCGGGCAACGTTGTGCACGGCAACAGTGACGTGAGTCGGTCCGCTTCTTGAGGCGGGTGATTTGAAGTGCGCTAACCCGATGCGGACCACTAAAACGTGATTTTATTTCAAAATAGGCCCTTTATTGGCACAAAAGTAACACTACGAAGTTTTTGGACTGGTATTTCAACAATCAACATCTTTTTAATAGTTGCCTTTAGTGTCCCTTTAAGGTGCTTCAGCTTTCACATTCTCGTAGGTTGTGCTGAGGAGTGATACGTCCCAGATCACGTGTAACTTCTGCTGAAAGGTGGCGGCATTTATTTTTTTTTAGCTTTGGTATCAGTCATAGTTAGTTTTGCATAATTTCCTTAATGCTACCACTACCATGAAATCCCGCGGAAGTACCCCCTGCACAGTGAAAGAAATTCGGACAAGATCTAGGGGATGAGGGAGGTGCCATACTCAGTTGCGGGGAAAAACTCAAGTTGACGGCGAGAAAGCCTCTAAGAGGAATGCACCCCTGTACTCCTAAGGGAATACGCGTGAATTTACTGTTTTTATTGAATCGGGGGATCCTCGTGTGAAACTTGATTGGTTATGGCAAAGAGGGAAAGAGGCTCATCAACTGTTCTGACGATTTTTCACAACTGAAAACGCAACTCCAAGACACCACATTGTAAAAAAGTACCATGAAATGGTGGTCATATCTAAAGAGGTTTAGAACACGAGTTTCTGGGAACTTTCACTGCAGGATTCTGTAACAGAGAACAGGTTAAAATATGCTCGGCAGGGGGGCACTACATCACTTATTGGCCCGTATTTCAAATTTCCCTAAAAAGTGAAGGGAGCACTTGCTCAGAATTTTAGGCTAGTGTCTCAAAAGCTAAATCTCACACAGAGGCTCCTCTATGCATGCAGTCAAACAGGAGGCTTTTTCAGTTGTCCTTCATGAGGTCGAACTTTGTCTCTCGTATCATACAAGCCAAGCTTACAGCGTTGACTTCACGCACACTGCTATCCGTTCATCTGCGACCTGCCTTTCTTTTCTTTATCTTGGCTAGCATGTATGTTTATAGTAGCAGTCTGTGCAATGACAGTGTGACCAATCCTGTAGGTTCGACAGGCGAGTACGACAGTGCCCAAGGTTGCTGTGGAAGAAGCTAAGGCCGGCGAAGAGCTCACTCCTGTTGTCTGCGTGGAGCCTCCGGTGCTGTTCGTGGCCAGAACGGGTTGCTTGATGAGCATCCCGGAAGCGGCCATCAGCCATGGCACAGACATTGTGCTCTCCCCGGAGCCTGTCCGGCAAGCATCCATCGAGCCCGGTGAGGAGTGGCATCGGCGCCACCTGGACCCTGCACGGCTGCCCCACTACTGCATGGCACTGAGCAAGATTCGACTCACAGGTGGGGGAGGCCAGTCTGTTGTAGAGAGTTTTGTCAGAACTGCTGGGCTGGCTGCTGTTGTGAGGCTTTGTGCCGCCTTGCAAGAGAGGGAGGATAAATTACTGGAGCTGTGATATAGTTTCTGGGCTGGATGATATCTGCTGCGTGGGCATTCTTCTGCAGCTATTAATGCAGTCTCGCAAGACAACAATGACAGAATGGAAACATATCGAGACCTCAAAGTTGAAAGCCTCATTAATATATTGAGTTGGCCTCAAAATTAATACGGCCCGTGTGAGGGTGTGGCTTAATCTCTATCTGTGCCGCCTAGTGGTGTGCCATCCGCTGTTCAGAACATAGCTCTGGTTGCGCAATTGACTGAACAGTGCTTTAGATTGTAGATGGCTTGCTACCAGACAGGGCAGATTGTAATATGGGTGAGCCCTTATGGGGCCTGTGTTATTTTGTGGCCCACCATTACTGCTGTGAATGCAACATAACTAAACCCTAAGAGATAGTGCACACTTACCAACAACTACTAATGGGAGGATGTTTGAACGACAGCATAGACCGCTCATAAGGTAATTCACCGGAGCCTTGTATATATCTGCTCTACAAGTGGTACTGCATTATAACCAAAACAACCGTCTTCAAAAGCTGCACAAGCACAAAACATGTTAAGCATGCAGCTTTGCGTGTCGAAGAAGCGAGGCATGCAACACACGGTTCTTACAACCATTCGAACTTACAATGTTAAAAAATTATCGTCCAGTCTCGTGTTGCCAATGGAATGAAAGGGGGAAAATAACCAACAAAAGCACAATTGCAAAAATTCACCGAGTGCATTTCAGACCACCTCGATTACACCCTTTACACAGAAACTATGTCAAATCATGATTGAAATTTCACGCACTGAATAGTGCCGATCGCTCCAATTTTACAGGCGCACACATGATGTCGACGACATCACAGTCAAATTGCGAACCGCCGTTTGAACGATGCATGTGCCACTCATTAATGGTATAATTCCCTTCCCTTCAAGTGCAGCCAAGGCAAAAAGTTTCATTGATTTTGTATCAAACTGTCACTTTGATTGCTTAACAGCTGTCAGAAAGCAACCAGTGCTGATTAGGCCTAGCCTGCTGGTTGTCATGTTGTCACGGGAAGTTTGTGCATGACAGCATAAAGATCGGCCCTCGAAAAGGTTAAAATCAAACGCTGGCCTAAGAGTAGCATGCATAATACGAAGTTCAGGTTCGCAGGTGCGAGGTCAGAGGCGACAAATTTCTGGACGTGGCAGCAAACTCGATATCTGTAGCGACTGTGATAACGACAATATCTGAAAGGAAACTCGAAGTGGACGGGATCGCGCACAAGTGGCCGGCAAGCAGCAGGAGCCACATCAGTGCGAAGGCTACTTTGCCATCGCCCGTTTTCTGCACTCTGTGAGCCCATACAGCACTGCCATGGTCTCTTTTCTAATCCATTTCCTCCTTCTGCCTCTGATTTCTTCACTCCACCTCCCCCAATCTTTCGTAACGCCCTCATTGCCCTATTCCCAGCGGCGCACCTCTTTTGAACAGCACACTCACCACCGCATGTGTGGGTTAGGTTTTGCAGCGACCACACTAAATTTCATCTTCACGTAAGTGATGCAGTAAGTGGTACGTGTACATGATGTTCTATAGGACAGTAAACAGCAGTAGAAAAAAACAATGTTGTAACTGGTACTACACTATAAGTAGTTATGCGACAGTTGGTCTGCACTGTAACAGAGTTGACTACAAGCTGTACCGGTTGCATTCGACACCGGCCATCGTGCGAGCATGTACATTCCTGATGCTCGTGCAGGGGCAGTTGAAGGAAACGCAGACAGTGCAGTGCATTAGTGCTCCACTGTTTGCATTTGTTTACATTGCACTCTTAATTGGTAGGATAAAGAGACACCAGGGTCATTCTTGGATATATTGTGGATGATTCAACTTTGCTTTTGATACTAGCCACTTTACAACTGCTTTGAAAGGAATGCAAATGGCAAAGTGCGTTGATGCCACACTGTTTGCGTTTCTTTTCGTAACGACAGTATCTGTCGTCATACTTCCACCAAGTTCACAATTGTTGGGCGACTACTCTCTGCACTTACCAGTGAGTGAGTATGAACATTATTGAGGTCCTGAGAAGAAAGAAAGCGGTGCCGAAAGCCCTGCCAATCACTCTGGCGCCTCCACCCAGGTTGTGACCAGTAGACAGCCTTTCGGCGACAACCCGGGCCCTCTGGACAGCCTTGAGCTGAGCAATGAGCTATGTACTTTGAAGGGTGGAGTCCCAGGAGGACTAGTCAAAAAATTTTGTATCCACGTTGGCAAGGCAGAGCCAGAGCACGTGGTCGAAATTGTAATATTCGTTGCCACAGTGTGGACATACAGTGGAGAAGTCAGGATTGATCCTGCTTAGTGTCGTTGGTGACGATCTCCAGGGTATAGATAAAAAATTGTTGGTGTCGACAGTGGGTGCAGCAAATGCGTAAGCTGTGAGAATGCTACAAGCTCATGTTCTGCTGGTCTCGTTATCTGAGTAATATTTGCACTGCCTTCTGTGCAGGTCTGGTGGTGACGACCACACTGGCAGGTTATGCCCTCGCACCTGGAGCCCTTGACCCCTGGATTGTGCTGTTCACGGTGGCCGGAACAACGCTGACTTCATGCTCTGCGAATGCCATTAACCAGGTGCATTTTGCGTCACTGAGAGAAACGTTCAATTCCTAGTGGGAGTGTGGAAATGAGGCCCGTAGCCAGAGGAGAGCTCTAGATTCCTTCCCCCTCCCATTTCAAATTTTTATGCCTGTTCTAACCTTTTTTTTTTTTTTTTTCACTTCATATGCGCCATATTTTTACTGTAACCATGTTGGAAGTGTTCGTTGTAAGTGTAAGAGGCTTTGAAAAATGTTCGTTGTATGTGGACGCAGTTTCAGGTGGTAGTACAGAAAATCGCTATTTCATTGAAATATGGTTGCTATAGCCGATAGATTGTTATGTCTGGGATCGCTATAACTCAAACCTCGTTTTTTAACAAAGTTGCATCTTACGTGAAAATGAGCTTGTCATAACTGAAAATTTTTTATAAAGGTATATTCCTAATGCTATATCTAATGCAACACTTGTTTTTCATTTACTTCGTTATAACCGATATTTTGTTATGTGCGGGATCATTATATATCGAGGTCTGAGTGTAAGTATGTTCGACTGTGTTGGCATTCCCTCTATGTCATAGGATTATATGCATTTGTACGTCGTAGACTGCGTTTCGAGTGAGGTCTTCCTGCATTCACGTCTTGGTGCGACTACGCTGACCTGAATGTTCAGTGCACTGTTGCCGTGTCTGTTTGTCCCAGTTTCTGGAGGTGCCATACGACTCCCAGATGAACAGGACGAAGAATCGGGTCCTGGTACGTGGGTTCCTCAGGTACGTTCCGTACGGAAATTTAGCAAGCAGTGTGATTAAGAGATGTTGGTACAAGAGTATGCAATGAGGGTATCTAAATTGTGTTCTTGAATATTGCACAATATGCTTACAAGAAGGAAAATATGGTATTATCAGTGTCCACCTGCTGTGGCAGCAAGAAATGTGCTGCGCAAGGGGAGTATTTGGTTCGAGTGAGTTTATCGAGGAACACTTTCTTAGGCCCGCATCATGAGCAACAGCAAACTCACTAGTACTGTCAAGGTAATCTGAAATTGAGTTTCTCCTTGGTCTGTTTTTCAAATAGTCATTGCCTTGTGCAAAGTGCACAAAAGTCAACTTATCATATATACCATTCCGACTTGTGTAGAGGCTGCCCTTCTTTAAAGGGACATGAAGTGGTTTTGCATTCGTGAATTTATCACGAATTTGGTATCTGCGACCTCTTACAACGTGCCTATGACTTCTTTTTTTCGCAACTTTCGATCAAACAATAGCGCTATAAGCGAGCAAACTTTAACCAAAAGAATGCCCCCCCCCCCCCCCCCCCTTCCCTCGGCGAGTGGAAAGCGCAGGGGGGCGGAGCCTGGGAGAAGTAGACGGGTTAGAGAGGTGATGCCATTGAAGGAGCAAGCCCCCACGCCACCTGCTTCGCTCAATCAGCTTAGCTTATTTACTTCGGGATTGTGACTTGTTTCTGGTGCGATCTGCTCCCTAGCAAAGCATCACTATTGCCAATTCATAGGGATTTCTTGCCATTGTACCGTTCTCTTTTTCTGATTAGAAGTTTTTGTCATCTGACATTCACTAGTTGTGTTTGTGCGGGGTTGAAATGGACTCATGATGATGAATTACTGCGCAGTATATCGGGGCACTTTTGATCGCATTCAGGTCGCATTTCACAAGTTTCCTTGGGATCAGAATATGGCTGCATAATGGACCGCTGCAGTTAAAAGATAAAACTTCAGACCTGCGAGAAAGTCACTGGGATCGACGATGAAGTGTGTGCGACTGAACAAGGACACGGTTCCTTCTGTGTTTTTGCGTTGCCTTCACAAAAAGAAAAACTGAGGCAAGGCTGTAAGACAACTTATGTGCCGTAGCAGCCCATAGTTGGTGAGCACACGATTATTGCAGCCGTGGTCAGCCCACTGTGCTGCCTCGCTTCCGCGACGCTCAATTCGGATCGCTATGGAACACGCATATCGAGAGCCGTCACGCAGACTCCGTTCATCGTAGTTTTGCTCACTCAGGGACCCAGTAGGCCACGATCTCCATGTTGCAGCAACAGCTCGCACTTGCTCCTTTAAAGAAAATATATCAGTGCCAGTCTTGATAGCCAACTAAAGAGACTGGTTACCCAGGTGCTTTATTGAGATTCTGGCTCAAGTAATATTTTTCTATCAAAATCCGGAAGCATTGATGCAACAATCACTGATACGGTGATTTAGGAAACATTTAATTGCCACCGTAACATTGCCTCATGGCAGCGCTTGGTCTAAATAAAGGCTTTCTCGATTTCGGTCATTACATGTGGCACACTGACTCGTCAAATGCTTCTTGCCCACTGTGAAGGGCGGTATTGACAGCATCAACAACGCTGAACTTTTAGCAGTGAAACCCACGAACCGCTGATGTTTCCGCACTGCCCACACGTAGCATGGGCCATGCCAATATGCGGCAAAAGCGAGTGACGATGCTGCTGCTCTTTATCGGATTTAATATCTGCGGTTGAATGTATTATTTGTATCAGTTTAATACAGTGAAATTAAGCACTGACAAGCATCTTATACGTACCAGTTTTATGTCTCACGACGCGGGGGAAGGTAGCTTGTTGGGACTCGCTTTCCTGCACCGCATCATCGGCGCTAACATCGTCTTCGGTCCTCGCTCTTACATTGGTGACCGGCTCAAACATTTACAGATGTGCAGCGAACTCGTTACAACTTCCAGAGTTCGCCATAGTAACAACCGCTACCCGATTTCAACAGATAAACTTGGCATCGCCTTCCAGCGAGCGCAGTCCGCTGTCCTCATGTTCCTGTCAATGATGTCATGAAGCTTCGACCAATCACAGCGGCGGCGAGACTAGCAATGGCGGTCACGGCACCTGTTGCTTCTTTTTGACAAAGTATAGTTATTTGAGTTGGTTTATATAGATTTTCGACTTGATTTTTCAGTTCACCACACGTAATTACAAATCATCACACCACAACCTCGTTTTTTTTATGTGTTTCAGTGTCCCTTTAAAAGCTGCACTTCCAAAACGACAGCCAAGAATTTTTATAGAAATTGTGACCAAGAGCAGTACTCGAGACGCAGAAATTCCAATCATGGTGTTCTATGTAATGGTGTGCCATATTCCAGCCGAAAAATCCAAAGTAGCAGTAACAGCGGTCACAAACAGCGTGGGAGACACAAAGGATGACTTGGTTTATCAACATGTTGTTGAAGTGAGAGAGAGAGAGAGAATAAGGTTGAGTAGTTGTGAAGTGAGCGTTAGCAGCAATGACAGAGATGACAGGCAAGGGGTGTGTAGTTGATTGCACAGAATGCGTGATCAGTGAATACCGTATTTACTCGTGTAATGAGCGCCCTCACATATTGAACGCACCCCCAACTTCAGTCATCAAAATTTGGATTTTTTTCCACCGCGTAATAAATGCACCGACTGCATTCACATTCATCCACTGCAGTCCCACTAATCGACACCTTGTGCCTTCTCGCCCGTTGGATCTCTTGCGTTTTTTATTATTTTGCCGACTCCCCTAGGCCACCGCGCCTCGCTCCCCCCTCCCCTTTGCCCGTTGCTGCGGGCCGTATTGTTTTTCTTTCTATCTGTGTGCGGCACGTTCCTCGTCTTATCTGTGTGCCACAGTGGGGCTCACAAACGATGCGACTGTAGAGACATCGCAGCTGATAAGCACACAGCGAGCGAAGGTCACTCGCTGTGTGCTTAAAACTTCCGGCGCCAACCGATCCACGGTCACTTCCTGTGAATATGAAAAATCCCAACCGCAAGGCACGCGATTTTCGAGCAATTACAGGAATTACTGTCGCGAAGGGTCATTCGTTGCTGTCGCGTCGCAGGTTTCTGGAAAACCAGAAAAAATCGTTTGATGTCCAGAAAAAATCGTGACAATTTCCGCAACATGGTAGAACCCCCGATTCTTGTTTCGCTTGTTATCCACGCATAGAGGAATATTTGAAGCATTCGAATTCATCGAATATTTGAACCAATAGTAGTGTAATTGAATTTGCTTCGATTTAAATTTACATTACGGAAAATTTCGAAGTATTCCCAATAAACGAATAGGTGTATATTAATTTTCTTGTAACCGCCTGTAAAAATGGTTTCACTGCAGTGTGGGTAAAAGCACTTATCTAGGAGAAATTTGCTCTGCCGCGAAGCTTCACTTCAATTTTAAAGGGGCCCTGCAACACTTTTTGGGCATAGTCGGAAAATGCTACTGATCGGTGACTGAGCCTACCAAGAACGCATGGGCCAAGCATTATAGCGCGTCAAAGCCGTTGTATCAGCCATTGACTGTTTGAGCATTGCGCGCTTGTCGTTATTGGGGCCGCCACGGGAGCCCGCCACTTGATTGCAGCGGGCGACAAATCTTGGCAACTTCACTCGTACTAGAGAGATTGTAAAAATGTTGGGGTGGTGAATTCGTGAGGCAATAAGCTTCTTTAGTGAGTGCATTCCATTGCTACTTGAAAAGTGTTGCAGGGCTCTTTTAAACTATATATTATCCCTAAATTGATTCATCATTTTGTTAAGTATGAAAGCTTTCTAAGAGGACTTATATGATCTAAGTATAATAAATATTAAGAAGTTACATATTTCATAGATTATCACTCATATGCTGCCAAAGTCAAATCCTGCTACTACTCAAAGTTCTATTGACTTCCTTTGAATGGAAAAAAAAAAAAAAGATATTTGCATAGAAGCCTTCTTTAATTAAAAAAAATATTGTGCAGGTTAGTTAGGTCATAATATATAGGCCCATTTTTCGTTCTATACCATATATATACTATTCGAGTTGGTTTCCAAATTATTCGACCAAAATCACTATTAGCTTTGAATTCGCTTTGAATCTAAAATTCACTATTCGCACAAACCTAATTTTGATGCTTAGGGGGGTAGCTTGCTGCAGTGTTGGTTACTTTCTACAATGTCAATGGTGGCATCACAGTCATCGTACGAGGTTGCTGCGATGTTGGCAAAATGCGTCGTAGCGCACGCTTTTCGGCGCCCGTGGAGATCACAGCAGATACCACTGTTGCGGTTAAACGATTGCAAGAACAGATAGCCGCAAAACGCTTTTATGGTGTGCGCCAGCAGCCCAGAGACAGTTTGCAGAAGATAGCACCATCAACCACCGAAGATGAGTAAAGTGCTACAAAGAAGCTGTTTTTAAACAGTGTACGCGTATGTCGATTGCAATAGGATAAGCGGCCTAACTTTTTTTTGCATTTCCTCAGTTTTCCCTCCTCTCGAAAATGTTTTCATAAAATTTATCCGGCGTAATAAACGCACCCCCCAACTTTGCTCCGATTGTTCGAGAAAAAAGTGCGTTCATTAAGTGAGTAAATACGGTACACTCATTATGAAGAGACAAACTTTTGCAGCGTGTAAAATTATCTAATAAATAGTTTATTTGATAACTAAAGCTTAGGCTGCTGTACTGTTCACTGTCGCAATGTGACGTTGTTTGAATGTGTTGGCCGCTTTTTCTCTGACAGCCCCTTGCATGCCGTGAGCTTTGCGGCGGGGACAGCTGGCCTGGGCCTGTGGCTGCTGTCGGTGGGTGCCAACGGCCTGACAGCCATGCTGGGTGGTGCCAACCTGCTGCTCTACACGTGTGCCTATACCCCTCTTAAGCGCTGCTCCATTGTCAACACCTGGCTGGGATCCGTGGTGGGTGCCATCCCGCCGCTCATGGGGTGGGCTGCCTGCACGGGCACCCTCGACGCTGGTACGTTCAAGTGTCTAAGCATTTCAGATAATGTTTCAGCATTGCAGCTGTGCTGCTAGAGTGTACGTCGGTCTTCACTTGCTTCAAATGTAGGGGGCAGAAGTAATCTCTTATTAGTGGTCCTTCTCAATTGCCACAATCCAGGCTTTCCTCACAGCAATAGTAGTCAGAAAACTGGACATGAAATGTTTCCAGTTGTAACAGCAAATCACAGTCCTAGTTTGCGAGGAGCATCTTAACATGAAGCAGAGCCAAAAATGCTAGTGCTTCATTGCAGCTATGTCCACAGAAAACATCACAAGACAATCAGTGACATAGGAAAACAAGTAAAAGAGAAAACTTGCTTGAGCAAGCTTCTGATAGTGGCCGTGGGCGTTGGCATGGTTTTGCATCAAGGGGATTGAAGGGAGGCTGCGAGGCCATATAGGGCCGTGGTGGAAGGGGCAGGGTGCTGGTGTAGCCCGATTGGGGCAAGGGCCTCTTTGGCACGCTGCTGCTGATGCCCATGGTATGGGAACAGTGTCCCCTGAGCACGGCAAGAGCTGGCAAAAGTGGCTATAGTGCTTTAGTTGTGAATAATCTACTTTCCAACCCAATTATAATAAGGTCACATATGCCAGAGAAGTAGTTTCATGACACTCAAACTATGATATAATGAACCAGGGTATAATGAAATATCAGTTATAACGAAGGAAATTAAAAACAGGCTTACAACAAATACAGCATAGACCACTCATAACGCAAATCGTTGTGTGTCTAGCAAAAAAAAGTACCATCGCTAAACTTCGCCGCCTACTTCTCAGACCACTTCGATAATGCGCATTACACAGAAACTGCAGAATCATGTCCGCAATTTCACGGGCTGAAACTCCAATTGTTCGATTTCTCAGGTGCGCACCTGATTTCAGGATATCGCAATCGAATCGCGAACTACCATACGAGCACCACATGTGTCACCCTCGTTTTCATTAATGGTATGTGTCCCTTTCCGTCAAGTGCAGCCACTACAGAAAAGTTTCCAGCGCCGATTTGGCCTAGCCTGCCGTTCTGTGTGTTCTCTTGGGAAGTTTGTCCAAGACATGAATATTCGGCGTCGAAAAGACCGCACTCAAGCACTGAACCAAGAACAGCGTGCATGATACGGAGTTCACGTTCACGGCCGGGAGATCAACAATGCAAAAGCCCGCCAAGCTTTTGTAAGATTGCGCACTGGCTGCAAAGGGAAGTGCCCGCATTGTAAAACTGTAAAGGGTTTTAAATTTGCGGTCGAAGTAGCAAGCGCGGTATGTGTAGGAAGCTTGATAGCGACGACGCTTTTGTCGGCAACTATATAGCGCAGTTGATAAGGATTAAATCTCACGTGCCCTGTTCAGCTGCGCGCGGATGTAGCCATGCTAGCGACACGTTCTGTAGCCGCGTCGGCGTAGGTGTAAAGGCTTATTCGTAGTCCTCGGCGATTCCACAGCGTGCTGAGGTCTTTTTTCTTTTTTGTCTTTCCTCCGCCCTTTGTTCGTTCACTCTGCATCCCCTCGTCCTTCGTGCGACCTCGTCGCACGCTCCTCAGTGCGCTCCTTTCAGACACGTGCTCTCTACCGCGTTTGTCACAAAGATTTTCGGGCAACCACATTATAACTGGTCTTTCATCTTGGGGGACTGCTCAATAAGTGGTATGCACATACAGTCGATCCTGGATATATCAAACTCTGATATATAGAAATATTGGCTATATCGAACAGCTGAAAAATCTCCTTGAATTTTCCATGCAAAAGTATGGGACCAGTGCACCCGCATATCGAACTCCCGCACAGCGGGACATCCGCTGCATCGAACGCCGCGCCGAAGCGCAGAAAGTGCATTTTTTCTAGCAAATATTGATCAATTTTAGGCCACATTCTAACAAGTTTCGATCCTTTTTCGTGTGCAGGCGACAAAAAAAAAAAACGGTGCCATTTCATCGCGCTGATCTGGTTCGTTGCGTGGCACTTGCGAGTACATGGGTACGTTTGATGCGCGATCTGCAAGTTAGCACGCGGACAGTGTTTTCGGAAAGACCGATTGCTGAGGGCATGAAAAAAAAATGCGAAGTGACTTGGTGATCTCAGTGCAATCTTCGCATGTGGTTCCATTCCCTTCCCTGTTTGTTAGCGCACAATGGCATGCAAGCCTGAAAAGTATGGCCTTCGAGATGTGCAACCTTGTGCCATATATTTTTGGTGTTTTCGGTTTCAGAACGCGTGTCTGGGAGGCTTCGTTTTTTGTTTTATCGTTTTGCATCATAGCCGCTAAAAGCAGCGGCTGCCAACTACAATGCCACAGTCACATCGATATCTCCAACGATCGACAGGGAGAGCTGCGACGAACTCGGTGTTGCGTCTTTTGCACCTTGTGGCCTTCTCGCCTCGTTCCTGATAAATCCTCATTCGCCAGTTGAACTGAACGTTGACCCGCACGTAGCGATAAATATTATGACTGGCGCTTGGAGCGACATCAAGTAAAACACCGTCGTAAACGTTTCTTGCGGGCGAGGTGATGACTTCTGGTGCGATATGACTTCTGACAACGACGTATGATGCCCCGGTGAATTCAGCGACTTATCAGCGTTTTCGGGCACCATCTCAGACCGTAGGGACTTCATTGGTACAGGTGACAACGTTTCTGACTGCATCGATGCTGAGATTTTTGTTGCTGTTGCCGGTGCTGTGGAAGTATAGCCGTGCAGTTATGAATGTGCCGTCTTCGCTTCCGCCGCTAACCAAGCTTTTTACGCGCTACAAAGCTTGCATCGGTGTTCTGCGTCACAGTTTTGGCCGAAGAAGCTGAGTTCGCTTATTTGAAAAGCTTCAGTGATATTAAGGATGACTCGAACTTGATGGCGTTCAAGAAGCAAGACAAGTTTACGGACTAAATAAAGTGTGGTAACCTGCAGTTCACACCTTGTTTTGAGTGAATCGTTATGTTAGCTCTTATAACGATTTCTGAGGCCTGAATTCCTTTAATTTAGGCCTTAAATATGCATATTTTGTATATTGAATTGTCGATATATCGAACTATTTCGCGATCCCCTTCGAGTTTGATATATCTGTCATCGACTGTAGTACATGAGGTTCTATGGCAGCGTAAACAGGAGTTGAAAAAGACTGAATTGTAACCAGTTCTGTGCTATAAGTGGTTGCGTTATAAGCAGTCTACACTGTATAGTGTTAAAAGTGCAGCTTTATAACGATGGTTGCGATATAATAAACTCATTTTTATGAAAGATGAAACTTTGTTATATTGAGGTTTGAGTGTACTCCTGAAAATTCATTGCAAACATATTCGTAACACTGTATCTATGAGAAAGCTATTCTTCATTTACTTTGTTATTACTGATAATTTTTCATATCTGTGTTTGGTATATCAATGTTTGTGTTTATAAAGTTGACGCACACTTTTGGCGCCTTCCCAGGAAATCTAGTCTTGTATCTCACAGTCTGTGCATCTTGAGCCCTGACGATACAGCTGTGCTCCACCTTGGCAATGGTCAATCCAGTAATAAAAGCACGGACACTTTGGTTATAACATTGTGGCAGGTTTGAAAGCCTAGTGCAGCTGCTGAAAATTTGCAATTTGCAGGTGCCTGTGTGCTGGGAGCGATGCTCTACTCATGGCAGTTCCCGCACTTCAATGCCCTTTCGTGGAACCTGCGGCCCGACTACTCGCGAGCAGGCTACCGCATGATGTCTGTGACCCACCCGGACCTGTGCCGACGCACTGCGCTGCGACACAGCATCTTTCTCGCAGGGTTGTGTTTTGCAGCGGCACCTCTCAGTGGACTGACCACGTGGACCTTCGCTGCCACCTCGATGCCGTTGAACGCTTACATGCTCTACCGTGCTTGGAACTTCTACCGCGAACCCGACAGTGCGACGTCACGGGCGTTGTTTCGGCTAAGTCTGCTGTACTTGCCCGTTTTGATCGTCCTTATGATGGTCAGCAAACGGCGAGACGGTGCAAAGCAGACTTCAGGTGGTTCCTCAAAGCAGCTGCTGCCGGTGCTACAAGCGGGAAACTCCTGAGAATGTTTACATTATGTCTAAGGGACAATCTCCACAGTTGCGAAATGGGAAGCACCTGCAAGCGCATGACTGTAGAAAGGCTATCGAAAGTCAAAACGGTGTCACTTAAGCATTTCTCGCCAGGTTACTTGGGCCTTGTTAGACCGGAATGAAGAACACAAGTCAGGACTAAAAGAAGAGGCTGAGTCTAAAAGAAACACAGGAGAGTCGTGGTCACAGCTGTGCTGGCTCCGAGACACCACTGCTTATTTTTGTCATGGAGCAAAAGAGTTTCAGAGACCCTGCTTTTGAAAAGAGAGGCTCAGAACTTCATGCTGTCCATGGAGATAGCTGAGAACTTGCGACGATGAAGCTTAGCGCAATATGCCCTGCAGGTCTGCATATGTGGATTTCACAGCAGTCTCGGAGTATGTATTGCGCACTACCCCTGCAAACTGGAGATGCTTCTCCTCAACGCAGCGCAAGCAGACCTCGGCGTCGTTTCTGCTAAAAGGTGACAAAGCCCGAGTGTATTCAGCAATGGCCGTCCATGTGGTGTGCACTGTGGTCATCTCGGCACCAGACACGGGAGTATCTGCGAGCCTTTTAATGCGAGCGTTTCAAGCGTGTGCCCTGTGATAATGTACCTCAAATTCTGGCAACTCCCGGTGATGCCAGTCATAGCGCGTTCACAAGATGTTTCATTTGTGACGTCTGCCGATGCGTAATTTAAGAAGTCTCGTCACTTATGCAAATGTATTTCGTTGCACTGGAACCACAACGCGTGCTTGTCCGGAGCGAGTACTTAGCAGTTTGCCTTGAGCACTGGTACTAGCTTGCTTAGACGATCAATGTGCAAGCCTGTATGTACTGTACATAGTAGGTACGTAGATCTGTACAGAGATTAAGTGTAACTTGTCGCTTTTTTGACGTATTGAGTTTCTTGTGACATGCGTATGCACAATGTTTGCAAGGTTTGTCTGGAGCAGAGATGTCATGAATTGCGAAGGTGTTAGGCCAGACTTGTGCCATCAGTTGGAAACCGCCTATTATTGTTGTTTTGTAGTTGCTACGGCTATCAGTCACCGAGTTTATTTGCCTTGTTAAGGTTGATCACGATGGTGTAACTTTATTTGATCCTCATTAGATTTGTCATTTTAATGGCAACTAAAGTTATAGTGGCATCTGATTTGCACTTTAGGCATTGTTATTATGCTGGATGTTTTATGTGGTTTGTCTTTGTTGGAATAGGGTATTTAATTAACTGACCACACCTGTGGCATTTGAAAAGTTCTAGAGCAGCAATTATCATTCTATGAATTGAGTAAGCAAAACAAAATATTAAGTAAGTCTGGTGCGGGTCTCGTCTTACATGTATTTCATTAATTTCTGAATTGCTTTGCTGTGTGGCAAATGCAAAGTGTTCTTGTGCAGCCTTTCAAAAATGCATTTGGCTACATGTCTGCTCTGTCGTCCACTATACGAGCATTTGTATGTACTGTAGGAAAAATGCATGTGTACTTTTTCGTAGATACTATACGATTGCACAGCAGGCCTTCAAGTACAGCTCACAATTGCTTATGCTTCAGTTGGATATATCAGATAGACTTGTAAATTAGGAAATTAATTAAGATTTCACTCCAATGTGCTAAAACTATGCGAGGCAATTTAATTCAGCATCAACAATGAAACAGCTAAGTGCCTTTTTTTCTGACATGGAATAAGCCTCTTTCTTCTGATGTTTTTGACGAGTCTTAAAGGTCCCGGTGATTAATTTTATATGGTGCCAGCTGCATCGCAGGCATTTTTTATGTACAGCCAACCGCAAAAATTTGCGGAGCGTGCGATGTGTGCCAAACTGCCTCTTCGCGCCACCTAGCGGTGCGCCATCTTCTGTTGACCGCAGTGTGAGCCCCGAAATGGGTCTTGTTATTCAGTGGCCTTTCAGTTTTTACTGCCGCTTAGCGCAGTGTTGGCAGTTTCCATGCGAAGCGATTATCTGCAGTACGACCATCACATTTCTATTTTCATAGCAGGATCATCACTATCACGACATGCCTCATCCGTTGGCTAGGTGTCACTTTGTGATAAAGAACAGTTGTGCTCAGAAACTGCTTTCTAGGCAGGAGTACTTAGACGCAGATGCCAAAAGGCACGTCGTGTTCTGAAGTAAAAGTTGAAAAATATTTGTACCCAGTCAGAAAACAGATAGACTCAAACCTCATTATAACAAAATTGCATCGTTCATAAAAATAAGTTTGTTATATACCAAAATTTGTTATAAAGGTATTTTTCTAATACTATTCTTCATTTACTTCGGTATAGCCGATATTTCGCTACATCCGGGTTTGTTATATCGGGGTTTGAGTGTAGATTAAGGGAGGGATGCATCTTGGGCGCTGCGGTGCTGTCGATTGCTGCTGACGTAGCGAAAGTACCGCGAAGAGGCTTTTGGCCAAGCACTCGCGTGGTCTGTAAATTTTTGTGGCCGACTGTATGTGTGTTCCATTGATTTTTTTACAGGGGTTGATTGAGACATTCTTTTGCGATGCATAAAGATGGGTTTGTTGATCAGGAGTCAGCTTGCCTTGTTTGTTCTGTGGTGTACACGTATCCCGAAGGAGTACGGCCACCAGCGTGGGTGCGGTCTTAGCGAGCCGTCGCTAAGACCGGACGCGTTAACCGTCGCCGTGGCGAGAACACGATACTGCTCAAAGTCGCAACACTTTATTGTGGCAACACCAAACGCAGTACAGCCCGTTGCAAAGGCGCGGCGGGAAAAGAAATAGGCTTATCCACACCACGGGCATAAAAGTACTGCACAGGGTGCCACGAGCACGTCTCCGCGGTAAAGGTGATCCACGGAGACACCGGGACCAAGGCCCGGTTGCTCGAGCGAGGGCAAAGGCGCTCGCGTTGGCTTCGGAGGGAGACGGGTCGGCGTAGCTAGGCCACGCACTAGGACACTGTACTGCCCTTCGGCCGTGCGTACGCAGTGGGGCAACAAAAGGTGAGCGTTCGCCTCGGGCGCGAGGCGCCATCAGCGAAGTTCGACGAGCCCCGAGCGACTGGAGTTGACGAACGGAAAAGATTGCGTGGCTCACCGTTTGCAGTCCCGGAGAGTATCTGTCTGCCCGCTGCCGACGCAGTACGCGAAAACCTCTCGGGAGGCTCCGCACGCAGTGCCACAGTCAACATCCGCTACCGGGTGAGGGGGGTTAAACATCACTCCTCTCCCCCAGCACGGCAGGCAGCAAAGGAGGGGAGACGACATGTCGGGACATGAGAACGGCATATAAGGTGGCAAAGCCCGCGCAAAGGCAGCGGGTTAGCCTCAATTCCCACAGTTCTTATGTTGGCATTTAACAGTGTTCATTAGTTACTTGAAATCAAGACATTGTTCTCATTTGTTCCCTGATTTTAAGACACACATGTGCAGTCATAGGATGCCATTCACGACGTAGAATCATAAAATAAGCTGCAACTACATGCCTTTTTACATCTCATGTATCACCTTTACATGCGCCTGTAAACAACTTCCACTTGCAGTATATTTTCATGCTGCAGTTCAATCTCCTCTCATTGAAAGAGAAAAAAAAAAAATCGAAAGGCAGATTAATATTGCATACTGTGTAATGAATATAATAATTAACACTTATATAAATAAGAAAATAACGTACTGAGTGAGTCGCACAGTGCGATAGAGCCTCAATAGAATGCAGCTCTTTATGTCAGGGACGTTTTTATAGCTCCTACTCGTTTCCACTGATAGGAATCTATTTCTGTGCTCAATGTAACGAAGCAGTTTTGTAGGACAGTTTTTAAGCAGCACATTTTCATGGGTGAGAAAGTCAAGTTGGGAAATCATACAATTGTCGAAATATTGAGGATCTTGCAAAGGCAGGCCAAGCGAATGCAAAATAGATTTCACCCCATGCAAAACCGCGGATACACAAATGTCCAAATCAGCCACACCGTGCATTTATTTTTACACCGAAATCGACATTTCAACATCTCAAAAATTCATTGCATTTGTTTGTACACAAAAACAGTTATGTTACAATTGTGGTGGTGACACTTTTGTGCAACAATGAATGTTCGAGTTGCTGCCAAAATTTTCTTTGATGTCTTTGAAAGCTTATGGGGCTATGTGGAGGGTAATGGGATATGCAATGTAAATTGTGCAAATTAGATAAAAACCTTGGTGCAGCGAACTTTATGATAAAACGATTTCTTTCGCTGCGGGCATGACATTGTTATACTAAGGCTCAACGGATTTAAAGGCAGAAAACAAAAAGGTCACAAAGACTTGAGTAGGGCAGCTATGCGTGTTGTATTTTTTTATCTGAAATGGCCATAGCCTCCCTATGTGAGCAGGCTTACATAGAAGAGCTAAGCTATTCTTGTTGTGTCAAAAAATTTGCCGTGATTGAGTGGGGTTAAACCTTTAGTGATATACCTAAATTTCACCTGCTTTAGGAAAGTACGTATGACACTAATTGTTTGCAGAGACTTCACCTTATTGTGCGTGACTTCGTTTAGTCAACGGTGATAAGATATCTACGTGTGATAACTATGTGCCACGACAAAAAAGCGAACGTCTTCCATCTCTACACTAGACATATGGATGCTGCTCGGCACCGTTGCTGCCCAAGGTGAGCACGAACGTGCGGTGAACTTGGCGGTGACAGCACATTGAGCCAGTGGATGTTGTCGCAGACGTGGCACACTGGTGTTCACAAGCTATGCAGACATTGGTCTTGGCATGAGCTTGAAGGTCGCATTCACAGAACGAGGCTTTTCTGGGTTTGTATTGTTGAGCAGAGTTATCGCACCGAAAGCGATGAAACCTTAATAAGAAAATTAAATGTAAAGATGGGTGGGAGGTATGTTCGACTTTGAAATGGTGAGTGAAAGTGTCAGGAATACCATACAGAGGGATTCTTCTACCTTAATGTGTTCAAGTGGTAATTCAAACAACTTGGTAACAATGAACTTGGAGGATGGAGGGCTTTAACTTTTGGGATTTTTACTGCCCCCCAGTTCCATCCTGGGTGGTCTACCGACTTGATGGTGAGTCCTATAAGGCTCCTTTCATTATTTTCCTCAGGAATTAAACTTCTTGTCATGTCTCATACCATACGCTGGTCCTGTACGCACAATCTTCAAGACAAGACGGCAAAAATCACCGCATACATGTCAGATGCCACTGACCAAAAATGAAAATTCTTAATGAATGTTGAGGCATTTACAGTCACATTATGAAAGGTTGTTTATTGTTTAAGTACCTTTATCCCTGCCCTCTCCCTAAAACTTGGAAGCTGGCAGTTTGGACTAATTCGTAGGCCATGATGATTGTAACTCATCGTGAAGCAGTGAGTAGTATAGGTTCTTTATGTGAATTGAAAAACCGTACACATCAGTTTGATTTGACTTTTAAAGTTCAATCAGTGCCTGCGAGTTTTGAATTAGTAATGGATCATGAATTGTTAGACACTTCAGATAATCCTGTATAAACAAGCCAAGTTGCTTTTGCCACGTGCCACTTACTGTTACAATGACTCGGAAGGGCATGTTAATTTTATGCTTTTCTGCGAGAAAAAAAAAAACAAAAAATCACGCTGAGCCAATTTTTACCGCTTTTACTAATATACTCAGTTGGAAGTTAGCTTTGTCTTGCCCCTTTGTCGTCATTCTGAGCTCGCGCTATAACAATTGTCTCCATGAAACCTCACTTTTGAAGCTATGTGTCCTGTCGCTATGTCGGGTGCGCGGCTAATATGCAAAATTTGCGGGGACGCGGCTCTGTGCGGTGCACATTAATTTAGAACGCCAATGTCCCCTTTGGTCTCGTAGAGCTAGTTTTTTTTTTTTTTTCGGGTAATTTCCAGCGCATTCCACTAGAGAACCACTATGTCCTGCCTGGCGCAGCCATGCGTTGAGAAAGTTCAGCAAAGCCTGAAATTAAGCTACCTGATGCGATGTTTCAATGTAATAGCGCTGAGCGAAATGCACGAATGACTGCGCATTACTTTACATTAAAACGTGCTCTCAGAGCAATCGAAACCAAATCTGCAGCTGTGAGAACAGTTTAGTGGCGTCACAATCCGCGTTAGGCTTGGTGTTAGAAAACACTTTTTCATCTAAATTAAAGAGGGTAAGTATGTTGGAACGCAACATATAACGCAAGAGTACAACAAAACCACACACACACACACAAAAACAGGCTTGGTAGAGGTTACCCTCACAGGCCGTCAGGTGGCAAGTCATCATCATCACCACGAATATTATTGCTGTTCTGTGGCTATCATCATCACCCATTCAATCGCCGGCGTCCGTTTCGAACAAGAATGGCACCGGCGTTGACGAGGTAGCGTTTGTTGGTACCACCTGGTGTAGCTCGCCCATTGTGTACAACGAAAGATACTACCGACTTTAGATTAAATGGCGTGGCAATTTTCTCTGACGTGGTTTGTGGCGGCTGCCTGCTTCGCTGTCGCGAGTGAGCCCGTCCCGTTCGAGGCACCGAGCGGCGTCGAGCAGGGCGAGCGTCATTACAAAGCCGTGCTGGCCAAAATACCCGAGTACGGCGCTTGCTGGAGCGACGCGGTCTCACGGCTCGAACGAGGATGCGACGAGCTCACCGAGGATTTACAGGTATGACACAGGCATCCGTCGCACTGCTTTTACATTGCAGGGTTGGCTTGCGCGCGCTTTTATCTAGGCGCACGTGAACACGGTGTTGTTAATCGCGCGCTCTTGCTGTCGCATGAACACGATGCGGATTATAGCGCACGAAAGAAACACAAAAGGCTCCAACCTACGACGACGTTTATATCGAAAACATTGTGTAACCGTCATCACCGTACATAGTGTTCGATACCGAGCTATCTTTACGAAGATCGGCGAGCTTTTCACAGATGAGTCACAGAACACCTGACTGAAGTGCAATCGACGATTAGGAAACACAGTTGTCCGCCGGCCTACCGAGCGATTCAGCTTAGATTATTTCGCGTGTTAACTGATCATCTTCTGGTAACAATTGATCAGTCAGAAAAATTGTCATACACGTGGTGTAAGCGTGAACACAATGAGGACGGGCCGCTAATTAAACGTTGAATTAAAAAAAACATGGGTGGGGGGAAGGGTACTTCATGAATTCCGCGTGACGAAGTGTATTGGGGACCGAGAGACCAACAGTTACAAAGTAATAGCATGATGAAATGAATCGGGGACCGAAAGGCCTACAGCTCCAAAATAATCGTCAGATTTGGGTGCACGTTAAATAATCCCAGGTGGTCTAAACTTCCGGAGCCCTCCACTACGGCGTCTGTGAATCATATGGTGGTTTTGGGACGTTAAACTCCGCATATTAATCAATAAAAATCTAAAATAAGCGCGACTGAAACAGACCCTACTTGCACAGGATACGTCGTTGAATGCTTAGTTTTAGGTCACTGATCACAACCGCAACAGCAATCGTAGCGGTGGTACGAGTTGCTGTTTTATGTTTTCGACTTTTTTACAGGTGACACCGTTGCCAGTTTCGTCATGGCGCGTGCTCTTAATAATTTAAATAAATGAATTTGACATTATACAGCCAAGATAGCAAATTTTTATGGATGGACTGGGCCGCAAATTTTAGCACGGGTAGTACAAAAACACGCACGAGGGGGAACCTTTTGTTTTGCATTAAAACAGTGTCAGAAGGTAATGTTGTGTAAGTGGCTGAACCTAATTTCTCGCAATACTATTAAGTGTTCAATACTGCTTTTATTTTACAGAACACCCTCAAATTCTATAGGCTGGGACCTCCAGGAGCAATGTGTAGCATTCTGAAGGCAGCAGTTATGCTAGGAAAAGTTACTTGCAGTTGTGAAGTATAACAAGCAGCCAAGGAAAATCATACTCCCCTTTTCCTCTGTCTTATAGTACATCACTGCATAAAGTAAGGGTAATATTGGAACAGATCCGAGATGAGTTATCCAAACACAATTTTTGCTGCTGTCATAATCAAGCCATTCTCATTGTCATGTTGTCACTTTGCCTGGAAACTCATTGGGGACATGAAGCTGTAGTGAATAGACTATTAAATGCACAATGATTTGAATAGAAGTGGTGTTCAAATTGCATTATATCTGTGCCCCCATTTTTTTCTCTTAAAGGTTTTGTTACGCAGCTCATTCATCGTAAGGTAGCTTTTTATTACTGCTTATGTTCGCGCACTTCAGCACCCAGCTATGATCGGCAAGTGGTGGAAGTTGGGGAACGAGGCATGGATGCTGTCCTGTGATTACCATAAAAGGCCCACATTCCTGTTATCAAGTTTACAGGGTTAATTAAAAACAACTGTGTGTTTGCCGGAATTCTGCCTGTTACACATTGCTATGCTTCATGTATTTCATTTAGGTATGTTTACCATCAGCCTATGTCGTGCCCATTATACGGCAAAGGTCCACTTCAAATGATCTCCAATTTACCATATCTTGTGGAAGCTGGTTCCATCTTATCCGTGTGAACCTTATTTCATGACACCATCTAACTTACTGCTGACCTCTGCTGTATCTTTAATCCCATGGTTACTGTTTAATTGCTCTTTTTAACCATTGGCTATTTGTACTACGCATTTTGTGGCTGGCCCAATCTATTACATGGCTGGCCCAGGCCCATTGGCTAATGGTAGTGATGTGGGCTTGTTGTTGTGTCATTTTCATTTAGCTGTAGCACAGCTAAGAACAAAGACACACAGGGAAGGAGGCATGTGACGACGAACAGTGGCGTGTCGCCAGATCTCCTACTCGGGTTCATTTCTTTTGCGTAGTGCTAACAAGTGTCCACCACCCCTGCTTCTTCTCATGTGGAAGATGCACTGCCCGACTAAATCTCTCAGTGCATCTATTATTCTGCTAAGTTTTGCTCGGCTGCAACCATCTTCCTGCTTACACACAGTTGTCACTTCTTCTGTTTAGCTGGCATTGCACTGCTCTCGACTAGAGAAATAACTTCAAAGCACTTTGTTCTTTCTCAACCCAGTGAAGAGCATGAAATGGGCTACCAAATATGATGTGCCGCAGACAGCACTTGTTTTAGGTTATTATGAATTTGGTGCCACCAGATGCCACTAAATATACACTTCGCAGCTAATTGTCAATGCACACCCACCACTAATCACTCTTTCAGTTATTTAGTGCTCTGGTTTGAGAAAATTTTGTAGGAAGAAATGTACTGTATGCATAGTAAAGTGTTCAATCACCCAAAACCACAGCTTTTTTTAAAATATTTCAGTTTTAGATGATGTAGCTATACTAATTGTAAATTGGCTTGTGTAGTGATTTTCTTGGCAGCAGTATTTTTGTATATTGACATGCATACTAGTCTTTTTTTTTCCACACTGTCTAGCAAACCCTTGTAAAACTTATTGCTCATTGCGTGGGAAGCGTCTCTAATGTTATTGGCCATTCTAATGAGATTGTTAATGTGATGTGTTTATCAGTGTGCATTCCAGAAATCACTGGAATCTGCTATACTGCATGTACGTAGAGCTGATTCATCTCATGTGTAGCATAGTTTCCCGATAACCTATATGTGTGCTTGCTGCTATTGTTGTGCTTTTGTGTTTGTTTTTCTGGGCACTAATTAGCCCCAATGAAGGATTGACTCTTTATCTAGTCCTTTGACTATCCAGCTGCAGCCTACAAAATTCATAGAATTAATACAATACGCGTAAGCATAACCTCTTGTCAATGCCCATTTCATGTGCAAAGTATGGTGACCACTTGCTATGCAGTGTTAATCTAAAAATATGTAAGCTGATGTTATATCATTGTTTTCGTAAAATGCTGGCCATTAATTATATGTCGTTTACCCATTTGTACGTGCTCGATCTACTTCTACACTTTTGTAGCACAGGTATTCAGATATATATTCTCTTCTAACCTGTTATATTTTCCTTAAAAAACTGTTGGATGCGTCTAGATTATGCAATAACTCTGATTAATGCTGTGGTGCTTATTCACAGTGGCATGCAGTATATCATGCTTTTAATTTATTGTTTTAATTTCTTGTTTATGTGCCATTACATATGACCTCTTTTGTTGGTAGTGGGAGCCAGTCAAGCTTCTTTAGCACTGCTTTTACTTTCACCATCTTTCATGTACTTCACAGGAAAGTAAACATTCAATCCTATTCAATGTAGTCACGGCAGCGTGGCGGTATTTTAGAGGTGGTATCACATAGCACTGTTTTTGGAATGCACTGCCGGGACAGTTATACCATCCTTTTTATTGCCTGTGACAGGGTCGTCTCGCGCTTGCCTTCACAAGCTGCTTTCTGGAGAAAATGGGCAAGCCACCCATTCAATGCCGCGAGTCGCAACCCCTGTCACGCTGTGCAGCCCTGTCCGAGTTCCTCGAGAAACCCCTGGCAACATCGTACACCCAGTTCTTCACCCACACGCAGGCAGGTGGAATTTGCAAATAACGAAAGCTCTTTGGATAAAAAACAATCGAATTGTGTTTAAGTGGTCTGTGGTTTCGCACACATCTGAGTTGGAAAGGGAAAATAGACAACCACCTGTTTGTGGCACGAAGCCACAAAGAAATCCGTACTGATTTCTCAGCAGGAAAAGCTTCTCAGTTGCCTAAAAATTCGTGCTGGTTTGGGGATCGATCCCAGGACCAACGCCTTTCTGGGGCGATCGTTCTACCATTTGATCTAACCAGGAAGCTAGCCAGAGCTTGTGGTTCTGGCTTCTTGCAGGTCTCCGCAGATATCATTTGCGTTACTTGTGTCGATGTGCTTTGAGTTGTCGATGAATTTGCCCTTGCACTGCTGATTGCTAGCTTCCTCGTTAGATCAATATGTGAAAATATTATGCGGAAATATGTTGCTCGAACAGCTTTTCCTATGTCCTTCAAGCCGGCTCTATTTCTTTTAATGGCCAAACGATAATAGTTTTTCTGTTTGCCAATGATGGCACCCATAACACGTCCCCGTCCAGATATAGATTTCTTGCAGAAAGCTTGATGCCTCTACTTTTTTTTTATTTCTCCAGCTATGGGCCCATTCTTTTCTGGATGTGCCAAATGCACTCCAGCTTGCAAACTATAACCTCTTCGTACGGCTATGATGCTTCAACTGGAAAGAACCCCTTGCTACGCAAGAATAGGGGAAGGGCAGGCCCGCTGCACAAGTTTTGAAATATGTCTTTTTGAGAGAAAAAAAATTGCACTGAGGCAAACAAATGACTGATTCTGGTTGAAAAAAGGCTGCAGATTTAAAATAAGGCAAAAAGAAGAAAATGAATTTTTTCAATATTTTTGCTTAACCTTGTCCCCTTAAAGGGTCAGTCAACAGGCTCTGACTTTTTTTACACCCCCCAAAAAAGCTTGCACTTCTTTCATACGTCTGACCAACCTCCTTCAACGTGCAGTGAAGTCGACTCAGCGATCGGTGACGACGTCATCATCCGTTGTTAAGACCAGAATTAGACCAATCGGCGTGCTGCGTCACGTCGCCGATCGCCGAGTTGATGTCACTGCACTTAGAAGGAGGTTGGTCATGTGCGGGAAAAATGCCAGAGCTTTTCCTGCGTGTTTGTTAGCCTGTTGACTGGCCCTTTAATAGTGCGCATAACTCATAAAAGATGGTGCCCGACTGTCCGTGTGCTATCATCATCAGTGGTTGGAAGGAGCAGACGACATTAGGGCTGCAATTTTCGGAGGTGCGCTAATTACTTGCGGAAATAAACAAGTATTTTTGTTGGGCAATGTGGGGGGGTGCGAGAATTGTGCAAGGATCACGCGAGTAAATACAGTAATCTGGAGAAATGCACTCAAGGTAGCAGTTAAGCTGTGAGAGAACTTTCGATAAGATTTCTCTCGCAGCTTCACTGCTGCCTTGGGACATTAAGGCCTGATCACACGTGCGCGATGAAGCGCGTGGAATGTAGACTCAGCGCCTAGCCCTCTACTTATAAAAGGAGTGAGTGCGCGACTACACAAAGTTGTGCGCCATCTCTCTCCATAAATAGAGGTCGCGGCACCCAGTGTACAAGCTACGCACTGACACATGATGGGCATGGAGTTTCCTATAAGTACACTAGACGGGACTCTGGCCCTGATTGTCTATGGGAGCTGCAATGCACGGCGCTTCAGTGAGCATGGGAATGACGGGTAGTACACGGATTTGTCTAATGTTTGTACTTCTGACTCCATTTCTATACGCGTGGCTTGGAGCCGCTTTGTCGCGAGACGACAGTCTGCAAATGTTCAGCAGTTGCACTTCACCGCTGTAACCTTCGAGGCTCACGAGCTGAAATCTGCTCACAAACTTCACAATGCTTCATTCGTTTATTGAAAACAAAACCAAAACACAGCAATAAACAAAGCCACAAGTGCGTTTGAAGCCCACATTTGTGTGCATTTGTGTACTACCCACTATTCTTATGGTCGCTGAACGATCGTTGCGCCGGAGTCCCCTATAATTAAATTGAGGAAACTTTGCGGTGACGTATATGTGTGGTCAAGAGCCCACCAATGAGCCAGTAAATTGCTAATGTAACCCAGCTTTGCAAAAGTGTGATTATTGGCTATGCACTCGCATCTCGCAGGTGATTTGCGCGTTTCTGCGCAGCCGCAAGTGGCAGGCAGAGGCGGCGCACACCATCTCGGAGCTGGGCGCGACCAGCGTGCGTGCCACTGCCGAGCTGAGGCGTGCAGCTGAGACGCAGGCGCAGCTCATGCGACGGCAGCAGCAGATGTTTCAAAACACCGAGCGCCTGAGGCAGGAGCTGGCCAATGCGCACTCGACACTGCACGAGCACCGGGAGATGCTCGACACAAGTCTGCTCCGCCTCTCTTACGTGCAGGTGAGGTAGACACCCTTCAGGCCCGTTTGGGTCAAGTGTTCAGCAAGGGTTATTTGTTTGTCATTGAGGATCAATTAGCTCTGCCGAATTTGGGAATGTAGAATGAGCGTCGTTCGGGAAAAAGAGATTTGTGAACAAAGATTCCGTGCGGTAGCGGAAACGTCTCGCTTTTTGCTTTTATCGGGGTGAGCGTCCTGTTTTGATTGTCTTCGTGTCTGTTCCTGACTAGACGGGTTTACATGTAACACGCGATTCCAAACAAAGAAACAGTATACAGTCGACATCCGATTTCCCGGACCCTTAAGGGACCACGAAAATGTCTGGAAAAACGAATGAAAGTGAAGACACACTTTTCTAATGGGTTTTTTTCGCTGACAGAGAGGGTTATCATGGCAGGAGTACTGGATTCTCATTGCAATTCAGCAAATGCATCGTTTAGGTGCGTTTATATAAAAAAAAAACGAAAAAAAGAGAAAAAAATTCTATGTGACCGGCGCTGCCACATTTGTAAACACTTAGGCGCAAGAAAAAAAAAAATTGCTTGTTTTCATTAGCACGACGTTCCACTTGCCAATGATGATGTGTGCCTTTGATTTCAACTAATGCCTTGCTGTCGCTGTACCCTGATGACTGCGTCAGTGCTCACATCAACTCCGAGCTCAATGGCTGTGGAGGCACTGCCTCTTTGATCTCGGTGTCGAAGTTGTTGGAATCCTTCCTAACATAATGAATGATTTCATCATTGGTCATTTTCCCACGCAGCTCGAGGTCTTAGTCAGCGTCCGCAAAGCCCTCAAGGTTTATTCCAGCTGGAATCTAAACGCCGGCAGCCCGCATATTGTCGAAGTTCGCGTCTGCGGATAGAAGCTCGTCACACATGCTGTCCTCCCCGGGCGAGACTGCTGTCTGACTGAATTCCCTTGATGAAAAGCGCAGCGTCATACAGCTAGAAACTCAGTTGGCAAACATGAACGCTGAAGATGGCGCATAGCAGCATCCAACCTACTTCAGAGCTGAAAGAAGAACACATGAACAAACACAGTGAAGTTTAACCACAGGTTTGTTTAAGTACGGCTGGCAACGGATTGGCTTGCACTAGATTGCAGTAATTGAAGTTTTGAGGGTACAGCAGGCGCAGCATGGTGCTGCTGGTCATCCCTGTTATGCGAGTATGGTGGGTTTGAGTGTGTAAAAACAACCAAAATGGCAGTGTTGGCGGTGACATTGAGTCTGAGGTCAGTGCTAAAATGTCCGCAAAATCGGATGGCGATGGCTATAAGCATCTGTCGGTCTTTTTAATACGTACATTGACTCTATGGGGAACTTGATGGTGCCACAGATGAGTTCGGGAAATCAGGCATGTCCGGAATTTTTGGCTTCCGAGATATCCGACGTCGACTGTATAATTAACAGAAACAGCAAAGAAGTAATGGCAATAATTAACTAAAGGGGGCAGACTGGTCTTAGACATTTTTTATTTATTTCTTCAGTGATCGTGATCAAACTGCATGAGATTATGCAGTTTTTTCTGCTGATCTCAAACATTTAATTACTAGTTTTTTTTTTACTCATCTTCCTGAGATAACTTAAGTTCACCCCCTATTGTTTAAGGCCAACATAGATTAGATTTGTGGGGTTTAACGTCCCAAAACCACCATATGATTATAAGAGACGCCGTAGTGGAGGGCTCCGGAAATTTTGACCACCTGGGGTTCTTTAACGTGCACCCAAATCTGAGTACACGGGCCTACAACATTTCCGCCTCCATCGGAAATGCAGCCGCCGCAGCCGGGATTTGAACCCGCGACCTGCGGGTCAGCAGCCGAGTACCTTAGCCACTAGACATATGCCAACATAGACTAATGACGATAGTAGATTGAAAGTATGCCAGAGTTTTTTTGTTTTTAGGCCCTTTTTAGTTTATTTACAGCAAAATAAACTATTCATCTTCAAAAGCAGTTGAGCAGTTGGAATTGTGTTACAATTTTGATGAGTTATCAATTAAAGAGACTTGTGCTCTAAATTCTGCTCTCATACTTGCATTCAGGTTCCCATTGCAAAAAGAATTATTGTTGTATCTGCCCTAGCTGCAGAGACATTGAGGCCTCAAAATTAAACTGCCGTAAATTTACTTTTTTTTCGAGAAAAGTGGAAAAAACTGCGAACACACAGCTTTTTCAAAAAGCAACAATCGTGGTGCGCATGTTTTGCAATCCTCATAAAGTTGCTCATAAATTCACAGCAGAGCTCCTAACACAGGTGCCGGCCAACTATAAAGAACCCTCGAAGTCTGTTCCCCATTTTTTTCGCAGGTTCTGCATGTCAACAGCGCCACGAATCTATGCAGCTAGAATGAGACTACAAAAAAAATTTCCATTCTCTGGTGTGTGAAAATTTGCAGAGAGATAGAAAAATACTTGCAGGAACCAAATATGTAAATTTTTTGAAGATGAATTTTTGGTCACTTTTTGGTCCCAAAGACCAGTCTGCCCCCTTAACTAGCCTATCAGTTCAAGCACTGATTGCTCAGTTCAAGCTCATTTATTATTATTCGTATCTGTTTAATCGGAACCAGGTAAATGTGAATAATTCTTGAAGTGCACGAAGCGGCAAGATTTTGCAATGCAAAAAAGCAAAAACAGCGTTCGGAAACAACCAAAATGGCTGTGGGCTTTCAGAAAGACGTGATCACCACCCAAAATCTTACCGCAATTACATTTTTTGGTGATTGAGGCTGCAGTGGCTGTGCAAACTTGTTTCAATTTTACATAGCGCGTTCAACTACACTAGCGAAATTCATGATCGCGCTGATCACGAAATTATAGCGATGTACAAGTGATGGGGATGGTATGTACCTAATCTCGAATGTATTTGGAATGCCATTTGGCTTAAAACATCGGAGTCTTGAGCCTTGGTCACATTGTGAACGTAGTCCTGAATGACGAAAATTGCCGATATTACATTGTTTTTATATGAAATAAGTAAATGCATTGTTGTAAATGCATTGTTGTAAAAGACACTTGTGTATTGCTTTCTCATTACTTTTGATAATTCGGTTAATTCAGACAATTCTTGATTTCTGTGAAGTTGAATTGACAAGCTTTTATCGTACTGTGTATGATTTAATGTGTTGCATGCTTGTCAAATGAACAAACCCTCGCCACATCGTCTCTTCATATAATGTGTGCTTGCAGGCTTTCTTTGTGGACCAGTTTGCTACGCTGCATTCCCTGGGATACTACGCCCTGGCGGCAGTGCTGTCCTTCCTCATGACCACTTCCAAGCGGACGGCTGGTGCCCGCCCTTGGCTACTCATGCTCTTCCTCCTCAACCTGGCGATCGAGCGATCAATCGTCAAGTGGGCCTCGCAGGACGCCGTGAACCGAGCAGCACCACTAGCGTCTGATGTGAGTGCCTCCCGATTTTCCCATGCCGACCTATCACTGATTTGAAGTCTGCCAGGCCATGAAACATCTCGGTAGACTACCGTCGAATTCGGAACAAGTTCTTCCTCCGATTTCGTATTAAATTTCAAATTTATATGCTGTTCTGAAGATGTGACTTCCCCCTTCGCTGCATCCATGCAACGCTGGCCTGCTTGAATCCCATGAAATCCGGCTTAGCATCTTGATCTCTAATGATGTAAGCCTGAAACTGTCATAGAAATTGATTTTTTTTTTCGGCATCATAATCGCACCTGCATAATAATTTGCCGAGAGTGTCCACACAATTGCTATCACAATAAGAGGAAAATGTGCCTACTTCAGCAGCAACTTGGTTTCATTGAGCAACATCAAAGTAGCTGGTCAGTTTAAACTGCACTTTATTCTCTTCAATGTGTTCTGCAAAGTTCGCTCACTCAGCTCTGCATTCCAACAAAGATACGAAGTATGTCGAAGTGTTCGAGTGCGTCGTTTGCTGTTGAACACTGAATCGCCATGGCTGCCTCTTGCTTCTATTGTGTCGTTGGCTCTGCAACCTGCAGATCGTGGCTTGTTTGAATATCATATGACCTAGTATGATCTAAAATAAAACAGTAGTTCTAGATATATTATCTAATATCTACTTTCATGGTCGCATTAGCCAGTTTGTGGCAGAAGTGTGATGTTAATGTATGAAAATGCTCCGTTTCTAAGAAGGCCTGAAAATAAGGAAAAAATCAAGTAAGCTTAGAAGTGTACGATGCGGAATCATATCAGTACAATTCAATCAGAGATGGCACCGCATGTTTCTCATCAGCTCCCAGTTAGCCCCTGTCTTCTGCTGAACATTCCAGAGCCCCCTGGGTGCGCACATCAGTCTGTCCCGTCGTCTCATCTGCCTGCTGGCCCTGTGCATGTACCTGTACCAGCTGTACACGTTCCGCGACTTGGCCGCCGTCAACAACCAGTTGCTGCTGGACCTGCAGGCCCAGATGCGAAGTTTGCGCACTTACCAGTCACCCTTTGGTAGCCCCGAGCAGCCACAGCAGGAGCGGGATCCCTCAACTAGTGAGTGGTTGTGAGAGTGCTGGAGAGGGGAGGGGAAGCGGCATTCCGATTACAGTGGGAACTTTATACGTATTGTCGGACTTGATACGGAAGTGGTACTTGCTGCGGAAAGCTTCCGTAAAAAACCTTTCGCTACCGATTCCAAGATAACTCAGGCAAGTACAGACGCACAAGCCCTCCCAATTCCTAGTATACTCTAAACCACTGCCTGCCTGTCGTGAGAAACTCACGTAAAATAATGAACTGCGTGTGTGTCCCACCGTCCATGGAGAGAACATGTGAACAATACAGCATGGAAAGTTTAGAGCAAAATATGGAATGCACATTTCTGCGTTGTTGCCAGGAGCCACATGATAGCACGCTCTGACAAAAAAAGAAATTCAGGAGCTTTTGATGAAGTGTTGGGTCAGTGTATAATTGTGACTTGTTACCTTGGTATTGTGGATGATTATCTTGTTATTTTGTGAATTGCTTGAAAGTTGTTTCTTGCAATTATTTGTTGACTTTTCTACAAGTATTTGATTAGATAATGCTAGGTAAAATGGTTTGAATGTCCTGCAGAGCATCCTGCATTTTTAGCACAAAATCTTCTTGTAACATGCAAAAAAAAAAAAAGAGTATGACATGGAGGGTGGAACAGTGACGCTGTTCTTCGTTGAGGTACTCCCAGTGCTATTGCTGTAACGCTGCTTGCAGCCCCTAGTGGGTATGTACCACTGAATTGGGCAAGTACCCATCTTCGGTTAACTAAAATTGAAGTGCGGCTTAAATATGAAAAGAGTAATATACGGAAAGCAATGAGTGAACGCATGCGGGTGGAGTCGAGGAGAGCTAAGAAGAGCAAGTGCTGGTGGGTGTAGTAAAGAGATGGGAGGAGTGTGAGCACGTGTGGGTGGAGTGAGGAAAAAGAGGGGTGGGGTCAAGGGTTTGTTGGCCGAGTGAAAAGAATGCAGGGAGAGCAAGCACTTGTGCGTGGAGTCTAGGAGAGTGGAAGTGTGCATCATACCGTATTTACCCGCATAATCCTCGCACTTTTTTTGGCGGAAAACCGATGCAAAGTTGGAGGGTGTGAGAATTACGCGGGGAAAACTTTCCTCGAAAACTTACAGAGCAAAACAGAAAACGAAGTGGCCTCATATCGGGATTCTCACACCAGCAACTAACAGCAAGCTTTGAGAAGTACTAATTAAAACTTACCTCCACAATAAAAGCACAGGTTCAAAACAAGGCAAGATTTATTTGAGACAAAAAGTGCGAGCAAATAGTCGAGAATTGGAATACCATACGCAAAGCTTGTGGGCATTGCGGGCGTAGTGGTAGCATTCGTGACTCAACAGGAGCCCTCAAAAGTTAAGCGTAGGACGTCAGTATTGGGCTGATGGCTATTTAACAGAATCGTCCGCTGTTTTCTTTCGAAGAAATGAAGTTTACCATCAGTCCCAGTTTTAGGCTCATGGCAGGCCCAACGCGTCTTGGTGGCTTTCAGCTGCCGTCACCACTAGCGAACACAAAACTCGTAGACTTCGAAGGGCCTAACGACGGCCCTGTTGCCGTTGTTTAGTGCATGATTTATCACTTTCAACTTGAAAGCAGCTGTGTTCCTTCAGTATCGCCCCATAACGTGACAAGATTACCGACGCAGCATATAAAACACGCCACAATGCGCCCTTGCCACTTTGGCTTGGCTTGGATTAGATTGAATCTTCGTGCAATATTACGCTTGATGCTTAAGTAATGGCACGCGCTATCATCATCAGTGGTTGTAACGAGCAGGCAACATTATTGCGGCCGGCAGTTTTTGGGGGTGCAATAATTATTTAGGAAAAAAAGAAATCGTATTTTTGTTGGGCGATGTGGGGGGTGCGAGAATTATGCAAGTGCGAGGATTACGCGAGTAAATACGGTATCTAGATAATCTTAGAACCTTTCGATGAGATTACGCGCGCAACGGGTACATTACAGTTTGTTCTGGAACTTACGTGGCCGCTAGCTTATGATGGCACTGGAATCTTCAATGGCACATGTATAAATGCCGCCTCAGTTTGCTACGTGGCAGATTATTGACAGCCGACGCTCTAGGTTCGCTGTTATCGGTCTACAGCGTGTAATGCTTGTAGAGTGATGTTTAGTTTTCCAGGCACAGGTGAGCCCAAATAAAAAGTTCACTCATGAAAACAGCTGCTGCTGCATTCGTTGACTGTGTGATCCCGTGACAATACGAGTGCTGACAGCTAACTCTTTTAGATCCGACGTCGCGACACTCACAACTATATAACACTGGTGTAAGAGAATGAGAGCGTCCACTCCAGGGAGAAACGCTCTTATCACACAGTCTCTTCCCGCTGAAAGCGCACCACGTAGAACGGTTTATGAGTCGTGCGCTGATGCTTGCCCATATCGCGCGCGCCAGCTATCGCAACCACGCCCTTGATTGGAATCAAAGTTCACGGCTGCTGGTCGAGCGACCCCCTTTTCTCCGTGTTTTTTCATGCTCTTGCGGCGTGTCTCCTCTCTGCTTGAGCATTCGACGTCAGTTCTAAAACGCAATGGGATGCTAACGTGTGCGCCCTCCCACCGACGGAGATCGGCCGTATCGTTTAATCGCTGCTTGGAGCAGCGCTCATCACCCCAGTTTGCGTAATTTTACGTGCGGGTCGAACGTGCAGTGCAGGGGTATTGGTACCAACTTGTATTTTATGCAGAACATGGAGGTTACGACGAAAACCTCTCGAGTGTCCATATAATCCCTATCGTAACAAAAAATTTTCGCTTAATTGCCTAGTAATGGCGCGGCGAATGCATCTGAATTTCCTTGTGGCTCTCATGTCGGCTGTGGCACTTCGATGACAGGAACATAAGTTCTTTTACAATTAATTTTATAGAGCCCTATGGGTTTAATATGAAGATAGGTAGCTTTTATTATATAGTAGCTCATCTCTAGTCGTGTGTTGCTGTTTATGTTGAATTTGGTGTTTTAATCACATTTTAACAATTTTTTCATTCGTTTGAGGTGTAGTAGCTGTCCAGAATGCCGCTTATGCTCTTTATTTGAGTTGCTGTGCTATATATAAATTTCTGGCAAGTCTGGTCGCTTCATCATCATTGCATGCTTAGTATAAACCACTGAAATGCTTTGTTTACCCGAAAGGGAAAATTCGAATTAACAGTGATGTGTGGCCCGAGAAATCTGCTCCAAAACTAATTTTCAATGCTCTAAAAGACACCTTTTGCTTCTTCAGAGCTACTCCAAAACTGAATTATTTTGGCACCCAAAGCTTCCCCAAAAGACTGAAGCCCACTTCCTTCCACCCCTGTTTATAGGGATTTGTGAACATTCTAAACGATAAATTGTTTTTCTGTCCAGTGCCCTTGCAAATACAAACAGTGAACATATAGTATGTGCCAGAGCAAGATGCATTGGTTGCATTCATATTTTATGAGTGGTGTGCTTTTATTCCTCTTGTATGCAGCCACCACATGGACGCCGCCTGAGGGAGATGCAATGCACTGGTTTCCGTTGAACATTCCGCCTGCTGCCTGTCTATTCACAAACCGCAGAGGTGGGCATCTACGTTGCGCATTTCTCTCATTGCCTCGGTCGACCTGCAACTGAACTTGCCGTTTTAGGGGCGGAGCTCCTTATGGTCGAGGTTTGTCCGCTGGTGTTGGCGTAGTGTGCTGCAGCCACAGTTAGTGACAATCACGACACTGATGGACGCGCGCTTTTTAGACCAAACATTCTCTTTCTGCTAGCACAGCCCACGCAAGGTACCCGCTGTACGCCATGACGCTGATGATAATGAGGACTGGCTCGCGCTGTGTATGACGTCTCGATATGCTGCACGATGCATTTTGTATGCCTGGAAACAACCGGCAACCACCCAGGGGAATGGGCACACACCTCCTCCTCTTTGCAAACGTCAGACTTGATCTGGTACGACAAAGCAGTAATAATGAAGGTAAAATGAAATTCACAACGCAGCATACCATTTGGGACCAATAAACCTTTTACAGTGGAACTTCGATTATACGTCCCCCGGTTTCGCGACGACCTGCATTTTACAACGAATCAGTTTGGTCTTGGCGAAATTCCCATAGAAACAACGTCGTAATGAAAAACCACTTTTACTCGAATCACATGTCGACCAAATATTCACGAAATATGACCTTGCGTACCCCAAGGAGGACTACAGGAAAAGTAGTCATCTTCATTGAATGGAAAACTTATTTTCCCGGAAGTTAATGCACTTCCACATACACCTCAATCACGTGAATACGTATCCGGGGTCGTTAACTAGTCAAGCTCTATCGACATGGAGTAGGTTCAGCTGACCAAAAAGCTGATATTTTCACTCTTTCGGTTCGTGGAAGTATTTCCTGGCCGACATACGGCCGATCTCCTGCCTTTGTCACACTCGCAGTCACTGGTTTGCGCCCGCATAAGGGCACAACGCAGCTGCTTTCACCATGCAAAATTGCTTTCGTTTGATGTCAACGTTCATGACAACAGCAGGACACCACTAGTTGCACTTCACAAGGCAACAAATTGCAACGCGCACAGCTCAGTCGCGCACGAGTGCATTGTACGGAAACTCTTTGTGCGTCGCCATTATTCGATAGCGATGACACTGCATCTGACTCTTCTTATGGCAGGCTCACGGCAACACGATTTCGGTTTCGTTTTCACGCGCAGGCAATTTTCGGACATTATTAGTCGGTAGAAAGGTGCGTGTTGGATTTGATTGTTTTTAAAGCTGAGAATAAAGATTCGCTCGAACCTCCTTCAGCCAATTATTGCTGCCATTAGCCACCACTCGCAACAATAATTTAATCTACCCACATTGAAGAGGCAGAAGGTCGTGCCATGGGCTTATTCAAGCAGTTTGTACCCGTTTTTCAGGCAAGGCTGTGTGTCGCGATCTATAATCATAGTTTTTCGATTATACGACGTCTGGGTTATACTACGGTTGTGCGTGGTCCCCTAAAAGTTGCATAATCGGAGTTCCACTGTATATATAACTGTAAACTACTTTGTCACTCATGTACATGCATGAGTGGTCAATGTCAGCGGTGATTTGCAGTAACACCGAACGATACTGATGCTTTGCCTGCTCATCATCACTCGCTTCGTGGATACAGCGTGATTTTTGAAACGAAGTTGTCTTAAAGTACATCGTGCCGTACTAGTTGGCATTTCGTATCGTGGAAAACGTTGAGCATAGGCTCAACTGCTAGGTTACGTTGATCTTGCCTTGACCAAACGGGTGTAAGGCGCGCATTTCAAATCGGGCAGCAGGTTCAAGACGACATGTGATCTCGCTAGCCAGTCCTGTAGATGTTGCTGCATTGAAGACGCAGTGTTGTGAGCTCGCAAAGCGGAGGCAGTGCGCCTGTGAAGACTTCGAAATGCGAGCTTTGAATGACTTCAAAAGGCCGCACGGCAATGAAGGGCTGTCGCCGCTACTGAGAGCAGCAAGGGCCACTTCGAGTTACTTTGCAAAGGGGATTGCTTTGCTGTACAGTTAAACCTGGATATAACGAAACTGACGAATCCCTGGAAAAATTTCGTTTATAAAGAGGATTTCGTTATATGCAGGCTCAGTACGAAAATTTGAAAAGCAAACAGCCAAATAAACAAAAAGGGGAAGTGAAGGCAGACCTTATCTACACAGAGTCTTGAAACTCGCACAGAGCCTTGAAAGTCTTTGAAAACCCTAGGATTTTTGTCATGTAGACGAGCATGAATCCTGGGTGTAATTTCTTGCTTTCGACAAAGCATATTATGGCTTCTTCGCTTTCAAATGTCCGCTAGCATGGTGATCTTGCCCACAATATTTGAAGCCTAGTCAAGCCCAGCCATGACATCAAGCAGAAAGCTCGGTTTCGGTGTGCATGGCCGCAGTGCTTGATGTTTCAAACTAAGTACCGTATTTACACGATTGTAAGACGACTCGAATGTAAGACGACCCCCCCAAAATCGCATCTCAAAAAAAAAAAAAAAAAAAAGAACTCGTGCATTTTACACAAGGGAAATTTATTCACGTGGTTCATCGTGAATAGTGAATTTATTCACTATTCATCGTCGCTGGAGTCGTCCTCGCTGATGCTGCTGCCGTCATTGCTGCTGCAGTCCCACAGCACGTCGTCGTCGAGTGTGAGTAGGCCGCAAGCTTCGCCTCTAGATCCGAAAAGCGGCCAGACTTCGGCCCGCGAAAGCCACGGCGCTTGGAGTCGCACGAGAAAATTTCCTCGCGCTGAAGCCGCCACTTCCGCACCACACATTCACCGATTCCGAACTTCCGTCCTGCTGCACAGTTGTTGGTTTCCTCCGCATGAAAAATAGCAGCCCGCTTAAACGCTGCCGTAAACGAGCGCCGAGTGTTCTTCGAGCCTACGGCACTCATGTCAGACAGAAGTGACTCGAGAGAGCCGGTCGTGGACACAAGCGACAGGAGCACGCGGCGACGCGCCCGCTTAGAAAATTGTATCACAAAGAGGAGCTCTTCCGTCAACTACCAGTACCCCCCTACGGCGGCTCTTCCATCGATTACCGGTGCTCCCTCAAGAGCCGTGCGCTCGTCATAAAGGCACTCGTAATGCGCGCAGTAGATGCTAAAAAAAGAAAAGCTTTTGTATAAGCACGCGGAAAACTATGCGCTTTGGGTTGAGCGGGAAACTATTCGAGATGACAATACATGGTTCGATTTCGATTCTAAGGTACATGGTTCGATTTCGATTCTAAGACGACCCCCCAACATTGGATTGTCAAATTTGAAAAAAAGGGTCGTCTTACAATCGTGTAAATACGGTACGCCATGCTCAATAGAGAGTAAAAAGAGTTGTATCACGGTGTACTTCGTCACAAGGTCCAAAATGCTGATAAGCAGAACAAGTCAACACTATGCATGCAGTCGGTCTAAGCGCGTCTGTAATGTTGCAACATGTGCGGGGCACTACTGTAAAATAAAGCGAAATTGTATTCTAAACTAATGTCGACCCGTGTAAAGAGTAGTGTGAAGCCGTCACTAAGTACTAGTGGAATCTTTGACAGCTGCGACCTTGCAACAAGCAAGCAGCAAATGCTGCGTGCCCGGTTGTGCCATTGTGAAGCTGTAATGTTTTTGAAAAACATTTTTTGTTTGTTTGTCTGTTTTTGTGACATTTGCAATAATTTTTTTGCCGCCTCGGCAGGTACGAAAACATTTTACAGCACTTCTACGGATAGTTCTCAGGAAAGAGGTTTTGGAATCAGATAGGATAAGTGCTCTGACAACTGAAAATCCGATTTTTCAAAAGGTCAGTTTTTTGTACTTCTTTGTGGTTATAACAGAGCCATTCAGTGTTTACGTAAAAGTATTTTGTAACAGCACTTGAATTCTACATACTTCTTTTACAACAGACCGAATTCCTGTTCACTATGGAGGTCTGTTGTAATCAGGTTATACGTACTTGTACAGTAGACTCTTTGTAAACGGAAATCAGTTAAAGGGAACTATTTCCTCTGCAATGCTTGGTTACCGGCCGTAGAACCTTCTTTTTGTTTAGCACCGGCACCGCACAGCGCAAGCATCGTGTTAAAGTGAACGAATCGCTGGTTGTACAGAAACTTTTTTTTTTATAATCCGGAAAAAAAAAAGGCATGCCAGCCACCACGCCAAATGGCCATTGACCGATAAACCGACCAAAAGGCTGAGTTCACATGGCCCACTGCTGGCAAGAGGCGACGCTGCTTGTGCATATCAAAGGGCCCTTTGTGCATTTTGATTACAAAGCAGTCATAGTTCTATGTCAAATGGGTGTGTATGAAGACTGTGCCTCATGAACGCCAATGTGCTTTGAGCTACTAATAAAGTGCTGAGGTGCTTCTCACTGTCGTTTGAACACTCAACATCCTCTACTGTATCTCAAATTGAGGTACTATCAGATTGATTCCTGCACTCGCGTTATATAGTGCGCTCACGGGCATAAATTACTGGCACTTCATGCACTCTGTCATCCTGTCCACTTCGCTCTTGTGTCTCATTTTTAGCGCACTTATACCGTGTTTACTCGTGTAATGAACCCACCTTTCTTTACAAAAAAGTTGATGCCAATTCAGGGGGTAGTTTAAAAAAAAGTCACGGAAGTTATAACAGCGAAAATTTCGGGTGACGAGTTTGCTTGTTTTGACCCGTAAAATGTGCGGCAAATTTTTTTTTTGTAGCCCGACGCTCTTTTTGTTTTGTCCCGTAATGACAGTGCATGGATCGACGCCTAAGTGTCGTCCACCCGCTCGGTTCCAATGCTCCAGCGCATGCTGTTAGTGACCAGCCCTGTAGCTAGCGTACCGGCGAAACGCGCCCTGCGCAGCAGGTGCCCCAACTAAGTTCACAACAACAAACCCAACAACGAAAACGCAGTATCGGATGGCGGCACACAAACGTTGTATTAGACTGCGGGTGCACAACGAACCGTCGGCGCAATGGGTGCGGTTTGCGCTTTGCATAGGTCCGAGATGGCGAGCGCGAGGTGTGTTCCGTGACGCAGCGCAAGCGCCATTTTGGACGTCACGGGCTTTGTTTTTGTGCAGCTGTGTTTGCGTGGCGCTATCAGCAAAGAGGTTTCTTCTGTATTCTGCAGAAGGCGCTTTGTCGTACAAGGTGCGGCTTTCAAATTTTGATTGACGTTGTCCGCGCTCGCGCTGCTCGCAACTGTTTAGCATGATTGCATAACTTTCTTTTGCTTTCATTGCATTGTTATTTTGTCATATAATAGCTTAATTTAACATTGCTTGGATGATTAACGGCACTGACTATCATGCCGAAATAAAATGAACAGATACATTTTAAAGTTTTTTTTTTCTTTTTTCAAGGATCAAGGTGGGGGGTGTGTTCATTATGCGAGTGGGTTCATCACGCGAGTAAATACAGTAATTTTCCTAAATGTGTTACCAAATAACGCCCCATCATACGCTTCTTGAGCTCTGTTTGTGCGGGTCCACAAACCATGCAAATTCCATGGCACGCACTGGACGAGTTTTCAGTGCTGCTATTACGTGGGCCTCTCACCACCCGCAGACTCCCAGTGTGTGGATACAGCGTGCGATTTCTTCGTTAAATGCAAAAGGCAATGCACGTTTTCTCATCCAAGAAAATAAATTGCGCTATTGAGGGTAAAATGCGAGCAGGTCGCATCTGTTCTGACCGTTCACGGAACCCTAAAATGCCCTTCGTAGAACGTTTTGCAAAACTCAGTTTCAGGATTCGTAGGTCAGGTGTTAGCTAATCTCACTTGTTTGGTTGTGTGGTGGCATGCAAGGCCAAGCCTAATGCTGCGTTGGAGTGACTGTACAGAATTGAACACTACTGAAAATATTAGTTCGGAAATTCAGCTCTCTATAGATGAACACATTGCTGGAAAGACTCTCGTCAGGCAAAATACAGCAGTGTTTGTGAGCACTGTTTTCAGCCAATTGTTCAATCTTCACAAGTCAAGTGCGTTTACTACTTACGCTAGTCTCCATGCCCGGTCTGCCCTTAAATAATGTGGACCATGTGAGGCACTGCAAAATTTTCATATGAGCTGCCTATTGGCAACAAGCCATCTGCTGTTAAGAGCTTAGCCCTGGTTATGCAATCGCCAGAGCAATGGCAGCAATTTCACCATGCGCTTGCGTGGTCCATGGTATCATTTTGTGGCCGACTCTACCTTCCCGAGCTATTGCTAGTGCTCATTTGAATTAATTAGTACATCGCTGATTCTACAGTATTCATGGTGCTCAGTGCAATATTGCTGAAAATGCCTCGCACTTCATTCTTCATCGCAGGCACCGACACAACCGAGGAGTCGTCATCGGAGTCGTCATCGGAGTCGGAGGAGTCCGACGCCGGCATGTGGTCCCTCGATGACTGGGACGATGATGACAGCAGCGAAGACGATTCACGCTACAGTGGTGCAAGCAACAGTTATTTTGGGGATAATGCGTTTGTAGACACGAACACCAAGCACAGTGCCACGTCAAGTGCCGTGAGGGACTCGGATGCCGCCACCAGCACAGCCAGTACATTGCATTCGGCATGGGGAGGCTGGTCGATGTTTGGAACACCTTCCTTGCCTCCGGCTCCGGTAGGCTGCAATGTTTTATTATTGTTATTTTACAGTGGAGCTGTCTTGAGTATACCCTATGCCGTCGTCGGGGTACAGCAGGGGTGCAACAGCTGCGCCAATTGTGCCAATTTGATGCAATTCCCAATTGCTGCGCCTAAAACGTGAGAGTTGCTGAAATTGCACCACGCTGTGCCAAAAGGCTCAGCCAGCCTCAAAATTTTGTCAGGTGTGCTAATTCCAAAGAGAAATGCAGGCCATGTCGGCCACCTGTAGCGCACAAACTCTAACTATAGTGCCTAGAATATACGTACTTAAAATATTCTAGGCATCCGCCCTACGCTCACGACATGCGATCGACCAGGTAAAGTAATCAGCGAACAGCGAACCGATGAGCTGCGCGCTCATCGGTTCGCTGATCGTAGCGAATACCTATCGGCGGGATGACGGAACTTCAAGACACAAATGCATTGCTATAGCCACGAACATATCGCGCGAAATGCAATTTTCTATCCTGAACGAGGTTATGACTAGTTAGGAACTAAAGCTAGAAGCGTATGCCGTGTTTTCTTCGCACGAACAAGCTCGGTCGTACTGCGGACGTTGGCGTTGCCAGCTACCACGTTGATTGCCTAGCAGTGGCACATAAATTTTTTTTTTGTCTTGAAGTAGTGTCACCCCACCCACGGTTCTGGGGATAGATATCTGGTACCGTGGCCGAGCCCACGGGCATGCGCCGTTGTTACTTTACCTGGTCAAATGTGCCTTGCAAGCGAGCCGAAGCAGCATCTATCCCCGAGGTAACAAAGACCGTTGTTGGCGGGTTGCACACGAGGCCGGCGAAAAGCTGTTCCTTTATGCCGCGCATTAACAGTCGTACTTTCTTGGGCTCTGGCATTTGCGGGTCGGCTCGTTGGAACAGTCGCGACATCTCTTCAACAAACATAGCGACACCCTCGTTCAGCATTTGAAATTGTGTAGACAGTGCCTGCTCAGCTCTTTCTTTTCGCTCGGGGTTGCTGAAGGCCTCCTGAAGTAGCCGATAAAACTCTGGCCAACTTGTGAAGGAAGCCTCATGGTTGTCGTACCACACTCTTGCTGCATCAAGAAGGGGGATGTAGACGTTTTTCAACTTACGGCGACTGTCCCAGTCATTGATGGCAGCCACCCGTTCGAAGTGGTCCAACCAGTCTTCCACATACTCACTGGGATTGCCGTGGAAAGCGTTAGGCGTGCGAGGCATGTTGACAACGCGCGGTACGGCAGCGGATGGGTCATCTGCATGTTCAGTCTCGGTTGCGGTCGTGGAAAACATTTCCCTCGCTGAACTTGCCAGGGGACTGTATTGGGGTGGTAGACCTTGGAGGCGACGGCTGCTTCAATGGACTTCAGCAGAACCTGGTGTAGTGGCGTTGGTTGTTTCCGGTCCAGGACCAGCACGCATGGGACGTCCAAGGACCCATCACCTCCACCAGTTTGTCACGATGTTGCAAACGGTTGTTTACTTTTAATCTCAGCAGCCCACAACTTCTTCCTTCTCAGCCTCGACTGCCACTGGCACATGGCAATATGGAGCAGTGTATGATATTTCTGCTTCTGTAAAAAAATACAAAAACAAACTAAATTGTGTGCCCGTGTTATTTTTTTTGCCACCCTTGATTCTCGGGTTTATGAATCTCCCAAATTTCAAGGTCACGAGCTTGGCAGATTCATATATAAATGAACAGAGTCTGTCAAATGATTTGACAGGTGCAGCAAATGCTAATATGGACTTCATCACTGCTCAGGGGGAGGGTTCAAAATACTACTTTCATTGAAGTAGCAGTGCTCATGTTCACACTGCACAATTTGGGTGATAATGAATGACTTATACATATTTCTTCTTTTTTTCTAAATATAAGCCTTCTTTTTTGAACTGCTCTATATTTGGTATTTAATGATAAAAAATGGATGTTTCTATCTTTATAACCTGCTCCAAATTTGTATTTTAGTTCTCTGAAAGTAACATTTTGCTGCTACGAAAATTGCTCCAAAATGTGCTATGTACCCCTGGTACAGTAAAAGCTTGTTAAAGGAGCTCTGACTCAAAATATTGATGGTGAGATAATCAGTGAGATAGATCTATCTGGAGACGTACACAACATCTAAAAAATGTCAAGGGCAAACATAGCCTAGAACATGCTTAAAAACTTAAAATTGCACGACTGAGCGAAATGTGGAGCCCCTCGCGATGCAGACGTCAAGGCGGCGAAAGTGTAAACAAGCCTACGTCACCTACCTGTGTTGGCTGGTTGCTGCACGTGCCTTGCACTTGTGCTATCGGCAATTTTTTTCCTCCATGCCTGCGGCTTTGCTGCGAAATTCCTTTGAACTATTCTTATAATGGAAGCTAAAAATAATAATACTACTGTTAGGTACAATGGAATCACGTTGATACAGTTCTGCATTTTTTGGGGTAGTACGGGATCTACGTTTCTAGAACCAGGTCAGTTTCGCAGCTCCCCATGGACACTTGCTCTCCAAAGTGGCATGACAGCTGACGCAAGAACTAGCGGCGCGGCCGTTCCATCTTGCATGATGGCTCATGCATTCGCAAAACAATCACACACAGAGTATGGAGAAAGCGAGCAAGGAGAAAAGGCCAACGCGTCAGTAGCTGCTACTCTTTGGGGCTCGCTGCAGCATGTGTGTCACCTCCGCGATTAGCTTCGGCAGCGCGCTATTGAGAGCAACGGTGCGCCGCTGTGTCCGATCCCATGGGCCACGGCAAGTGAAGCAAAACAAAACAGCAGCGCGGAAAGTTCACGCGTCAGGTGCGTGTGCCGGTTTGCGAGCAGAGCTGCGAAGACTGTTCTGGTTCTAGAAATGTGGGTACGGGATAATGCGTTTCTTGCGTTTTGCTGCCTATTTCCCGCAAGAGCAATGTCTCTGTTTCGTTTTTTGTTGTGAATGTGTATAACGTGCTTTTCCTCCGAGTTTGAAAGCACTGCGCATCTTGACATCGCAGCCGGTGCCACCGCCGTCGCCGGTGCCATCTGATGCAGCAGCGCAACTTACTGGTGGCCGCTACAACCTCCGGCCACGGCGGTCACTCAATTCCTCCAGTGACCCACTGTCACCGCCACCGTTACAATCACCGAGCCGGCAACGGGACCTGGCCCGACCCCGTCGGGTCATTGAACGGGCTGCCATCCTTTCGTCGGACGAGGACTGAACTAGGCAAATTTCAGCGTCACGTGCTTTGGGTTGGCTTCTCTGTTATGCTGCAGCGATGTGCGGACGAGTCTGTCTGTTGTACAGCTCCAGTGTTCATTTGTGCTGCATACATCGTACCTGCCGAGTAGCCAACTTAAAGTATTATGCAAGTCCCCCCGACTATTGCATATGCTATCATATCTGCTTGGCTCGCGAATCGCTGTGCACACATGACGGTTCGACTTTTTTCGTACGAGTATTTCGCTCGGACATAAGCGCAGTCATTTCTGTTTGTTCCTTTTGTGTGTTTTGTGATAAGAAGTTTGCTCATGCGGACCAAGTCAATGTAATATATCTTTTTCTGGCATTTACATTTTGATGCCCAGGTTGGAACAGAAGAGATGGAGGAGCATACTAATGTCAGAACTCTAAATTTCAAAAGCTGCTACATGAGTATTTGCACGAAGCTAATTCGCGAATGCTTTGTGTCGGTCTCGGCATGCAAAACTCGGCAGGAAATTTTAAACAAACAAGCCCTTGCAGCTTTTCACTAATCCGGAAGGATTTTTTTCAAAACTAAACTGTGGGAGCCACAGCTCGTGTTACATGACAGCACTAAAATATTGAATGGCCAGTTCCAGAAAAAAAAAATATTTGCATGCATCTGGGATGCATAATGCAATTGATGCTTTATGCATATGTTTGAAAGAGGCACTTTGAAATTGTATGATGTGCATCTGGTTTTAGACCTCCTTAATTTTTAATGTCTGTGTTTGGTGTCGTGTATAAGTTGTGCGGGTAAACGTTAATCTATATAGTCTCGTTGACTCCTCTAACGGTATTGGTTCAAAGTCTGCGCACCTGTTTGCATTCAGACCTTCATCCCATGTTTGGCATCATGCGACAAAAACAAGGTTCGCAGATATCGGTGCTACGGTTCTGCATACATGTAAACACTAGTTGCCCATGGTTTATACGCGATTAGGGTGCCCAGGAAGCATTTTCCGCAGTCAGCCTGAACGACCTTTATGAAACATGGTGTGTTAGGGTGAAGCTGCGCTGCAACGTAGCATTTACCTATTGTCTTCTCTGTGATTTCTACTTAGTAAACTATAAGTTCCAAGTGCCCATAATATGCGATAATATCCGAAAGTTGAGCATGTCGATGCATGTGCCAAGATTCACCACCGAAAGTGTTTGCGGCCTTGCAAGGACTGCAGGGTAAGGGCCTGTCCGTAACGGGGCACGTGCGTTGCAGCTGTGAGGGTAGCCTGTCGACAGGCCCTAAACCATAGACAAATGGTCCTGTTTGATGACACTGCCTCTTTTATCCTGTACAATGAAATAGAAACGGCCTGATTTTCTCAGATCAGGACAGTGGTTAAAAGCACTGTCTGGGCAAGCTTGTGACTTTTTACTGAAATTTGATGGCACACGAAAAGTATACATGTTGCAGGAACAATTATGAATGGAAACATTAAAGTATGACATGTTTCCAGGCATGATTATGCTTGCTCCTCTAGGAATGACTATTTTTTCTGTGACGAATGTTTTACTAATGTCAAGCTTTAATGTACGATAATTTTTTTTCGTAACATACGTATACCTTCTGTGTGCAAGAAAATTTCAGTTGAAAGTCTGCATCTATTTGTGCTGTTCCCTTTCTATCGTCTCCATCTTGAAAAAATAGCACTGCCTCTTTTTCACTTTTAGAACCAACTAGCCCAAAGCATCACATTACTGAGTTAATTTCTTTTATTATGACATACATGTCAGTTTTCTGTGCATAATGAACAAAGTTAGCCATATTTCGTCTTTTATTGCATCAAGCGAGTTCTGTCTTGGTGCACCTTTTCAGTATGTGTGGGAATGCGACTTAATTGTGTTTTAGTATCCTATACGATCATCTTAGAACCATGCGACATGAGTATGTGATTTTATTTTATTTCGTTTCCGTTTTACATCATGAGGACCATTTCCTTTCTCATGTCTTTAATGTTTAATGAAGACGCAGCTTTGTTTCTGCATTCTTGTCTCTTGATGTGGGAGTGACGGGAAATGCCATTTGTGAAGCTTAGTGTAGTCTACTGAACAGATAAGTTTCAGTGCCATCATGTTAGGTTGTTTACGAAGTCGGCGGTTTGACACTGAATCGTCTGGTGGGGAAGAGGCATGACGAAAAAGAAATTCGTGAGGTTTCACGTACGTTGGGAATCGATGCCATGTGGAGCATTCGGTGGGTTTACAACTGTCAAAACGCATTTTGGCCTCCATATGGAAAGCTTGTTCACATATAGGTGGCCCAGCAAAATGCTTGTTAAGACCTTGACTATTTTAGAAAAACACATACTTTCATTACTTATCTTGAATACCCCCTTCAATTTAGGGGGGGGGGGGATGGCAACAAAAATAAGAAAACATTTGTTTAACAGATCAAGATGTTGGTACCCATGGTGGCTATCTGATAGAGAATCATTGTGCAAGAACATAAGGTTCATGAACATTTCGACGACACAATGGGAACAAATAAATTTATGTTGTCGTGTTTTCTTATGTTTGTTTGCAATGCCTCATTTTGAGTTGTGATCGTAACTCGCTTTCTCCTTTGAATTTAATTTTGGTTTTTGATGTGCCCAAAAGCGCATGTTTCGGGGTCTTCGAATAAAGTATTGCAGTACTTCACCTTTTTTTTTACACTGTATAAGAGGCAGACATTGTTGTGTGAAATAAAAGTGATGTTATTTTTCATATCTGTCTACAAAGACCTATTTTTATGCACAGTCATCCTCGACCACTACAGGTAGGTATACCGCGGCATCTCCGCATGCGCGGTTTTAAATTGTCCATCCAAGTCTTACAAACTCTGGCCGAGTAATGCTAGCTTTGTGTAATGTGTCGCATTATGGTAATTTCACCCGGTAAAATTTCTATTGCTATTGGCTTGCTTACGTACGTTGCGTCAGGGAACCAATCGCGGTCTAGAAATTCGATCGCGATAGAAAGGGCCCGCGCATCATCCGGATGTGTGTTGGTACAAGCTGCCAACATCGGAACGCCACCAGCATGTGAAGTGTTCTAAGCGAGTAGGAACGAGCATGCCACTTTGTTCTGCGTCATCCGTGTGTTGTAACGGGACACGGAGGAAGGAAAGGTGTAACGGGAGCACAGCGGCGAGTTGAAGTGCGCTACCGCACAGGAAACCTACCATCCCCAGCGCAACGCGCGGAAAGCTGAGGAGCCGCTTAGAAAAGCTGGCAAGCCAAGCCAATCCGACGCGATCCAATCCGTCGGTCTCAAGATGGACGACGACAGCTCGCTTGACACTCTCTTAGGTGAGTTCTATCGGCCTCGGTAGCAATTGCCGCTCAATTGCGCTTCATAAAGGGAGTCGCAAATATCGAAATAGCGGAGGCTGATGTTTAAGCTAGAGTCCATGTGTCAGTGTACTGTCAGTCAGCGCCGCCGCTTCAATGTCCGCTGTAATCCTTGGAATACGGCCGTTTTTGAAGGCTGCTTGGCTGAGAATTTCGGAATTTTCGAAACTCCGATAATCGCATTGCTTAGTAAACCGCTTGTTCTGCAGGTATAGGGTCATATATGGCACGGGTGAATCCGTTTACGGAGCTTCCAAGCACGCACGTAGTAGTGCCAGCTCAAACATCGTCGAGCCCCGAATTCGGTCTGCGCTGCAGCGATCTTGCGCTGTTTGGAACAGGCACCTTGTTTTGCGGATGTTGGATGACCCGTCATTTTTGGCATCTGCCTAAGGTGTATCTACAACGGCTAATAACTGGACTGTAAGCACACTGGAGTCGCCGACCCTTTAAGCCCTTCTCCGGCGACCAGTTTCGTTCTCAAATAAAGCGAAAGCAACCTTAGTTTTGGCTCGTTCGGTCGCGGCGTTGACTTTTACCCGACCGCTTCTTCATTAAACGCCATTTCTGTGGATCACTCGCTGTCTCGGCATTCCGTGCTACGTTTTCCCGTTTTTATTTACTACAAGTGCTCAGCGTTAAAACCGCATTTGTACTGTACCGGTATGCAGATAGTATGGGTGTTTGTGTAAAAACATTTACGTTGATATGAACGAACCTTCCGGAAGTGATAAAGTTCTCCAGTTAGCGTCGAAAGTTGCCGGTTTTCTAGTGTTGCAAAAGCAAGAAAAGCTAAAATTAGCGATATTCTTATGTGCGCTTGACAATATTGCATTACATCGTTCTGCACCTGATTGTTGTGAAAGGGCCAAATCAACAGTCGCGAGGGTTTCCATTTTAGGATCCGAAAGCGTTCCTAACAAACTCAAAAGCTTTTACTCAAGGCGAGTAGAGGTGGTGTTGCAAGTGTACTCGGAAATTATTTAATAACAAAAAAAAAAAAGTGCTGAAAGACTATAGACAGGCCTAAAAAAAGAAAGTGCTGCTAAACACCATCTTTTACGTGTGGCCCTTTGCAAGTCTTGAACTGCACGCCTCAGCGACATGTCGGAAAGCGACGAGTTTGTTTTTACCGGTGAATACTTTGCTAACAGGTGCTGTTCGCTCACGTCGTGAAGTTATTTCCTCTAGGTTGCCCGGACATGTCAAAAGTGGGACACACGACAGGTGTCACTCTGCCTAAACTGCAAATGACAGTAGAGTTGTCTTCACGGCCCATCGCAGAAGGGGCACATTTTAAGTGCGCAATTTGTGTCAACGTTGTGTGACAAGCATTTGGTTCGCTTGTGCGTGTCTGGGTTAAAGTAATATCGCAAGGCAGCTGCAAGGCTACAAACATCGAAGTAAAACTCCTTTATGACATATTTGTTGGTTTTCCGTCCCAATGAGAAGGTTGTGTGTAATTAAAGGAGTACTGATAAGAACTTAAGAAATTTTCATATTGCTGCTCTTATAGGAGCTCTGCAACACTCTTCCAAGCAGCCACAGAATGAATTCACTAAAGGAGCTTATTGCCTCACAAAGTCGCCGCAGCAAAAAATGTCTAGAATCGGTTCTGTAGGAGCGGAGTTACAAAGATTTGTTGCGCTTTGCAATTGCATTCGTTCCTCTCTCGTCCCGACAGATGCGCTGGAAGCTAAGCAGGGAGGGATGGCTCGGGGAAAGAAAATACGTCACGCGCCTCGTGACCTTCAGCACTTTTTCTCTCTTTTTTTCCAAATACGTGGCTTTTTAGTGTAATTGCACAAGCCCACATGGGCAAGTTGCGGTTTCCAGTGGCGACACCTGTAACGACCAAGCGCACCATGCTCAAGCCAGCCAATGGGATACAATGGCTGTGACGAGTGGTTTTTGAGCTTGTATCGTCATTTAATGAGAGAAGAGAAAGGAAAGTGTAATTTTAAGAGCTCATTTCTTTTGTTAGACCCAATAAAACTGGGAACTGAGAGATAGTAATACCAGGGAAATTATAGGAGATGTTATTAGAAGTAATTGTAATATGGAGGGGAAGAAAGAAAAGTGGCCGAAAAGGGGATTTGCCACCAACAGGATCCGAACCTGCGACCTTTGAATAAGGTGTCCGATGCTCTACTACTTACCTACAGTGCCGGTCATCCCCCATCCACTATAAAGGGTATATATGTGCAATTAATCGTGACAGCTTCAGTCAGTGCCACCTGTTGCCATTGCGGCAAATGTGGAACGCTTTCTTCACTGTTTGACATCACGTAGTAGGTCATCTTATTATGAGAGCTCAGCTGACCAGTTATACCCCGAATTTCTTAGCAGACTTCGAGAATTTATTGTGAATTATAGGCTGCGTGCTGCGTTGTCTCCTGTGTTCCCGGGAACCTCAGCTATAGATCGGCAGCATTTTCTTACCACGCTGAAAAAGTGTTGCAGGGCCCCTTTAATAAAAGTACCGGTTTGAAGAACACCGAAAGTGTGTCGGGGTTGCTCAAAATGCATTTAACATATTTTAAATACCCCTTTCCTAAAAATTGGGTTGAAAAATTTTGATATCGCGTGAGTGGCGTCACAGTGACATGTAAACGCGGTGTGACGTAGGTCAAAGTCACGTGGAGACAGCAGGTCTTGACATTCTTGCGGCTTTCAGTAGTTTTGTGTATAGTTGTGCATGTTGCACATAAGAAAAGAAGGCTTTGACAACGGTGTCAGCCACGTCTTGTACGCAGAGTTCGCAGACTGGGTGCACTGTGTTGACTCATCATCACGTTGTCGATTGCAGTGTGGTTGTGTTACAGACGCTGGCGACGAAAACTTTAAAATCTAACCAAAATATCACGAGACAGCAGCGATATTGGAGGGCTAGATGTCGTTTATTTGGCAAAGCGTTGTCACCGATTCTTCGAGTGAAGGCCACGCTTACAGTAATGGTGAGTATATACGGCTGAAAAGGACAAAGGAGAAATGCCGGGAATAATGTGCTCGCAGTACGTTACACACATCTCCTGGCTTCAGTGTATGCAAAGCCTTAGCGCTACTTGAAAAAAACAAAACAAAGAAGTCCGTCTTGTGACGCCTCAAAATCGTATCGGTACTCCTTGTAAGATATGCTTTAGTAACCACTGCCGCTTTAAACCGATGTTCTCCTCTCATTTGCCAACAGCCATTCTTCAAGTACTTGGCTGCTGTGGTGTTGCAGTGATAATAATAGCGCTTGGCTGTTGGCATGAAATATGCTGGTTCAATCCTGGTTGTGGCGCTCACCTTCCAGGTGAGGCAAAATGCTATGGGCTCGCGTACTGTGCATTGTCAGTGCACGTTAAAGTGTTACAGCTGGTTCATATACAGAGACTCCTCCACTATGCTGTTAGAGTGTTATAATGTCCCTATTTTTCAGAGTGTGATAGCTTTGTTCCTGTCAGATGTGTATTTAGTTTCAGGGGCACATTAGAAAACGCAGGTAGCCCCGCCGCAGTTGTCTAGTGACTAAGGTACTCGGCTGCTGACCCGCAGTTCGCGGGATCGAATCTCGGTTGTGGCGGCTGCATTTTAGATAGAGGTGAAAATGCTGTAGACCCATGTGCTCAGATTTGGAATTGTATTGTCTTGTGCAATCTGACCAAATATGCATTATTTCATTCTATAAGGCACCTGTTATACTCGATTACAACCCAAGAAAAAACGTCAGTTCCTCTCAAAGCTATTGCTGTTCCTCCTCAAGAGAACCTACATAAATGCTCCATCCAATAGAACTTCTTCCTGACATAGCACAGTATTCCTGACATTAAGCACTTCTTGAATGTTTCTGATAGCTGACTTTCCCATTCACTCATTTGTGTCACTGGTTCTTGGTGGGAAAATTGAACGTCCTTATAAATTTCGCCAGGTTTCGCATAGTATTGGCATTAGCCGAGAACAAGTACTTATGGTTTGATCGGAAAGTAGACAGCGCTACTGTCTTTCACAAGTGGATGGCAGGTCTGCCCACAGAACATGGTTCTGTGGGCAGAGCCTAGATTTATTCGTAGGTTGTAATTAGGCATACACTGAGACCTTAATATAGTAAACCTTGATATAACAAAATATCATTTACAACAAAGTAAATAAAAAATAGTCTCGCAATAGATGTAATGTTTGAAATATACTTTTATAACAAATTTTTAGATGTAACAAACTTATTTTCATGTAAGATGCTACTTTGTTTTAATAAGGTTCGAGTGTAGATAGAGCAAAGGGCCCAGTGTGTGAAGCGAGCACGACAATTGAGGTAACAGTGAGAGGCCCTGTTCAAGTCTAATGCGTCTGCGCAGCGCGGGCGACGAACCCGCTATGCCGGGAGCTGGACATGGAGGCGGTGCAGCGGCTGTGCGAGCGCATCTTGCTCGAGCGGGACGGCTCCCACCAGGCACTGCGCTTTCTCGCCCACAAGATCCAGTCACCACAGGAGAGGGAGGCCATGCAAGCACTTCAGGTGCGCTGCTCCTTCTCGCGTATTTTTTCTTTTAAAGATGATAGTTTTTTTTGGGGATGCTTCAAAGCAAAAATTTGGGTCTGTCTGTGTGTTTTTGCATTATAGCGACCGGTGTCTGTCTGAGGATTCAGCCACCCGCCAAAAGTTTAAGCCCGTGCTCAAATCACACCCATCTTGATCTGGTAGCTGCATTCATACTTCTGAATATTGTCAATCAAAAATCAAATATTATGCATATTTCAGGTGCCACAGTAATATGCAAGTATTAGGTAGTACGTTCCTTTATTTAGAAATTGCATAGATACATAATTCTAAGACTGCAGTGTTTACTACGCTGTGCTGACACTGCGACGCTATGAAAGGAAAAGTAAGCGTTTCCTATGCTTTGCTGAAACGACACGGTGCTGCCACCTATCAGTAGCTCACCATTCTAACAAACTTTCATTTTTTACACGGTGCTGCCACCTACCAGTAGCTCACCATTCTAACAAACTTTTATTTCTTCATGTTACTGCCAGATAGCGCCATATCTCACGCAGCACGCACTGATATTCTCACGCAGAATGTCAAATAAACATTTTATTATCTCTCTGCAGACGGAAGACGATATATCGTCTTTCGATGTCTTTGCCGGGCAGCTCCCAGACATGTGGCCAATCTTTTTATCTGCTTTGTGACACCACACAAATTTTCGCTTAGACTGATAAAAGCTGTGCTCACTTTGTTTTAAGTGCGCAGCACTTTGCGGGCCCTGCTTGTCGTTCATCCATGAAACGCGTGTGGCGTGGTCAAGCTCACAGTGAAGTGCTCAATAGAGGCCACAACAAGGCTAGCAGTGCCCAAAATGGGGTTAAAATGAATAAACAAGGTCTAAAATAATATAATTACCATAAATAACCAAGACATACTTGCAATAATTAACTTAAAAACTCTAAAGACGTTTTGGGAACATGCGGTGCACTCCAGCGTTGTGCAAAAGAGCGCAAGCAGGAAGTTGACAAAGCTCAGCGAAAAGTAGCGCACGTGTCGCACATTGAGACTGTGAATCTCCTCAACGAGAATCTGCTCGTGCCGGGAAAATCCTGCGGGCTCACCTCAAACACTGGTGTCATTGAATGTTTCACTAATGGAGCAGTGTTGTCTCTACGAACAGGAATCGCTGGGTGCTTATGCTACACACTTCCTCAGCTTTTACGGCATGGTATAACCGTGGTTTTAGCGCACAAATAGACACAAAGGAGCACGGGACAAGTGCTTGTCCCGTGTTCCTTTGTGTTTATTCGTGCACTAAAGTTATAGATATACCATGCACATCCAACTAGCCGAAGTTTACATTCTGTTGTTTCACAACATTATAGCTGGATTTTTGTTGTTGTTGTTTAGGCCCCGTAGGCACGTTTTGCATAGGGGAGGGGGGGTAGAAGTATGATAGTCATAGTTATTTGTATTTGAACTTTCATTTCAATCTAGATATTTGATGTACTTGCAACGCTGTACACAGCGGTTAACAACTGAGTACTTGCGATGGCCAGTGCAAGCACCAAATCGTATAAGAAAAGGTATATGGCACAGGCGCTATTTTGCAAGTGAAAGTTTATTAGAAAAAGGCAAAATGTATATATCTATGTAGGGATTATCACATGAATCTAATCCCCGAAACCTGAAAACCAGAAAACCATAAAGCTATGCTGGAAATAGGGAAGTGAAGGGCTTGTTTTTTTTTTTTTTTTTGCAAAGGACACTATCTTAATGAGAACCCACAGACAATGAAGCCAAGAAAAGTATAGGGTGTGCTGTTTCATGTAAATACAACATAAATGTGAAGAAATTAGACGAAAAATCAACTTGCTGCCGGTGGCATGTTGTATTCTGTGGTTCAGGGATTTGAGACTGCAGTCGTGCAACAGACAAATCCAACAGCAAATGACTGAGCCATAAGCCATTGCCCTGTGACTGTAGCGGCCATTTGCGACCGGTTGCTTTGTGACTAACTTGGTCTCGCGACTGGTGCTAGTAGCGGTTGCGAATGAGCGTTGACTAAACTGATGCAGAGATGGGAGTAAGTTTTGCTATCCTGTAGTGGCTGAAGTGTTTTGACGCAGATGCACGGAGCATTTCGTGAAACAGTGCAAACCATGAAGTGTCCCGGTGTTGAGAAACTGTCGGTTATCGCGTGATGCTCTCTTCAAATGTTTGCACTACAATTCCAGATCACTGTACGGAGCCCCTCTAAAGGGTCAGTGTTTGTATACTGGCGGACAACTTTTCTATGAAGGAAAGGCTACAGAGTCAAAGTGGGCGTATGCCGTCGCTGAAGAATATGGTCCCACTATTGCGTCCATGCTTTCCTCATGAAAGTCATAAATAACATTACTTCATTTTCTACGAGATCCTGTTTATGAAGAGATGCAACGTGTACTGAGGAGGTATTCATATTTCTTTTACTTTGTGCGGTGTCATTTTGTGTCTTTCCACATGTGAAAACGTCCCACGCTTTACGTGCACCTCACAGTCAAAATGGCATTGTTGTCTTTAGGTGAGCACTCGTTCCCCTCCAGCTATTTCGTTAACCCGCCGAAGGAGCATGTTACGAATTTCACTCGCAGATGGCTGTCTTAGCAGACATAAGCAGGTTATCTTTAGTGTTATGATGTGAACACAGTGGTCATTCGAAGCACAAGCAGAACCGGACTGCTTCGCGGAGGAGTACATGTGCAGCAGCTTTGCCCCCGTCACTTCATTGCCTTCATTCATTGCCAAGAAAAGTTGTTCGCAAGTACAGTTCAGGGCTCTGCTAGTGTGTTGAGGAACTTTTAAATAAGTGGATGTTAGAAGCGAAAAAGATGATGAATGGCCTGTTCTGGACACCGTGCAGGTGCTGGAGGAATGTGCCAACAGATGCGGAGCCAAATTCCAAGACGAGCTGGGCAAGTTCCGCTTTCTTAATGAGCTCATCAAGGTGGTCTCGCCCAAGGCAAGTGCAACTCCCGTGCCATCTTGGTGCTCCTTGCTGGTTGGACAGTTAATGTGCACTGAGGTACACTTGTCGGTAACACGACCCTTCTGCGAAATTTGCTTATGTACAAGCTCTTGTAGATGAGCTGGACTTGGTACTATGCATCATTTCGAAGTTGTAAGCAAAATGAAGAGAAAGACTAGCAATGATTCTGCGGTTCAGTCACAGTCTGTGAACAAAGCACTTGCTAATCATGCAGGTTACAGCTGCATATGCAGGGGTCACATACCTTGAAGATTGAGTGGGGTCTCGCATAAAGGGTACGGCTCTTTGTGCAGGGGATTCATATTCTTTGAGGGGAGATGTGATTCGAAAAAGAAAGTCTTGTTAATCTGTAGCCCACAGCAATGAAATTTTTTTGCTGTTTATATAGGCTTTTATGCTGATTTCAAATATGTAACTCGTTTTATAGTAAGTTGTAGTTTCTGTTATGTGCCATGGCAATGTGTAATGTGTACAATAAAAGCAATGTGTACAGTAAAATCTCGATGATACCATTTGGGGTGATGCGATTTTTGCGATGATATGAGTTTCAAGGTTGCTTTGATTGGACCACATTGTAATAAATACGCCATGATTCAATGTAATATGAACAGTTTTTCGAGTGTCCACGAATTATATGAACGCGTGGTTGCCCCAATGTGTCTAGCTTTTGAACTGCCAGTTGAATTCGTCACCGCCGCTACCGGTGTGTCCACTCGTGTCGTTTCTTCCGGCGTATATCTTAAAACAATGTTTGTTAAGGTTTAAACAGTTTCTTTCCAGTGCTTTGCATGCATAACTAGAATTCGGTACAAATTTTAATGCTTCGGAAACAGGCAAAATGGAATGAATTCTCAAGTGGCGACGGCGACGGTGGCATGTATACGAGGGGCAGGATGAATGTGAACATTTTCGACGGGTGCGGACATGGTTTTGCGGCTGCTCTGGCGTTTTCACTTGAATTCTCACGTGTCAATTCTGCAGAAATGATTTTTTTTATTCAGGCGCATTCACATTTGCCTCGGAGGGAGCGAAAGCGGCAAAACTCGTCGGAAATTATCTTGCTTCACCACCTGAAGGGCTGGAAAACCATGCCGCGAGGCCGATGCAAATCGTGTCAACTTCCCAGCACGTTTTTTCGGCCACTTGAACAACGAAGCGAGTAAATTTGCAATAAGTTTTGCCGCTTTTGCTCTCTTTGATGCCAAATGTGAGTGTGCCTTAAGCGCCAGCAGCATGAGTGAGGGAACCGCGGCACTTTATTGAGAGGTGGTGAAAGCAGGAAAGTTCGAGACAACATCATGGATTTTTTTCAGCAAGAAGTAGTTGACCCCAATAAAGTTCTTGTTTTTTTTTGGTTCATACGAATTTGGGATGATACAAATATTTTGCATGCTTTCTTTGAATTTGTATCATTGAGATTCTACTGTGTAGTCAATTTCGGAGAAACTTTTTATGCCACAAAGTTTTTATGGTTCTGAGTCATTATTTGCTTTTATTGCTCTAAATTAACTGTAGAATGCAAGCAACTATCAAAAAAGTTTGTGTAAAACATTTTAATAGACAAAAGAATGTAATGTGAGAACTCTTAGAATCCACAGGCCATACTAATTGCTTGCTTTAGGTTTGCAATAATTATACAGGCGATATCAAGTTCTAAAGCAAGCATTTGCACCCTTCACATGTAAAGGAATATGTGGGCGAAATTTCATCTTGATCTGGCTATCAGAAGTACCAGAGACATGACGTCCAACTCAAGAAGCTGCCCAAGAATGGATCTTGAGAATAACACATTAAAAATGAAGAACTCAAAGCTCATGTATGGGGCTAAGATATGTTTTTAAAATGATTTTTTCTACCATGAGGGTTTGGCAACCAGTGTTATTTTGAGAATATGGCTGTTGTGAACTCCTCATGCAAAATGCAATGGCAGCAGCCAGATGACAATTTCCAGGAGACTGTAGACAATGAGCTCTTTTTACAGTAGACTCTCATTAAATGGAACCTGAAGTAGCCAGTAAAATGTGTTCCGTTTAACAGGAGTTCCGTTTACTGAGAGATGAACAGAGGCACACAATGCAAGAACGAAACCGATCTTATCAGAAGCATTTGTTCTATTTAAGCAGCAGTTCTGTTAAACAGATTTTCATTTACTGAGAGTTTACTGTAGTTTTAGTAGCCACCTTGTGCTCTTTAACATGATTTCAGTGTGCTTCAAGTTTAATTAAGATCTTCAGTTTTTTTTGTTGTTGTGAAAGTAGAGGAACTAAACTTGTGAAAGCGAATAAAACGGGAAATACAGTGCAGTCCACTTATAACGATACCACATATAACGATATATCGGTTATAACGATGGGTCGACTTAACAGTCTCATTTTATGCATTGGGGCTATGGGGAAAAAAACCATATATAACGATATGTTATCCACCGCATATCGGATACAACGATGAAAAGTTTGCCGTGGACGGCATGTTTCATTCAGAATAATCGTAACATTTAGATTGATAAGTTCCTCTGAAACGAACTATGCCGAGACAAGACGAAAAGTTAGCGTAGGCGAGTACGTATCTGCCGCCACTGTAGCACAGCGCCGGCAGCGCGTCCCGGCCGTTCAAAAAGCCGAGGAGGGCATCGCGAGTTGGCGCGACGCGCTACAGATGGCGCCAGCTGTGTCACGTTTTGCGCCTCGCCGCGCGTCGACCGCGGAGAGGCTGAGAGAATTAAAAAAAAAAAAAATGCGAAAAGCAAAGCGCCGCGCTCCGCGGCTCCCCGCCTTCTACAACGGCAAGCCGGCAAGCTACTCGTAGCTTGCCGAACGAAAGCGGGAAAGAGAGAGAAAATAAAAAAAGCGAAAAGCAAAGCGGCGCGGCGGCATCGGGGCGGGGCCTCGTTGGCATTCCGGCTGTGTACCTCTGGCTGTGCTTTCTTCCTCCCACTGCTCCCACCCCGCCGTCGGTCAGTCTCTCTTCCTCAGCGAACCCGTGATGCGTTCTTCGGAGTAAGAAATAAAGTCTTGTTTTTGACATCCTACTATCTACAATATTTATTAATTGGTGAAAATAGCGAAATGAAGCCTGGAGCTACAAAAGGTGCGTCCGGCGACGATTTTTTGGCGGCAGTCCAGATATAACGATCACCGGTTATAACGATCATATTTTTAGGTTTTCTCGATATCGTTATAAGTGGACTGCACTGTATATAATTTTGGAAAAAACTTGAGTTTTTCGACTCGCATCTATTTCTGTCAATACTCCTTACTGCACTGCTGAAAACTTGTGCACGTTACTATAACTGCAGCTTTACCTTTGGTTAGATTCATCTTGTCGATGTTATGTAGCTATTATAAATGGAGGACATGGCAATATTTTCATGCTTTCTTATTCAGTGGCACATTTAGAAATGAACAAAACAGTACATTCCAGCTGCTTTCACTTGCAGTAATTGTGCACTTGTAGTATTGTTGTAACCGGCTGCTATTTTATCTATTCGATTCCTTGCATTTACATTGGAAGGCTTGTCACAGATCCAGAGGGGTTTTTGTGGCAGTCTGCCCATTTTATCTGATGCATATAAAAGCAGAAATTTGTAGTATGAAATACATGTCTTTGAGCTACCTAAAGGTAGCCTGTCTGAATTGTAGAGTCGAGCAAAAAAGCGTTCATGTCTAGATTAATTTCCCACTCCATGCCGCGTGTCTTCCATTAATCATTCGGAAGGTGATAGTTCCTTGTGGATAAGCCTTTGTGGGAACCTGAGCTGTTGTTGCGCTGTAGCACAACTGATTGGGCTAGATACTGACATATTATTTGTAGAGTTCCAACTCATCAGTTCAGTTCAATTCAGTTTATTTTTTTTAAAGCAAGGGGGGGGGTTAACAATTTTTTACGAACACGTAACAGTGACCCAGATCAAGAAGACCTGGCAATGAGAACCAACTTTCAACTACTATTGTCACCTATGTTAGCACAGAGCAACGGGATAAAACAAAAAGCATATTAAAGAACATGGGAATGTATAAAAAACGAATATGTTCATGTTTTGTTGTCACCCTTATACCTTTTACATTTAAAATCCACACACGATAAAAGTTTTGAGTTTCGGTCACGTCATGCAGGCTGTCGGTTTAGCAGAGCATAAATTAATGCTAGCTAAAGCGAAAGGTGAGAGATAAGAGGTCGTCCTTGCACAAGATGGTTAGAGTGAATTTATTTATGTTATTTTATTATACTGTCATCTTCATTTGGGCTACAGCAGGGGTGAAAAAAAACATACGTATACAAAAATTGAGCACTCCCTATACAAACAACTAAAACATGTAATAGACAGGCACTTTACAAGAAATAGTCATAGCACTTCTCTCTAGAGCACAAAAAATAAACAAATAAAGACTATACACTATGAAACACTACGTCACCTAGGTTTTTTTTAAGAAAGAAGTTACATCTTCAGATAATACAGTGGAATTTTTCAGGCCCCAGGGAAATGCTGGATAAGCTTGAAGAAGTTGTATCGGTAAACCAATCTCACTAGTATTCATGCTCCTACAATATCACCACGAGCTGCGAGAACAGCTCTGTGGTGCTTAACAGAAGTGCAGTGGCTCTGGAGCATCTTCGAGAAAAACCTGGACTCCTAAGCACCACCGGCGGTAAGAAGAAGAATTCGTGCTCGACTTAGGCGTCTGGGTTCTTCTCGAAGTTACGTATCAACCAGCCCAGCAACAAGTTCTGTTGTACAATACGTTGCACACAGCAGAGTTTGCGTTTCAGCCGTGTTCATTGCTCGTGCAGTACCTGGGCAATCGTGCCTCCCAGCGGGTCAAGCAGAAGATCATTGAGGTGCTCTACCGCTGGAGCATTGAGATGAAACACCACGCCAAGATCCACGAGGCTTACCAGATGTTGAAGCGCCAGGGTGTCATTGCTGTCGACCCCGTCTACGTCATCGAGGTGGGTCTCCTGCTATCGCTGCTGGTTTTCTGGTTGATTCACCGGCACCCTTACTGCTTAAGCCCTGCCATTGATTGTGTGTACTTTTTTAATAGAAAAAAAGTCTTAGGAAATGTTACGTTGAAGGTAATCGAATGCTATAGAGTAATTTTTCGATTTCTTCTTTAGAGGTTTAAGTGTAATTGTCATTGCTTGCGTCCTAGAGTAAAGTAATTGTAATCAGTTACTCTTATTCAGTAACGTGTACAAGTCTGACTTGTAGTAATGGTTGATCTCCAATTTCAATTAACCGAGGTGGTGTTTCGATAAACACTTTATCTGTGCGAGCAAGCTAGTGTCCCTTTAGAAGGCTGTTTCACCTTGCTGCAGCACTTTGAGTTTAGTCTTGTTTGCCAATTTGGAACGGTGCAGTTACAATTAGACTTGTGTGTTTAGGATTACGAGCCAGGCCCTGCGCCAGCACCCAGGTCCCAGAGCGCCGTCTTCGAGGACGAAGAAAAGTCCAAGGTGAGATCGTAAAACGTGCAGTGGCGGCTCAATACGAGCCTGCACCCAGTTACGTCACATATGCTCAATGAGATTCCTGTCGATGAAGTCCTTTAGAGCATGGCCACATGTGTCGCAGCGCCAGAAGTGTGGAGGTGTAAATGGATCAGAAAAGTTTGAGTCGTTAGCTATGTAATTCGTAGGGAGGAAGTCCACTATATGCACGGGAGTTGCCCATTATTTTTAATCGAGGTGTAAAAAGAAGGCAAAGAAAGAATGAAAGTTAATGAAGAAGAGCCTTGCCACAACTGCGCACTGAACCAATATCTGTGTTTAGAAGGGTGGAGGTTTGGGTCTGTTGGGGATGCTTACTTCATAAAATGAAACTCCATGAATGGGACAGCAAAAGAGGAGGCACAGAGGACGAAGCACTACTGACAACTGTGAACATTTATTGGAAAAATATCGCCTCAGCAAGGCCATGTGTGCACAAGCAAAAGACGTTGCTGATCATCAGAAGTATTTTGCTCATGCACACGTCTTGCTGCAGTCCTGTGTGTCTCTTCTTTTGTTGTCTCATACATTGTGCTTCGTTTCATTAATATCTGTGTCGTGCCGTTTGTTGTTCTTGTACCTGTTGTCTTAAGCACTTGTAATTTCTAAGTGTGAATCAGTACGAACCAGCTCGCCTTTGCGTTTTGATCTAATAACCTAGCCATGAAACACAAAAGCGTTTCACCACTAGGTTGGCGAAAGTGCACACCCAGCTTTTATCTGCAAAGGCCGTGCCCGGGAAGCACAGGACCTCGCCCACCAGAACGAACAGAGTAAAGTATTGCAATGATGTCGTTGTTGGTATCAACAGTCCCTCGGTGATATCCAAGTGCAAGCTGGCAACACGGAAGAAGAGCCAGTGTCTGGTCGAAGGCAGCATTTACTCCGCGCGACCGTCGGCTAGGGCTGCGCCCAACAAACTCCCTTTGTTCAGTCATCCAACCACGCATTCCCACACAGTTGAAAAACAGTGTACATGCTCCTCCTCTGCTTGCTCTCTCGGCAAAGAGAAAAGAAAATTGCGGAACGCTCTCCTTCGGCTGCACCAAGCACGTTGCCCATTATCCGCGATGTACGTAACCCGATATCACTCTTCTGCTCTTGGGTCGCCCCAGCCACATGGACTGGACCGCGGCGTTCGCGTGACGGTCTTGAAATCTGCTGCAATCGTTCGCTTCTCCAACTCAAACTCACGAAGCAATGATTGCCAGAAAACTGTCACCGCTTTCTTGCCGCCTCTCCCGACGATCCCCTGTGACGTCGGCTTCACGGATATGCGTCCGCTGTGGCCTAACAGCTCGCAACATAGCGAGCTGCAGCCCACCAATACATTCTCAGAAACTTACACATACTGAGACTGACTGATGCAAATTCCAACAAGTGTTGTAGGAACTGCATGTTGCCACTGTGGCATAGGAAAGAGTCATCCTCACAGCGAAAAGCAAGTGCCGATTAAGCAAGGTCCTTAGGAAAAGGTTTCATGTTTTCATCTCGTAAGAACATGCTTAGAGATCCTCTGCAACATTCTTTTGTTCTATGAACATCTTCTGCACGAGTTGAACTCGAAGAACTGAAGCTCAGCATTACCCAAGAGTGTACAACAAGGCTTACAAAGGGCTAGTTGTAAACTCTAGCAATTTATACGCGCACACACACACACACAGCCTCACTTCTTCAACTGCTCCGTAAGCTTGTGGTTGTTAACTCTGCAGAGCCTGGCGCTTTTCTCGCGCTGCGCTTGACCTCGGCTATGGCGTGGCATGTGTTGCTGCTATGCAGATGCTGCAAAAGCTGCTGCAAAGCAAGAATCCAGAGGACCTGCAGGCCGCCAACCGTCTCATCCGCAACATGGTCAAGGAGGTAAGAGGCTTCCCTTCAGTGTGCAACACAGTCATTCCTGTGCCAGGGAAAACGTGCATTCTGCTGAAACATATGATTCCACATTGAGTAGGCTTGCACAAATATTCATTTGCTTCAATTTGAATTTAAATTGTCGAAAATTTCGAAGTATTCAAAATAAATAAATCTCTATGTAACTCTTGTAAAGTTGGTTTTGCTGCAGAGATATGCTATGCCGTGAAAACACCTATACATGTGTATATTAGTTCTCATGTAAACCACTAGTTTAACTGCAGTAAGGAAACAGTAAACAGTGAAAACATCTGTCCAGGGGGAATCTGCACTGCCACGAAGTTTAATTTTGAGGTTAAACGAACATATTATCCTCGCATCTATTCAATTTTTAAGGGGTATGCTACTCGAAGACACTTTTTCTTAATATTCACCCTAGAGAAATGAAACTTATAGTGTTTATGGAAATTTTTATGCTGATTTCAAATATATAATTAGTTTTCTTGCAAGTTGCTTACTTTTAGCTCTGCGAAATGACAAAGTGAAAACCTTAACCCTTTTGCCTCCCTCTTTACATCCCTGAACTTCCGTAATTTTTTATCATTCATAGTTCATAATGTTTAAAATAAAGTGTAGAATGCAAATAACTAATTAGGAAGCACATACAAAATATGTAAGAGGGGAGAAAAATAATAGACGTAGAAAGTCCATATTTCACCTACACTAGTAAAGGTTTACATAGACTTTCTTTATTATACAATGAAATATTGAAATTTAAACTAGATGATTGCATCCGCCATACTTGACTAAAATACGCCAGCACCATGAGTTTGTCCCTCTCGTCTTTTTCGAACCGACTCCTCACAGACATTTCGCTCACAGACAGGGCCATGAAACACTTGCCAAACTTCCGCTCCATCTGGCAGAGCCTTGTGCCAAGTGCAAGCTAGGAAGAAGTTCGACAGGACTGCGAAATCCAAACTAAGTCCAGTGTCATGCCATCTTGCAGCCATGTTTGTGTCACTTACCATCGTACATAATGGCAATGTCGTCCCTGCTAAGTTCTCTCACTGGGAGCTCTTTCGACCTCGCAAGATTGGTGCTGACGTTATCCATTGCTGCATCACGAACTGTCCGGCTGACGGGTGTGAATGACTTTGGTGCATTGGTTTTTGCATGCCAACAACTGCCGCAAATCGGACCAGCTGCTCGTAGCCTATTCCTACAGAACGCGCCGCACAGCGGCTTTCACTAGCAAGCAATGCTTTTTTCATTCATAAACGAGATAATTACACTAGAAAAGAATTGTTCAGCTCCGCTGGTCGACAAGACACGGACCCCGCAGATAGGTTTCACAGCACTTACAGGCGCGCAGCGGCCAATGGCGGTCCCCTGTTAGTACTACGTCATAAGCCGGTCGGGGCGCTCGAAAAATGCGCAGAAGCGTGCTTCTTTTTATTATTTCTTGCGCCGCATCATCGAGGGAAACTCTTGTTAATTGAAAAGTGAGACTCAACTCTTCGGCTTATGCGATCAACTATGACGAGCGGTGGCACATTATTGGCGGCAAGGTGCTCGAAGACTGCACACTTTTGACCACAGGCACCTTGTGCTCTTTAGATGCAATTTTGAAGCATTTCCAGTTAAGCCTTGACCTGTATTTTTTTTTTATAGCAGTAGAGGTACTAATCTTATCAAAACAGACAAAAATAAAAAAAATTGGTATTTTTGGAAAAAACTCGTTTTTCGACTCGCATCTCCCCTTAAGCTTAAAAGCATGCCGTACTGACTTATATGCTGTAAATATCGTAAATTTTAAAGAATAACATATTTTACAGGTTAACACTTGCATTCTACTGAAAGTCATGTCCTGCTAGTATTTAATGTTTCCACTTTTTTCGAACCGAAAAGAATGGCATTTACACAGTCCTTGTTTCAATTTCTTAAAAATGCTGCACAAATTAGTTTGGTTATATAAAATATGCTAGTTTTTTAAATAATATGTGATATATATATTATCTGAATTTGATTCAAAATAATTTGACCAAAATCACTATTTGCTTGGAATTCGTTTTGAATCTGAAAGTTACTATTCACACAAGCCTAATATTGAGAAAGCCTAGAGGGCAAATGTTCTTGGAAGGAAAGCTTTCGTTACTAATGTAGCTGCGAGCACACCTGGTGGTCATCCGATCTTTTCGCACGGCCACGTAGTCTGCCTGCGATTAAGGACAATATCACGGCACATTCTGCAGTAAACTTTGGCGCTTATTACTGTTAGAATCATGTGTGCAGTCTTGATTACACATGTCTCTTTGGATGAATGTTATCCCACCAACACTGGCCAAATATGGGTTTTAAAGATCTGTTAAGCAAGCATACCTCTACAGGAAAAAAATTGTTGTTCGTTTCGTTCGCGCGAAATTTATCACTTCTCGCTACAACGCACCACTGTGTCCTGCACTGAAGAGACTACATTTACTGTGCCATTGATTTAAATGTATGATGTGGTTTTTGTAAGTTGTGTGGTATTAAAGGGACACTAAAGAGCAAAACAATTTTCTGCTGATTAGTTAAGTACACTTTCACAATCTCGAGAACGCCATTCTTATCGTAACATGACCCTTGGCAAGCGAGAAGATGCATGAAAAGAAAATGCGGGTGTACATGCCACCTTGAGGTTCCCACACCGAACAGTGCAATGTCTTAGATTTTGAAGGCGTCTACTGACTCCTACTTCTAATCGATAAAATTGCCCTGCCGCAGTGGTCTAGTGGCTAAGGTACTCGGCTGATGACCCGCAGGTCGCGGGTTCAAATCCCAGCTGCGGCGGCTGCATTTCCGATGGAGGCGGGAATGTTGTAGGCCCGTGTGCTCAGATTTAGGTGCACGTTAAAGAACCCCAGGTGGTCGAAATTTCCGGAGCCCTCCACTACGGCGTCTCTCATAATCAAATGGTGGTTTTGGGACGTTAAACCCCACATATAAATCAATCTAATCGATAAAATTGAAGTACATTGTCATCTGTGCATGCTGTAGACCTAGTGTACGATGTTTTGGAAAATTTCAACGAATCATTGTTGCGAAAATACGAAAACTACATTTTGAAGTTTGTTGCGTGAAGCGCAAAGATTTCAACATGAAGTTTAAAAGCGAAGCTTCAACCTTGATTCTCTCCGCTAATAATGAACTCACGACAGTGAAACTTGCCCCATTGTAGTTCTCGTAATGTTGTTTATCAATCTAAATCAAGTTATTATTTCTCTGTAGTGTCCCTTTAAAGCATTGTGCTCCACATTTGGTGCCGCCGTACCCATAATTGCTTTGCCGTTTTTGCAAGAGCTCGCTTATTGTGCTGGCGTTTTTGTTTGCAGGCGGATCGGCGCATGGAGATGCTGGCCCGGCGTGCGACCGAGATCGAGACGGTGCACAATAACGCCAAGGTGCTGAAGGACATGCTGGCCAACTACCGGCCGGGCGAGACCTCGGCAGAAGAGCAGGACCTCATGAAGGTGACTGAGCATGCTGCTGTAGCGGTTTATTGTGTTGCCGCTCGATTTGGACAGCACTAGGGTTTGCAAACAAAAGAAGTGTATAGCACTCAACCATGTACGTACACTCATACCTCATTATAACAGTTACAACTCACAAAAAAATAAGTTTATTATATCCGAAAATTCATTGTAGAGTATATCAGGTTACTGCATTTATTGCAAGACTATTTTTCGTTTACTTCGTTATAACGAATATTTTGTTATATGCTGGTTGATTATATCAAGGTTTGAGTGCACTCGCTTCATATAGACATATGTTCTTGCCTTAACGCTTCGAATACTTTGAATATACTGTGCTTGAAAAAATAAAAAGAACTCTAATAACTTTTCAATCAATTTGGACGAAACTTGCTTTGTTAGGAACGAAGGAGAGAATAATCAGGGCACATTTCTTTGTTTAACCTTAGTTCAATGAAAACCAGCTGATAATGAAAGGCTATCTTAATTTTACTATTTTAAATGTATCATAGTACCGTATTTACTCGCATAATCCTCGCACTTTTTTTGCCGGAAAACCGATGCAAAGTTGAGGGGTGTGAGAATTACGTGGGGAAAACTTTTCACGAAAACGTAGAGAGCGAAAAAAAAAAACGATGTGGCCACAAATCGGGATTCTCACACCAGCAACTCACAGCAAGCTTCAAGAAGTACTAATTAGAACACACCTCAACAATAAAAGCAGAGGTTCAACACAAGACAAGATTTATTTGAGACACAAAAAGTGGAAGCAAATAGTCGAGAATTAGAGTACCACACGCAAAGCTTGTGGGCATTGCGGGCGTAGCGGTAGCGTTCGTCGCTCAACGGAAGCACTCAAAAAGTAAGCGTAGGACGTCAGTATTGGCCTGATGGCTGTTTAACAGAATCGTCCACTGTTTCCTTCTGAAGAAATAAAGTTTACCATCAATCCCAGCTTTAGGCACATGGCAGGCCCAACGCGTCTTGGTGGCTTTCAGCTGCCATCACCAGTAGCGAACACAAAACTCGTAGGCTCTAAGGGCCTACCGGCGGCCCTGTTTCCATTGTTTAGTGCATGATTCATCACTTGCAACTTGAAGCAGCCGTGTAGCTTCAGTATCGCCCCGTAACGTGCCAAAATTACCGACACAACAAACAAAACATGCCGCTATGCACACTGGCCACTTCGGCTTGGCTTGGATCGGATTGAATCTCCGTGCAATAGCACGCTTGATGCTTAAGAGATGGCGCCAGATGGCGCGCACTATTATCATCATTGGCTCGAACGAGCAGACAAAATTATTTCGGCAGTTTTCGGGGGTGCGATAATTACTCGAGGAAAAAAAAAATTCGGATTTTTCTTGGGCGTTGTGGGGGGTGCGAGACTTATGTGAGTGCAAGTATTACGTGAGTAAATATGGTGTATGTAGCACGTGACACACGTGTCGCCGTCTGTCAAAATGCAAAAGTGATTCATACTCGCCGTCACCATTACAAGCAACGCCGAGTAACACGGCCAGGTTTCATGCGCATAAATAATGGATAATGTAAACAAGGTGACTACTGCCACCCATAGCTATTTTTCTTGTACTGCATTATGATTTCTTCACTATATCAGACACTCGGTGCATTGTGTGGGGAGAGCAATCTTTCCAAGATCGCGGTTACAGTGTAAGTTCCCGGCTGTGGCGATCCCGTGGATCAGTGTGGATCCCGGCTGTGGCGGCTGCATTTCCGATGGAGGCGTAAATGTTGTAGGCCCGGGTACTCAGATTTGGGTGCACGTTAAAGAACCCCAGGTGGTCAAAATTTCCGGAGCCCTCCACTACGGCGTCTCTCATAATCATATGGTGGTTTTGGGACGTTAAACCCCACAAATCAATCAACAGTGTAAGTTAGCATATCGCAATATTCTGGAAGGACAACTGTACACAATAAAATAAAACTGAATGTTCTAACCTCATTTGAATAGATGTTAGAGTAGGGTAAACTTTTGTGAGTGAAATCCCAGCTGGACATAATATTTGTCCTGTTCAGATGGGCTTACAAAATCCAATGTCGACTCCCTGTGACGTCGTGGCTGTCTCGTACAAGAAGGTAGCGGTGAATGGAACATAGCGTTTGGCTTGGTTATTAAAAGCATGCAGTGCACTTGGAACAACACTACGTGCTTTTGCTGGCGTAATGACGGAGCAGCGCAGTTTTGTAGGTGCCTGTGCTGCGCACATGAAGCTAACGAACAATGTCATACCCGTTACAAATTCCACAAAGGAGAAATAGTTTGCAAAAAAAGTTGTTAGAGCTGTGAAAAAAAAATGTTGATTACTTGACATTTGATTGATTATGTCAGTTTGTTTCTTAATTACAGTTAAACCCCTTTATAAGAGACATGCTATGGGCAGCGATTCTTGTCTTTTATATGAAGTGTCTCTTATTAGCAGGGGACCTTGTATGAATTTTCTTATCCCCCGTAGGCAAATTGGTGTCTCTTATACCAATTTGTCTCTTATATCAGCGTCTCTTAAAAGGGGTTCGGCTGTATTTGTCATTCACACGGCCCTAATACAGTCAAGTCTCACTGTAAAATAAGTCCGTTATATATAGAAAATTTTATTAAAGTGATTCTCATCATTGTATCTATTGCAAGGCTATTCCTCATAACTGATATTTTGGTATATCTGTGTTTGTTATAGCTAGGTCAAGTTTACTTGCATGTGCAAGTATTTTTTTTTGTGTCAACTGATAGAGGGCAGCACGATGCAGCTGACCACTCAACACAAAAGTATGCAACCAAAACAAAAATGGCTACTGGTGTTTTTTTTTTCTGCCGCCGGTGTGGCCAGAAGGTTATATCAGTCTAGCATTCAACACGCATGCTTTCTAGCAGCCTTTTTAAGTTACATTAAGTGCGACTGCTGCAGTGTTGTCATGTGAGGCGTAAGTGCACGATTTCGTGTGCAGGAACTGTTTGAGAGCTGCGAACGCCTGCGGCCCAAGCTGTTCCGGCTGGCTGGAGAGATGGAAGAGAAGGACGAGGGGCTCAGTGAGTGGCACGCAAGTCAATTTCTGCCGTACTCACGTTTCGAATTTCGTCTGTGAACACTGGCCGACAAGGTGTTGTCCATCAGGCCTATCACAGTAACCTGGAAAATCGTTTTTTTTATGTTACCAACTTAAAATACCTCAACTTCTAAACTCATCAGGCACAAATTATGATGTACTGTGTAATAATGTGTCAAATTGACGCATTATTCGGAGGAACTCAACATTTCATTACAAAAAAAGCTAGGTAGCATTGTGTAGATTTTGCACTATTGATTGATTTACTCTAAGTGAAGTGTAACTAAACATTCATTCTTTCTGACGTCAGTCGTGTTTTATAGTTCCATAAAAAATTGATTCCCATGCATATAGTACAGGGGCAGCTTATTATTGGTTGCTTTCATTGCGAGCAAATGAGAAAATATGGTGCGGCTGTCGAAGCGGGGCACTTAGAGCGACTTGTCGAACGTAGAAGTGGTTTGACTGATGTAATTGTCTCTGGCAATATGCAGCATTTCAAGGTTATATTGTAACAATGATTCATGAGTTGAATAGAGTGGGAATGACGGAGCGTGCAGTGGAAAGTAAAATGATAAGTGTAACCTTGAGTGACAATAGGAATAGTAAATTTGGTCGAAATGTTCAATTTTTCGATAATTTTTTTTCTGCAGTCCTGTGCACGTTTTTGCATCACGGTGAAATATTAAGCTGAAATAAGTAATAGAAGCCGAGAAAAAAGAATTTTACTGGAGGGGCTGTCGCATAATGCTATGAGAAAACTAAGCTTTAGAAAATTCAAATCTGCAGCTTTCCCTTGGCACAGTGCCAGCATATTGGCATCATCAAAAAGGACAATTAGAGCTGAAGATAGCCGCAAAGCTGCATATCTCCAATGAAAAAAAAAAAAAACAAAAAAAAACCAGCTCCTTTCGGAGTTTTGCTTTCTTAGCGTCTAGCTCCAATTTCTTCGAGCTCCATTTTTTCAGTTCTCATTTTTTTAGCATTTGCTGTCAGTCATCGCTGTGCCATTTCACTATGAAGGAAGATAAAGCCATGCTGTTTTCTGCACTTAGATCCTGAGACTTCAATGAGTGCCATCCATATTTGTATGTGCATCATACAGATCTTTATGATTAGCTTTTTGTAAAAAAAAGTTGTTAGTAAGGCAGTATGCCCAGGACATTTGAACAATTTTGTTTGTGTGCTTACCTCAATGTTAAAGAATAGACTAATAGCATGACGGTACAGAATGGGCCCTTGTCATTACAGTAATACCTCGTTAACTCGGAAATTGCATATACGAGAAATTGGCTAAGCTGAAATTTTCCGTGACACCAAACGTTCTTCTATACGTCTATCTATATTTTTCCCTTTATCTCAAAGTATTTTTGGGTCAGATTGCGGATAACACGAAGTCATGACTGGGAGTGGAACAAACATTTCACCGCCAGACCATTTCACAAGATCAGGACGATGCTGCCACGCCTGAAGTCTGTTGATTTTATTTTCTCATTTATCCACGCCTGCCACTATGTCGATGCTTTCTACGAACGCGAAGTGCGCGAAGTCTCAGCCCAGCGACGTATGAATTTTGTCAAGTGACCCTGTCGCATGTCATGTGACGCATGCGCTGAAAAGAGAGACCCTCTACTCACACTTGGCGTAGTTTGTCTCGTTTGCTTTGTGCAATGCTTGTGATTTTTCCTGAGGTGTGATTTCCATTCATCTGAGCAAACTGAATGGTACGGATTTTTTCTGACTGTGAGGAGCGGCAACTTAGGGTAGCGTCAGTGCGGCAAGCATAGCATCAAAGCAGTGCAAGTCGCCAACACTAGAAAAAAGGTTGCCCTAATTAGGGAGGTGAAGAAAGGAGGCCGAACAAAATCGAGCATGGCGCAGGAATGCGGTATTCCTTTGTCTACCCTTTCAAGGGTGCTGGAAAACAGGCAGAAGGTGCTGGATGAATTTTAGCAGAGTTTCTCCAGTCAGCGGAAGCGGGTTCGAGGGTTGAAGTTACCATACGTTGAAGCGGCGTTGATGATATGGCTTTGAAATAAGTGTGGCAGCTTGGGCTAGTTGGTATGGCATGACGATAGTTATAGCGCGAGAACAAAATGACGACACAGAAGTCGAGTGCAGCGGCGAAGTAGGTCAACTGATGCGATGCATCAAGAAGTTGGAGTACGCCTTCTTAGGCCCGAGTTTGAACGCAAAGCAGACGAGCATTAGGAAGTTTTTCTCTGTTATATAAAATGGCAGTGCGGCAAAACCCAGCCGGTTAGAGTCTCTTGTATGTTATTTTTTGAATCTTTTAAACCTGCACAAGAAGAAAGATTAGAAACTGCCGCTTAAGAGCCGGTAAGTAATATGGATTTTCTGAAAAGCACTAATTTTTTTCCGACAATTAGCACAACTTGGGTTATCTGAAAAATCCATAATCTAGAAGTTTTTTCTAGTTTTTGTGACTTCGAGTTATTGAAGCATTGCTGTATCTTTATGCAAAAGTTTTGATGGATCGATGCTAAAATAATTAAATGCTTTCGGTATGACAGTGAGAGTCTATCAGGTGTTGTAACTTTAAAGGGATTTCAGTTATGCTGTCAGTGCAACAAATGAAATCTCCATGCCAAACTTCATCACTTTATCTCCATAAATAACAAGAATAGTTTTCATTGTGACGTCCCTTAAGAGACGGTGAGGGAGTAGAGTTGGTCAGGGAACAAATGGCAGTTACCCTGTTTTTGCCCGTATAACCCGCCCCTGCATATAATCCGCACCCCCACTTTCAGCTCACCGAGAAAAAAAAAAAAAAAAAAAAAAAAACCTCGCGTATTGCCCGCACATTTGATATACAGGAAAAGCTGTACAAAAGCTACTGCTCAAGCAACGTAGCACATATGTAGACAGAAAAAGCTTTATTTAGCAAGCAGAATACGCTGTCTGCAAGGCCAGTCACAATTCACTCACTGTCGCTGCTCTCGCTAGAACTATCACTTGAGCCGCAGTCCTCACTGTTATGCACAAGGTCATCTTCGGTTCCATGCATGTTGTTTGTGATGCAGCATTTTTTGAAACTTTTTCCACCATCTCACCTGAAATGGCCTTCCATGCCTCGACAATCCACTTGCAGAATAGGGCAATATCAGGCCTTCGGACTCATCCTGTCGGCGTCAAGTCGTAGAGGCCTTCAGCCATCCACTCGGCATAATAGCGTTTGACGTGCGCTTTGAAGGGCTTGTTAAGCGACACATCTAGAGGCTGCAAAATTGACGTCATTCCACCGGGTATAACAACTAAGTCGGTGCCGTTGCGTGAAAGGCGGTCCTTCACTTCCTGAGTTGTGTGGCCGCGGAACGAGTCAAGAACGAGCATGGGTCTCTTTGCGAGCATCGCACCGGGCCTCTTCTCCCTTACCGTCTTGATCCAGTCTACGAACAAGTCACTGTTCATCCACGCGTTCTCGTGTGCACGCACCACCATATCGGCAGGCAAATGAACGTTTGGTAGAGTTTTCCTTTTCAAGATGACGTACGATCCCAGTTGCGTGCCGTCGGCGAGGGCACAAAGCAAGACTGTGAAGCGCAGTTTCGTGTTCCCGCCGGTCAGCACGCTCACCGAACTGCTGCTCGTCTTCTCAATCGTTGTGTCCAACGGCATTTCAAAATAAACAGGAGTTTCATCCGCATTGCCGATTTGCGAGAAAATGTAATTGTGCTGCTTTCGCAGGCCAATTACATATCTCTGGTACTTGAGCAGCTTCTCCTCATAAGAAGCCGGCAAGCGTTGACATATTGTAGTCCGCCATCTGATTGAGAGCCCTTGCCGCTTCATAAAGCGGTGCAGCCATCCGCGGCTCGCACAAAACTCGTGAGGTAGGCCTAGCTCCCTCGAAAGTCGCCGCACTTCCACTTGGGCCATCTCAGTCGATACGGCGTGACCCCTGCTTCTCACATCTTCGATTAACTTTACTAGCTCCGCCTCCAGCTCAGGGTAGGCACCGGTCTTGGGGCCACGAAATGACCTACGGCCGCGGTGCGCGGCTTGTAGGCTCTCTTTCTTCTTTCTTCACAGCCGCACGCAGGACTCGTCCACATCGTGCCGTCTTCCCGCATCGCAATTTCCAAATTCCTCGGTGACGGCGATGATCTTAAGCTTTTGCTGTGCCATGAAGGCCTGCCGCCGTACGCTACTCATGGTGACAGAACAGATCGACTTAGGCTTGGCGAACGCGTCGAGATGTGGAGAATTAGCGGTATCAGCGAGGTAAAGAGCGCTCACACTTTGCGACAACTTGACAGCACTACCCCTTTTAGTACATTGTAACAGCACCCTGGAAACAGCAGAACCGAAATGCATGCCTGCTACCACGTCAAAAAGTAGTACATAAATTTACTGATAATATCTCTATAGGCACTATAATATCTCATTTGCCTTGCTGAAATAAATACTGCTTTATTTATTATGGAACTCAAACGGTTGCGGGAAGTCGTAGGTAAGGTACAGGTATCGTTCACTTTGCAAAAATGCCTTCCTTTTCTTTCTATTTCTTAGACAGCACCACCTTTTCGGCAAGCTCTTTCCAAAGGTAAACATGGCATCCGTGACGTAGGGACATGTGGAGGGTCACTGAGTGGCCGCGAACGTCCAAAAAATATACTTGTGGTGTGACAGTGAGATTTTACACTGAACAATCGAATTGTCTCTCCCTAAATGTTTTTGTAAACGCTTTAACGATGCAAGCAAGCGAAACCAAAATCGGTCGCAAGCTGCCGTGCTACTTGCGGAGCAACACGAATTTGCAGAAACCGCCTCCGTAGCCTTCGCTACACTATTAAGGGGCTTCACAGCACAACACGCATTGCTGTTAGGGGCTTCACAGCACTATAGTAAAACCCCGCGTATTATCTGCACCTCCACTTTGCCACTGAAAATTTTGGATTTTTGGTGCGGGTTATACGCGCGAAAATACAGTAAGGATATCGTAGCTGAAAGCAAGAGCAAGAAATGGGCATGGGCAAGGCATGCAGTGTGTAGGTAAGATAGGCGCTGGTCTTTAAGAGTAACTGACTCTATACCAAGAGAAGTCAAACGCGCAAGGGCAACACGGAAATTTAGGTGGGCAGGTGAGGTTAAGAACTTTGCGAGTATAGCTTGGCAGCAGCAAGCACAGGACTGGGTTGATTGGCGGAACTCGGGAGAGGCCGTTGCCCTGCAGGAGGCATAGTCGAGCCAATGATGATGATGGTGACGGTGAATGTGCCAGACTTCAGTGCACTCAAACCTCTATATTTCCCGCTTTTTGTTGACCGCCAGTAGAACCTGTGTAAGGAAGTTCTGTGGACACCATTCTTTAAGAAATTTACAGAACTAGATTGGGATCAAATTAAGCATTTCAGACAATACAGAAATTCAGGGGCAGATGAAGTCTTCATGGGATAAGAAATCATTGAAATTGGCTGGAGGCAGTGCTTCAGCAAGAGGACTCATCTTTGTCAAAGCACAGACTGTTCTGCCTAGCATAGTTTTTATTAACGCGTTGCTCTCAATTCCTCACCACGAGTGGGAGAGGACGAGAGTAAGCCTGTGCACAGAGAAGGGCAACTGAAGCCTGCATCTCTAAGAAATAAATACAGAGTAAGGTTGGGCTATTGTACGTACAGTAGACTTCTAATAAATAGAAACTCTCTTAAATTAAATTGCTGCTTAAATAAAATAACTGCCACTAATATGTTTGGTTTCGTACTTGAATATTATACCCCTGTTTATCTCTAAGTAAACGAAACTCCTCTCAAAGGAAACACATTTTCTTGGTCCCTTCAGGTTTCCTTTAAACCGAGTCTACTGTACTTTGATTTTCTGGCTTGTGTCCAAGGGGGGGGGGGGGGGGGGGGGGGGGGGGGGGGGGGAGGGAAAAGAGTGGGATGCTTGTGGTGGCATTAGTTAGCGTTTGCTTATCAATGTAATTCCTGCTCCTCTCGCTCAGACGAGATCTTGACAGCCAATGATGAGCTGACCAATGTGATCAACATCTACAAAAAGACCATGGGGCTGGAGCCGGCTGTCAACGGTGGGAGCTCGACCACTGCCTTGAACGACACCCACGGTGAGTTTCTGTGTGTGTGCATCGGTGTTAGAACACCAAAGGACAGATGCCTTCACCCGACATCTGGAGTAGCAAGCCAAGATAAACTAAGGTAAACAAGGTAAACAAGATAAACTAAAGTAAAGCTTCCGAAAAAAATCATTTGTCATAAGAGTTGTTTTTTGTATTGTTTTCTGCGAGCTGCTAATGAGGAACAGAAAAGTTTTTATTATAAGGGAAATGCCATTGTAGCGATATTTAACTGTGCTGGAATTTCATACAAGTCCCTGTACTGCGAGCTTTCTTGCTCCTACCCTTGCATGTCAAACCAACGGGGTTGACGATGGGGCTGCTTTCATTTTAGCACATGACGCATATCTGAAGCCTTTCCTCTCAAAAAGGCATCAGAGAATCTCTCTGTGAAAGTCCCTGCTGTATTGGTGTGCTGCCGTGAAATGTTTGGGTATGGGCCAAATCTTTGTATTGAAGACTCGTTATCTGGTTAAATCTTCGTATTGAAGACTCGTTATTTGGATGTACCTTTCTCTCCCCATTCTCTCTTATGTAGAAATTTTTTTACATCTAATGTGAAAAGTTTAGAGGCCACTAGGTCAAAGAAAGCATTGAATTTCTCAGAAATTAGGGACTGCATTTTGCTGAACCACGCAGTACATGTTGTCAGTGCGTTGTAGAGCCAGCTGGAAATCTGAATTCAAGGCTGCCTGTAGGAGCAGTGTAAATATCCAGCTTTTTCCTGTACCTCTTGGTCTGTTAAACTTTTAATGGTGACTGCATTTCTTGGATGGGGCTGTCAAAATGCAGCCGTGTCGGCTGCCCCGGTTACTGCGGCTGCTGCTGGCTCCTTGCTGGATTTGGGCTCCCTGGGCCCCGATGTTCGCGAAGAACCAAAGAAGGTCCCCGTCGACCTCAGCCTGCTCGATGACCAGCTACTTGCCCTCGGTGAGGTTTGATTACTTGCATGAATGTCGCAATCCGAAGCCATAGTTTTGTATTAGTGTCTTTTTCTATGCTGTTGACTCTTTATCAGTGGTCAAAGCAGCGCTACAGCTGCATTGTCAGTTATATAAGTGAACTGTAAACAGTGACCATAAAATTGTTATGAAATTGAGTGGGCGATGTTGCTACGATGGTACTGTCGAGGTTTACTTGTGAAGTGGATTTTGAAATATTCAGTGCATGTTACTATAGTCGGATCTCATTAATTAGAACACGCTTAATTTGAACTTCTGGTTAATTCGAACTCACGATGCGGTCCCATCAAAGCTTTGTGTATTTCAATGGGCGAAGATGCCCAATAATTCAAACACGCAAGTGCTTGCGACGATTAATTCGAACATACCGCACTACGAAAATGCTCTCAACACCCCGCCCTATCCTGCGGCGGCACCTGCTGCGCACGAAGGAAATGAAAAGGAAAGAAAAGGCTATGATGGAATGTTTGCTCTCTCTAAAATTCTGATCTGCGGTGTGCCCATGTCACACTTCTCCCTTTTCTGTCCCTGCCACGTAAAGACCCTCCTCCTACCAATGCCGCCCGCAAAGAGAGAGGAAAAAAAACAACAGAAAGCTGTCGCTGGGTTGAATGAATGCGTGGTTGAAGGAAAGGAAAAGGGCACTATTTTCTTCAGCCCTTGCCCCTTGTGGGAGCACGGCTCTGAGCCATGAGGGGGGGGGGGTACGCTTTCCTCTTTCCCGTCCCTGCCACATAACCCTTCTCTTTTCAATGACGGGTTCGAAGAGAGAAAAAAAAAAAGCTGCCGTGGTGTGTTGGTTTTCTCTCAAATGCCGATCCGCTTCTCTTTGCGTGGAGACACTCCTTCTTTCTCGTCACGTGCTGGCCATGCTGCGGCTGCTACGCAGTCGTTGTTGTTGTCGTCGTCTTTAGAAAGTGTCGGCGCTGGACATTTCCGTGCGCAACTTCTCTTGCCAGGAGAATGCTGAAGCTGAAGTAGAAATGCTTTGCAAGCTGCGTGTGAAATTGATTTACTCGCTGCAAGGCAAACGTGTCAATTAATAACGGATGTCCTGTGATTTGTTAATAAATGTGAGTCTTGTGAAATGCACATGCTCAATGCACATGCGCCACTGCACGGAGAGTCCTCCGTTTATTTAGCTTTCATTAATTTGAACTTCTTTTAATTTGAACAATTTTTCGAGCCCCTTCGAGTTCGAATTATCGAGATTCGACTGTAATACCTCATTGTGTAGCTGTTACCTTGCCATTCCAAAGCCATAACTTGCTTATGAAGAACGCGTAACCTCACTTTCTGAACAGTGAGTATAGTTGCTGGACCCACTGTGGTAGCTTAAAGGCATTGCAAAGCAGTAAGGTATTGGTTCTGTTCCCGGACATGGCATCCATATTTCAGGAGTGAATTACAAAAATGCCCTTATGTTTACCTTTAGGCACACGTTCAGGATAACAGAGTGGTCAAAATTAATTTGGACTCTTCCCCCACTTTGGGGTGGCTCATAAATGTATCGTGGTTTTGGTATGCGAGACCCCAAAACTTAATTCAACTACAGTAAATCTAGTTACAGTCTCACTAATCAGGAAAGGTTTTAAAAAGAATCACTGACTTAGTGGAGTATCTGCTGCTAACATGATTTTGCACTTCTGTTCATCCCTCGCTAAACGAAGCTTCTGTAGAACGAAACATGTTTTTCTGGTGCCTTCAGATTCTATTTGTGAATAGTTAGTCTATCTAGTTTATTTGGGGCCATGACGGTCATGGCCCCATTGGCACTTCATAGAGAGTTGATGAACACTGAAATTACCTGGGTTGTCTTTTCTTGGCCTTGCAGGCATAGGAGATCCAGGCCCGCCGACTGCGACCAGCAGTATGGCAGATCTGGGCTCTCTCTTCTCCCCGGGTCTGCCTCAGGCTAGCACCAATGCCAGTGCCGGGGGTGCCGCCGGTGCAGGCCCGTTTGGGGGCTTTGGCAATGCCGCTGCCCCCTCCCGGCTTCCGGGATATTCACCCTCACATCAGGCAGTGGCGCAGCCCACAATGCTGGCACCAGGTACGGCGAGCGGCCTGCTATCTTCGCCGTTGCGGCCGACACCCTCTTACATCCAACAGGGGAACCACATTAACAACATCGGCAATGGCAACAGCAACGCTGCAATGGCAGGTAATGAGACCGAAAGCCTACTATTCACGCACTTTTTTTTTTTCAGTGGTTCGGCTCTTATCGGTGGCAAGATGGAATCGCTTAGGCTGCATTTGTTGACTACAGTGCCCTACAGGGCTCCTTTGCCGTTGATCAGTAATACACAATAATTGGAAATGAATTTCACTGCAACATATTAGAGCTAAGTGGGCGTGCAGAAGAAAGCTTTCAGCAAAAGCAAGCAGCTGCACCAACTTTGGTTGCACCACACCACTTTTCATTTGCTGAAACAAAGTGGCGCAGTGTTTCTGCACTCTTGTTCGCTTTCAAGTATTGTATTACATTAACATTGTACTTAAATTTGTCATGGAAATCAGGTAAAAATTTGCTAATGTTGGAGCCTAAAGAAGCAGTAACAAATGTTTGCAAATGATTTATGGAGTTTGTGCACCAGCAATGGTGACACCAGAAAGACTCTCCTCCACACGTGCTCCAGTAGTGGAAAGATGGTGATAGATGTTTTGCCACATAAACTCGAACCCCAATATAGTGATCCCGGCCCGATATAACGAAATATTGGTTAGATGTTTTGCCACATGAACTCGAACCTCAATATAGTGATCCCGGATATAACGAAATATTGGTTATAACAAATTAAGTGAAAAATAGTCTAGCAATAGATATAGTGTTAGGAATATACCCTTATAACAAATTTTCGGATGTGAAGAAGCTATTTTCATGTAAGATGCAACTTTGTTATAATGAGGTTCGATTGTATCGCTTCGTAGGACAAGGAGGCGGCTTTCTGTTTAGCGTGCAACACTTGCGGATGCAACGTTTGCCTCGTCCTGCAGGTGGGTCTCTACTGGGCAAGTCACGTGGCCTGGAAGAGCTAGATGCCCTGGGCCAGTCGCTCATCAAGCAGGCCCTGCCCCACAATCCTGGCTCACAGGGAGACTTCCCCACGTGAGCAAACACCTTTGTCGCGCCTGCTGAGTTGGTCACATTATTATTCGCCTTTTATTTATCAATGCAATAGTGTTGAAAAGCTCAATGTGCAGAAGTTCGGGTGTCGATGTCATTGGTTCTAAGGTGAAAAATCAGCGCTATGACCGAAAAATTAAGCAAGATACATGCAAAATAAACATAATAAATATTTTCTTTGTAGAAGGCTCAAACTCGGGCCTTCTGCATGGCAAGCTGATACTCTACCACAGAGCCACGCTTTGCCATTGCTGAAAACTGCTTCGGAAAAAAATTGGGCAGACCCCACATACCATTGGCATAGATTTAAAGAGGTTATGCAAAGCATGCGGAGAAGTGGGGACTATGGTTTAATTTTGTTATTGTGTGAAACGTTATGAAATAAAGCTAAATATATGTAAAAATGTTGTGCACACAGATATATGTTGAAGAGTCGCATATGTTTTTCATAAGCAGTTGTTTACAGTTGCGTAGCGATACCACCACTAACATGGGTATTACCAACGCCAGAAGTGGTAAGCTAATACGTAGTGCTTGTGCTTGGAAGAATGCTAGCCCCTACGTTGACCAACTTCTGTGGATGGTGCTTAAGTATACAGCTCACATATAGACGACGTAATGCGTGTATCAAAAGAGTAGGTACCGTATTTACTTGCACAATGAATGCATTTTTTTTCTCTAATAATCGGAGCAAAGATGGGGGTGCCTTTGTACTGCAAGGCAAATTTTATGAAAACTTTTTTGGAATGTGCAAAAAATGCGGTGATGCAAAAAAAAAGTTGAGTCGCTTAGCTGTTTGCATTTGACATTCGTGTACACTGTTTAGAAACAGATTATTTCTTGCACTTCACTCATCTTCGGTGGTTCATGGCGCTACCTTCTGCAAAATGTCCCTGCGCTGCCTGCGCACGCCATAAAAGCATTTCGCCGTTATCTTTTCTCGCAATCGTTTAACCGCAACAGCGGTATCTGCTGTGATCTTGAGAGGCGCCCAAAAGCGTGCCCTACGACGCACTTTGACAACTTTGCTGTAACCTCGCACGACGACTGGAGGACGCCGTTGAAATTGTAGCAAGGAACCAACATTGCAACAAGCTACCACCGAAGTATCAAAACAAACCAACGATAACAAGATTAATGGCAAAATACGGCCGCCGCCTCACTGTCCACATGAGAAGTTACTGTATAAAAGGTAGCCTATATTTTGGTTCCCAGAAGTATGTGCGGATAACAAGCACGAAGAGCAAATTGCAACCAAAGGGAGAGTCGGGGGTGCTACCATGTTGCCGAAATAGTCATTATCTTTTCTGGGCGACAATAGATTTTTTTCTGGTTTTTGAGAAATCTACGAAGCAATGGTGACGAATGGCCCTTCGGGACTGCCATGGCGACAGGAAATCCTGTCGTCGTCGCTCTAAAATTGCATTCATGTGGCTGGGCCTTAAAGTTTCGTATTTGCAGGAAGCGACAGTTGGTTTGAGCGGGCAGTTTTGTTACCTTTGCTCGCTGTGTGCTTATCAGCTAAGATGTCTCTATACTAGCAACGTTTGTGAACGTCGCTGTGGCGTATAGATAATCAAAAAAGATTGGGAATGTGCCGTGCACACATGGAAAGAAAAACACTACGGTGCGCGGCAGAGGGTGCAGGGGAAGAGGGAGCTGGTTGAGGTGACATGATAATAAAAAAACCGGAAATGATCCAACGGGTAAGGTGGTGCCATGTGTTGGTTAGCAGGACTGCAGTGGATGAATGTAGGGGGTGCGTTTATTACCTGGGGAAAAAAAACCTAAATTTTGACGACTGAAGTTGGGGGTACGTTCATTATGAGAGTGCATTCATTACGCTAGTAAATACGGTATGTAATATTTATTAAACTAGACAGCCGCACTGCAACCACTATTGACATTTCATCAATATTAAGCCTGCATAGCATCTTTCTCCAAAGCAGTTTTAAGACCTGGCATGGCTTTGCGGTAGAATGTTTGATTGCCGCACAGAATCCTTGAGTTTGATTCTTGCTGGGACCCTAATGTTTATTTTTTTTCATGCATCGGGTCAACGCTGCTGATGTTAATTTTTGCTATTGCCCTCACATTTAAATTATTAATGTCTGTTCGCACTGTTCTTGGGAAGATATTAACTGTTAATTGCTTGTGAGGCATACCTGCCTGTCGCGGCTCGTGGTACATAGGTATGTACCACACGTGTCAGGAGGAAAAGGTTCGAGGACGTTCGAGACTGGATTTTCATGTTATTCATGTCATGACCAGCCAGACATGTTCGTCAAACCCTCTTACCCTCTCAGACTAATTTTGAGGATTCCGAGAGCACCCAGATGTAGGCAGCTAGCCAGGTGAGTGCCTGGGTTGCTGGGTTGGTCGGTAAGTGGGTCGCAGTCGGTCGACTGACTGACCCACGAGCTGACCCCCCGCTCCCTTCCCAAAAAAGTAAAAAACCTTCAAGGAAAGAAAGACATGCTCGAAGCTCAAAGGGCCTGAAGTTCGCTAAAAATTGCTTCACATTGAAAGACTCTTTGTGAATATTATTTAGTGGGAGGGTTCTCTTTATTGCTTGCTATATTGTGTGGTCTTGCTTGCTATATTGTTCGATCACACCAGACATCAAAAAATGTTAATTGTGCTACAAGCTGGTGTTTTAAAGACCCACCCATTACGAAGCGCTCAGATATTTATTCATCATTAGCTGTAAAAGCATCAACCACGTGAGCAGCTGCATAGGTTCACGTGTTGCCTTACAGACACTTGGCAAGCCCTTTGCTGATATGGAAAATTTGGAATTGTGGTGTAAAGGTTTTTTAACAGTTTGAGCTCTTTTCTGATTTGGAAAACAGACAATTGTGTAGTGGGCACTTAGCAGCTTTATTCTCAGTAGGCATTCTAGGATAGCTTAAGCGGCCCCTGTTACGTGCACAGTTGTTCGTTTCCTTACGGCATAGTTGAGGCATGCACTGAGGACCAAACAAAGCCAGGCTAGCAATTGAGAAGGCGATGGGGCTTGATTATGTCATCATGTTCTACTTTTGAAGGCAAAACTCAAGCATTCTTCGCATCTTTTTTTTTTGTTATCCCTATTTTGTGGAAACATGCAGGCACAAATATTTTCCCAAGTAATGCGTAAAAACCTTACAAGGACCTGATATTTTTCTCCTGTTATTTATGAAGAAACCATGGAAGTTATCCCAGATTTCAGCTGCGAGTAGAAAAAAAATAATTTAAGACCGTCTAGACGTATCGTGCAAGGAATGACGTTTATTTTAGCATGTCGCTTTGCTGGGTCACACATGCACTGAAATATGTGAGAGAGAGGTGACTGAATACTGCATGCCACGTGATGTTGTACAGAGAGATGATCGTTCCTGTGTACACCCGTGTTTCAGAGTCTGCTATGGTTAGATTAAAGTGAAAAAGCTGAAATTCCGAAGTGCTGTTATTCAACGGCATTAACTCGTGCAATCTCATGGGAATCCCACAAAGTGCAGGGCTTGTTGATTGCGTTAAGTGCTTACACTACAGAAATTCTGCTTCTAGTCTCGCACAAAACACTTTTGTTCTAAAAAGTACTCTCCAACATCATTTCGTATGAATTGTCAAGTGCACCATTGCACTGACATTGTCGAAAACTACCATAGGTAGTGGTGAATGAAAGGGCAATTTAGAGGGTTCTTTTTTTTTATCAGACACAAATTTAGTGAGAGCGAATGGACGATAAACCAAGCAAAGAATACAGCACGCAATTTGTAGTATAGTTACAGTGTATATGTGAAGCAAAATGAATGACAAAAAATACGATTTGCCACCGGCTATCACACACATGCTCTGGCTCTGCAACCTTAGCTGCCTAACGGAGGGTGGTTGTCCCCAACATAGTGAGATTTATTCTTGACAAAAAAATGGTTAATGTGAAGTCGCTTGTGATGGCATGCGTGCTTCAAGTAATTGGTTTGTAGTTTTGGCACAGGAACCATACAGTTTTTTTTTACATTGCACGCAGCACACCACAGAAGATTCCACTGAACCAGATGTCACGACCCCTGCTGGCTGCTGCAAGCTCCAGCAACATTCTGGCTTCAGCGGGAGTGTTCCAGCCCATGAGTGTCGGACCAAAGACGCTGGCGCTGGGACCGTCTATGCTGGCCCCCATGGAGGGGCATCCTCCAGGATCCCCTTCCAAGATGGCTACGGATGATCTCCTGAACAACCTGTTTGTGCCCCTGGAGCAGATACAGCCGGGTGAGCTGTGCCACCACGTTTAATGAATAAAGGCACAGTGGACATTTTTCGTACTTTCGAAGGCAGAAATTCAGGCATATTAGTCTTTCTTGTTTATGATCGGTAAGAGCACAATGAAGACGAGCGCACAATGAAGGCACACATGCCCTCCGTTGTGCGTTCTTCTTCATTGCGCTCTTACCGTTCATAAAGTAAACTAAAGGCCAGCTTTCCTACTGTGCAGTTTGCCCTACTAACGGTGGCTAGCGACTTACAGCAAGCAGTGTATTCAAGCACAGTTTACTAGAGCTATGACCTGGAAAATGCAGACACGGCTCTCTTGATATAAGCACGCCTAAAAGACAAATCCCTGCATGTGCAACCAGGACCTTGTGTCTGCTAGAAAATGTGGCAGATGCCGTCATTAAAAGGGTGAATGTGCAGTGCAGAAAAGCGCACTTGCGATACATCAAAATGGTTTATTGCCATGTATAAAACACACGCAACTTCTGGCTCCTCCCAAAGGGAGTCTACACAATGGTTCACCACGATAGCCCTAACAGAAAGCATTGAAATCAGAGAATTTTTGCTGATGTGGAAGCTTGGCCTGTGTTTGCTATGCTAGTAATAAACATTCTACTGTGAAATTGACTCATACAGATATAGAAAATAAAAATTATCTAGGAATCCAACATACTAGTTTAGTCTCTCTTTCTTGGTGTCTATTCTAGGAGTGCCTGGTGTTGTAGGTTAACCTGGAACGCACGGTTCTTGTGTCTCTCGTACACCGCGCATTGCTTAGGGAGATACTTCGATTTGGATTGCCCCGCATCTCATGCAAGACCTTGTTATCTCTGTTCCGGTGAACGCAGGCTCGCAGGCTCCTGTGAACCTGCACGAGGAGAACGGGGTGCGCGCGGTGATTCACATTGCACGAAACCGGCCCCAGGAGCACGTGTCGGTGCTCGTCGTGTCCGTCACGAGTCAGAGCAGTCTGCCCGTGCGCCGGATCGCCTTTCAGGCTACCGTGCCCAAGGTGAGCGTTGCGTTGTGTAGCGGCTGTTGTTTTCATACCGTAAGAAAACAGTTGAGTGGTGTTGTATCTAAATTAATTTTAAACGACACTGTCTTTCAAATTAATTTAATCTGTCTTTCACTGTCGTTCAATTAATTAAGGTTGCACTTGTGACACTGTCTTTCAATTAATTAAGGTTGCACTTGTGAAGAAATAATCATGCATGTAAATTTTCGCATACCGATGTATTGATGGACGAGTATACGTGTATTGTTAGAGCAGGATGATGAATATATTGAGCTTTTATGAAAGAAACTAGGCTGGTGCGAATAGTGAATTTTTAGGTCAGATTTTAGGATAATAGTGAATTTTAGGTTCAAAGTTAATTTGAACAAATTGAGAGTGATTTTTGTCAAATAAGTTTTAATTTAATTGGAATAGCATACATGACATATAAAGAAAAATGGGCATATTTATTATGACCTAACTATCCTGCACAATATCTTTCTTAATTGAAATAAGGCCTCTATGCAAATGCCCTTTTTTTTTCGTTCAGAAGAAATTTATACAACTTTGAGTTTTAATAGGAATTGGCTTTCAATAAAATGCAAGTGGTAATTGGAAAATACGTATCATTTTAAAGTTTATTATGCTTAGGGCATGTAAGCCAGCATAACAAGCTTTTATGCTTAAATTATGATGAATAGATTTAAGGGTAGTATGTTCATTTAAGGGGGCCCTGCAACACTTTTTCAAGTAACCATGGAATGAACTCACTAAAGGAGCTTATTGCCTCACAATTTTATTGCCGCAAAAGCCTTTAAAATCCATCCAGTACGAGCACAGTTACAAGAATTTGTCGCACGTTGCAATCGCATCCTCTCTTCTCTCACCCCGACGAAATCACTGGAAGCTAAGCAGGAAGGGAGGGCACAGGGAAAGAAAATATGTCACCCGAGCCTTGTGACCTTGAGCCCCATTTCAGTTTTTTTTTTTCTTCGAATAGGCAGTTTTTTAGTGCGATCACATGCACACGCGGGGACAAGTTGCAGCCTCCCGCGGTAACCCCAGTAATGACCGAGTGTGCCATGCTCAAATCAGCTAATGGCTGATACAATGGCTGTGACAAGTGATTTTTTTTTTAGCTTGTAGTGCCGTTTGTCGAAAGAAGAGAGCAATTTTTAGCTGACCTTGACAATTTGTTGTGATATACAGGCCGCATGCTGCGCTATAATATTTGGCTCGCGTGTTCTCGGTAGCCTGGACTACTGATCGGCAGCGTTTTCTGAACAAGCTAAAAAAAAAATCTTTCAGGGTCCTTAAGATTGAAGTGGAGCTTCGCGGCAAAGCGTATTTCTTCTGGATAAGTTTTTTCATGGCTTAGCATCCCTACACTGCAGTGAAACCACATTTATGGGTGGTTACATGCGAATTACTATACATCTATTCGTTCATTGTGAATACTTTCAAAATTATCTGTAATTCAAATTTGAAACGAAGCGAATTTGAATACTCTGCTAGTCGTTCAAACATTTGAAGCATTCTAATATTTTCACAAGCCTAAAACAAGCCCATAAAGTTTTAATAAACGTGGCTAGGCATAATTCTAGCCACTGTTGAAAATACTTTTGCACAAATCTTTCAAGAGTCTCAAACAAGTTGCCGAGTACTTGCCTGCGTACCATGTTTACTTGCACGATGACCGCACACTTGAAAAAAAATCGCCCAAATGTATAGCTGTAACCACTATGTAGGGTAAACTTTGCACAAAAATGTCACCACATTATGTATGAAGAAAAGAAGTGTATATTTAATGGCTTGTTTTCTTTGTTAGACACAATATTAATGAGGTCTATTAGACGATTATGCCAAGGAACATATAGGGGACGTTATTAAAAGTAATTATAATTTAAATGTGAAGAAAGAATAGTGGACGAAAAGACCACTCGCCGCGGGCAGGGACCAACCCTGCAATCTTCGAACAACGCGAATACATTGATTGCAAGCTCCCCTTGTATTCTTCTCTCATTGTACAAATTACACGAAAAGCCAACTAGCCCAAACTGTTGCCCTTAGTTCTTTCTCCCACTGCTTGTGTTGTCGTTCGTGCACCTCAAACAGACGATGCGGATCAAGTTGCAACCGCCGTCAGCGACTGAGCTGCCACCTCACAACCCCATCCTGCCGGCTGCTGCCATCACCCAGGTCCTGCTGATCGCCAACCCTGCCAAAGTGAGTTGAACAAACATTTTTCTGACCAGTGAAAGCTCGGGCCTTCAATCCTTAGAAGGGCCCTGGAACACAAAATTGTGGCCTCTTGTTTTTTTTTTTTTTTTTGTTACAATGCGTTGCTGGGAGCCTGTTAGTCGCAACACGGCACATAATTTGCTACGACACACAACAGATAATTACAGGCTTCTCATAACCGACCAGTGTCAGTTTCGATTTCAAAGAACTCCAAAAATGACAAGCCACCGGATGCAGCTGTTACCACCTAGCGTGTGCAACGCTTAACCTTGTCAGCACACAGAACTGTGACGCACTTCCGCATGGTCCACATCAAGAAGACCTTTCAAACTGAAGTGGGAAAGCAGTGTAACCAAACAAAGAACTTTCGATGCGTGCGCTGCAACCACAAACTCGCGAGCAGTCGTCGAGAGGTAGTTTGCTGGCACATTTGCAGCAAAAGAGTAATGACGGCTGCGACGTCTTCATAGCTTTTTGTATCCGCTGCAGCATAGTGACATGAAAAAAAGTAGGGGGCCCACTGTTGAGTCATATTCGGGGGTGTCATTGCTGCGAAGTGCAACGTAATGTGCTCAGTCGGGCACGTAACTTCAGAATACATATAAAATAGCTTGCAAACCATATTTGCTGTTGATATCTTGCAGGTAATATACTCATGTTCATGGGAATTGATCACCCAGGCTACCTTGCCGGCAAAGTTTTGTGTCAGCACCCCTCCAAGTTGGGCTAGGCTGGGAAAAGATGCATACCATCCAAAATTTGTTTTAAGCATATCTTGAAGCACGGTTTATCAGTCTTCAGAAAGGGATTGGGTCTATGTGACAGAGGTACCCATATGACAGACAAAAATGGGAATTGGGTTGTGGTCATAAAGGTGCAAGTAGCATGCCTGTGATTGGAGACTATTGAGCCTTTCATTGATTTTGATATCAAAGTTGGGGTTTGCGGTGTTCATTATGTGCCATATGACTTACAGTAAAACCCAGATATCTTGGCATCTGAATTGTATCAAAGCCTTGTTCTCAAGCAGACTCCCATGATATGGAACCAGAAGGGACCAAGGAAAATAATCCCTCCTTAACAGGACTTCTGTTCAGTGAGAGATGAACTAAGGTGCAGAATCTAAGTACGAAACCAATCGTATCAGAGGCAGTTCTGTGTAAGCAGCAGTTGCATTTAATGAAGAGATTTTCATTAGTGATAGTAGATCATGGAGCCTTTGAAGCTATCACTTGCCTAGACAAGTTTTGTGTTATGATGGAAGAAACTTGTGGTGATCAAATTTGTATGTCCAACTTGACATATGTTGTGTAACACAAGAAACTGTGATTAAGTGCTTTTATCGTCACAAGTGCTTAAAGCACAGTTTTTATCACCAAAGGGGTCACAGGCACGACATTTATGATCATGAAGATTTTGCCGGCGCACATAGCCAGATGCTACTTGATCTCCCCATTACAGGACCACGTACGCCTGAAATACAAGCTGAGCTATGCCATCGAGGAGGAGAACCACACGCATTCCGGCGAAGTGGATTGCCCTGTCGACACAGCCACTGCTGCCACCTCATGATCACAACAGCCACCCGGCAAGAAGACCCGAGGACACCACCACCGCCGCTGCCACTACCCCACCGTCGCCACTGCAGGTTGACGATACTTCTGTTGTAACACACATGCCTGCGTCTGCCGCGCTTCTACTTTCGGAGCCTTTGTGAGTGCCATTACACGATCCAGCCCCTGCACATTCCGCAGCGATTCTTCTGGCATCCTCGAGCCATCGACCCGGAGAGCTCTTACGTCTGGCCTTTGGTCATCAACCGACTGATGATGACTCTTGGCTGTCTTTGTATTGTGTGCTCTAGATTATGATGTCAGCGGAGCATGTCGTCTGCTGCTTTACTGTAATGGCACTGGATTTTCGACCAAATCCTATGCCCCCCTGTGTGGCTCAATACAGGTTTCATGCTAGCTGCGAATTGCAGGCATTTGCAGACGACAACAATAGCAGATGCGAGCATACGACTAAACAAGAGAATGAGAATGCCTCACTCAAGGCATAGAATTCGCGGGGACGAGCTCCGAGAGCAGATGGTTGTGCAGACGACGCTCGGATGCGCTGTGGGGCGAGAGGGGCATGCTGGGCTTTGAAGTTTAGGCCTAGTTGCAGTGTTCACATCTCACTGTATTTTGGCAGAGGTAGTAATTGTCTCTTTAAGTTAGAAGACGGGTGTTTGGGACATTCACTCATCAGTGCCACGGTTTCTTTCCCTCTTTATTTTTTTGCTTTCGGAATTTCCTCCTAGTGCACAGGTTTTGTCGAGAAATGCAGCATTACGCGCTTGCGGTATACTTAAAAGTGTGTCACTCTTCTGATTCGCCCGATCTTGTCACAGTTTGTGCGTTAAGAAGTCTGAAACACCTGGTTAATCAAAAGCATTTGTTCGGAGACCAGGAGAAGGTAACGCACGCCTGGTTGAAGTAAAAAGAAAAGGAATTAGAAATAAACACCTCATGTTGCTTTGAAATATGTGCTGCAAGAATAGCACTGGTTTTCACAGCTTGTAAAAAGAAAAAGTGGGTTGTTTGTCATAACAGGGCTGCCATTTGAGACTCATTTTCACAAGTGTCATTTTTTTTAGACCTGAAGCTGTCCTTTCACGCTGGCAAGGTTTTTGGTGTCACGTGGGTCTGACTTCTTGCTTTGAGGTATCTGTCGTTAATGTGCTATTGTACCGAGTGTGCTTTGTTGTTTCAGTGCCTTGAATTAGTTGTGTGTACTCAAGAAGCTCTTAACCAAGACGACCAACATCTATGTTGCATGATCGGGTGTACTCTTTAAGAAGAAACTATATACTGAGCTGTTCCTAATTGGTAGGTCTGTTTATTTCTCCTTGCATGCTTCATAACACATGAAAAATCCAGCATTGTTTTCTCCTGCAAAACAAGGAAAAACAGTCGTGAAGTACATTTAGTTTCACTATACGTAAAGAAGTTAAATTCAAATTTCTAACAGTATGAGTACTTTACAGGATTTCCAAATTTTATCGGTCGCCAAAATCTTTCACCCAAGCGTAAATGTTTAATGTTAGTGCTTGAGTGCGGGAAAGATTGGAAAGCATTGTGTGTAGAAATTTTTTCATTTCAAAGCGCCATGAAGGGGCTTCTAGTCAGGCCTAAATTATCAGTAAGGCCTAAGATTAAGCCTAACATTAGGCCAGACATTAAGCCTATCTTTTTATCCAGGAAAGTAATGTGCGTATCCATTTATTATGTGCATGGCTTTTCAAACAACAGAAGAGCAAAAAGTATATAGTGTGTGCATTGGAGTCGTGTGTGAAACGGGAACTACACATGCGCAGTTAATGACTGAAAAGAAAGCTCATGCTTTAGAAGCTGAGGGAACAAAAGTGCATGTCAGAAATAAAAAATATTGTCGTGAACCATGCGTGAGAACATACAGTATCATAACAGTGTAATATTTAATACTGTTCTCTACAAAAATCATATCAGCGGCAGATGCACAAGAGGAAACGTCGTAGCTGAGGTGGCTTGTTTAGAAATAAAGGTGTACAAATCTTTTGCATATCTTTCAAGGATAAAGAAGGTAGCGATGAGTGTAAGTGGCATACATGAAACTGTTCTGGGGCTTATTTTCACTGTCAACACAATTACAAAGCAGCAGCAGCCTTGAAGTTTATTGAATTTGATGATTGCCAGCACACAGACACAGCCTTGCAGCTGTTGTCATCAAATGTAAAGAAACCATCGAAGTCTTACAGTATGATCCTCAAGGTTACTGCTTAGCACTCTGTCAGTCGGCGTAATCTTTTTCATTTATTTGTGCTTAACAGAAAACTAACATTGGTGTTTCGAAAATCAGGCAGTGTAGAAAGTTCTTTAAGGGTAGCTCAAGAATTAAGTACACAAGGCAGGGAGGGAGCAGAGGACACCATGGTCCTGTCTTCACTCCTGCCTTGTGTCCTTTATCGCGTTACCTCTTCAAGAGGTTCAACCAGTATCGACTCACCCAAATGTTGATTCCTCTGTGGTATATTAATAACCAGACCTTGAATCATCACTGACCCAAAACTGTGGCTGCAATGATAGTAGTAGCCAACCTGAGCTTGTAGAGAGATTCTGGAGTTTTATCCTGTTTAGTGCAGACATGCAGGGAGTGGCAGTCTGGCTGAAGTTGCTTCCATCCATGACCATGGTACTCTCATTAAAGACATGCAATCTTATTTGATTTTTGCATTCAGTTCTGCCAGTAGGTATTGCTTGACCATTTCATTTATGCTAGAAATGCAATTGCAGCAAAATTTTGAACGAAGTTCTTAATTTTTTAGCCTCTGAATTATTTCCATGAAACATTTTATCAAACTCCTATCAGCTGTGGAGGCACCATTGCATCACTGCGCCGTCATTGTAGCTCCTCTCGGTGTCGTCTTCAGCCATCTCATATTCGCAGACAAACTTAGAAGTGTGGCAGCTTGGGCTAGTTGGTATGACTTGACGATAGTTATAGCGCGAGAACAGAGCGACGACACAGAAAGACACACAGTGTCCTTCGGGTCGTTCTTGTCTCTGTGTCATCGTTCTGTTCTCGCGCTATAACTATCGTATTCGCAGACAAAATTGGGCTCCGAGACAAATTTGATGTCTTCAGCACTGTGGTAGAAACTGTTCCAAGAAAGAGCTTTTTATTAGAGCCATCACCTTCACCATTTCTGCCATTTCTAATGCCAGTTTGAAACCATCATTCCCTGGCTGAACACCCATGTAAAATGCTGCTTTTTCCAAACTTCTGCTGCCGTCGGATGAATACAATTTGAAACAATTCAGGAATTTTGTGTAACTAGTTTTGCGGCACTGTGAAGAGTATAGCAATATATAGCAGTACTTCAATTTACATGCTAGACATGTATAACCTGTTTAACTCTTCTGAGAATTTGTTCAGTTAGATTAAAAAAAAAACGAAGGAGGGACACATTTTCATTGCTTGCTTATGCTGAAGTTAAATTTCTAGAGCAGCCATTAACAAGGACATTAACTAGTGCTAAGAACTCCCCTATGCGCTTGCAGCAACCTCACCAGCTATCAGAAACCCGATGGTCACAGGTGGAACTAAGTTTCAGGGCTATGACGTGTATTAACTGTTAGTCCCATATGATGGCACATTTAGAACATGCTGGAATGTGGGGCTATATGGGTAATATATAGGAATACATGAACTAAAGAAAGTAAACGGCAGTGGTACCCCTACAATTCACTCGGTCTAGAGCGATTCGTGAAGAGAAACCTTATAAGCGGGGTTCTCCAATCATCTCTTCATTGGAGTGTGCCTCCAACTCGTCAACTGTTTCGTTTTTGTAGTGCTCGTGGAGCTCCATCGATCCAACCTGTGGCCTGCTTCAAATTAGGGGCACACCACCATTAATAAGACCTGATTTCAGTACAGGGTATTTTTTTTATGGGTGTAAAGGGTAACAACTGTTAAAGACGAAATGCAGACTACTAACAGTATTCACAGAAAGCTGTGGCTGAGTTGAAACAAAAAGTACTGACTGCACTTCATAGTCACAAAAAAGCGTTGTTTATTGGTCCTGCAAACTGTAATATTGCTGCATATGTTTGGCAGCTACCAGCTATTTGCTCATATTTCCTCGCCGATCTCAGACACTTGCCCAAGTATGTGGGGGCTCATACAAGCAATGCGTATGAGTCGTATTGTTTGTACTGCCTTTGTTGGGCATTCTAAAAGTGGCACCTTCGAATCGGAAGTGTTCCTCTGATGTCGTTGCGACATCATTCTTGTCTTGAAATGTGTTGGGTGGCAGGGTGACTGTTTTCTTTTTTAAATGCAGGCATTCGTTTCCTAACGCTTGTGTTTTGCACCTGATATTTAACAATGCTAGTTTATTGCAGAGTTAATGTTTAATGCGCTAAGTTTTGCATTGTACTGAAAGCATCTATAAGTGTCAGAAATATTGTTATCTGTTTTCTTGTGTTCACACTATACGTAATACGAAGCAGCTCCTAAAAGAGCTAAAGAACTGCAAGGGCGAGCGCTATCCGTTTATCTTTTTTGTTTTATCGCATAGCATTAAATTTCTCAAATGAAGTGGCACACTTGTCAGTGCTACTGTAATGGCCACTGAATAACTGAAGGTGCCTGCATGTCTAGTTCATTCCTAGAAACACACAAGCATTCCTTTGGCTAAGACACTAAAGACAGGATGGGGTTAACAAGCCATCTGGAAATGGAGGAAAGTTGCTGTCATAATTTGGGAAACTTTTCGCACAGATAGCTTCGATGGTCGATGTGCTCCATGAATGCGTGCAGATGACCTAGTTGCACTATCTTGCAGCAAATTCAGAAATCTCACAAAGTATGCGCATTGTTTGTTACCGATAAAAACAAACGGCCGAGTCCTCATCTGTGGGGAGCATGCAAGTAGCCGGTTCTTGCTCGGTGAGGGACACTTTGTGGCAGTTGCGGGCGCTGACGCGGTCAGCATTTACTATTAAGCAACATACACTCTGGACGCGGCACGTCAAAGCCCAAAACTGTTGCTAGGTGTTGCCCCTGCAGAGCAAGAACTGTCTGCTAGCGTGCTCTACACAGACACGGACAGGTTCATCTACTCTACACAGGCATGGTGGTACAGGTTTACCCATACCTGCTTGAATAGTGTTAAGGAGCACCAAATAATCTAGTTAAGAGAAAAAAAATAGTGTGGTGCGTATATAATCCTGTCTACACATTGCAGCTAGTATGCCGAATCTTCTTGGTGGAGCTCTTTACAATTGCGGGCTGCAAAGAGTGCACAGGAGAGTGATATCTCATAATTTCGTTTTTTTACTATGGATACTGATTTGCTGTACTTGGCTCCTTATGTTTAGTAGGCGTTGGCTGAGGCAATTTAAGGTGCCATATTGCGTGTTTTTCTCTCTGTATATGCATTTATCTTGTCTACTTAGGCTTATATGGGTAGGTGCACAGCAGTCAAATATTGATGGTGAAACTTTTCATTGAAGTTAAGATGATGTATGAAAACTACTTGTCAAATTTTTTCAAGTGCCTAACAATTGGTCCCATCGGCACAATCTTGTATATGCTGGCAGCATTTAGTACTTGTATGCATCGATCTATGTTGCAACATTGCACTGTGCATTAATTTAGCAGCAGAGAACTTCATTGTACTCTATGATGGCTTAGATTCTTAAATTGTTTCCTGAAATATTTTTTCTTGATGGCTGAACAGAGAGGTTGACAGGATAAGTGTGGTTGCACTCTGGCACAACAGCAGAGTTGAAATTGGACCTCGATTATTGTCTGTTGGAAAAACTATTTATCATTGGCAAGGGAAACAGAACCACAGACATTTCCGAGGCTGTAGGGTTTTTTTTTTTTAGTTGCACCTTAATGTCTCAATGACAAAACATAAGTATGATTTGGGCATCCACCAGAACAGAGCTTTTGTATTGCTCTCAATAACTCCTGTTGAACAAATTGTTTCTTAAGGTGCATGCTGCTTTTTAAGCATGCAAAAAAGCTCATGGGGGCAATGTATAGATGATGGGTTGGTTGTAGAGCTTCAGATGCAAGGGGGTACAGATGCGAGAAGTGCCCCACAACTAGTGCTAGCGTGTGCGGCTGGCTTGAGACCATAGAGCAGACAAAATGAAATTCTACGTGTGGGGTTACTGCTGCGACCTTGGGCCCACACACACGTTGTCTGGAGGGCCAGCGCTTGAACTAGTTAGTGCTCCGGGTGGAAGGAAGCATTCCGTAATTCCAGGGTACGATACATCAAACTTTGAGCTAGTCACTTGTCTCCGATGAGGAGAAGCTACCTAGGGTATTGCAATTGAAAAGGATGGACGCGTTCTTTTTCTTGTCCACGCGGGTGTTCTCTACTGTGTGTTTGTGCACGTCTTAACTTTTTTTTTTTCCTGCTGCCCCCCTCTGCCTTATGGTACAGTCGCGTATATTTTTCTCTGCTCCTTCCTTGTAATATACATTCCCTGCTGCTCGTTCACCTGTTTGTTGAGAAGAATAAACAGTTTATAAGCATTCCGGCTGCACCACCGATTTTTGCCTGTTACGGAAGTTGTTTAAACTGCTTTTCACATTTTACACATTAGCAGTGAGTGAGTTGGAGAACTCTCGTTATATGTTTATTTCAAAGAAATGCTCCCTCAGAACCCAAAATACTGGCTTCTCAATAATTTATTTATTTATTTATTTATTTATTCCCCTCGGGGCTTACGAGAAGCGTTACAGAGGGGAGGGGTTACATCAATAGTGGATTATAAGGCACATAAAAAACGGAGAACTCAAAGAAATAAACCAACAGCAAAAAGGCATGAGCCACAACACGCATGTTACGGTGCAATAATATGTATAAGGTAAATGTGATCAAAAACTGAAAAACACACTGCTTAAAACAATACCAAGTATAAGGCGAAAACAACTGAAAACCACACTGCTAAGAAGCAATATGAATAAACAATACAAATATAAAGGGAACATAGGCAAGAACTCAAAACTAGATCGCAGTGGAAAAATTAAGAGTTGACTTTAGCACACGCACCTTCATGTCACCAGCACAAAGGAAGAAAAGATAAGCAGGTAAGGCATAGGGGTGTACGTTCTAGGTAAGGTTTGTAAGTGCACCGCGAAAAAGATGAATGTCTGCGAAAGTCACCAATGAGGCAGGCAGGGGATTCCAATCAGCGCACATCTTCTGAAGAAATGAGTTACTGTATGTTGTAGTACGCTGAAATGGAATGTGAACTTTATGATGGTGGTCAACACGAGCAGAAGTAAAGGAAGGGGATGCAATGAAACGGGATCGAAGAATTCTAAAGTGAAATTCTTTGAGAAGAAGGTGTCAAAACCTGGGTTTAAGCCTTTGCACTCGTAAGAAGTTCTAGTTCTTTTCTGCCACTCCACAGCAAGTGCCACAGGTTAACTTTTCGTGCTACAAAATGATTCAATACACAGCTTCTTCCACTGTTTTCTAGATGGCGCTAGGGGTTTTCGCTTACGCACGGACACTGCAAAAAATCGAGGACATTTTACATATCGGCTGTAAAAGCGGCACTCGTGTGACTGCCTCCTGACAGCTTTGGAGTAATGCCGGAAGAGAGTGCTATGGAAGATGCACACTAGTGGATTGTGTGGTGGGCCGAAGTAGTACGCGACTGCTTGGGAGGCTAGACAGGCACAAAATGGAGCAGGAGTCGTCAGATTCTGATAAAACATACGTTGGCACCTAGTATTTCGCCTTTGAGTCACCTTAGCGATAGCATAGGAGACTCGCTGTATGACATTTGCCCACTATTAAAAAAACGCACACAAAAGAGTGAAGAACAAAACGACATGGGCGGCACTTATATTTCGCTATTTTAGGGGAGTGCTACAGTAAGCAGTATCAACTAGGCCTAGATGGAATTCTGCTCAAGCCAAAGAGACCTTAAGTACTTTTCCTAGCATTCCTTTCCCTTATAACGTGCACACCTTTCCTGCCCTCATCTCTGTGCCTTGTGCTACTTTTTCTTCGCTGACAGAGTGATAAGTTTTGATGCAGTGGAATGCAGAACTTCTGTACGAGACGGAAGCTTGAAGATGACAAATCCTTAATCAAAGGGTGTCACTGGAGCCAATGCTTGGGCAGCTAGTCTTGTATATTCAAAGCCTATCTTAACGTGTGCACGTGTATGCTTTGTACACCATACCCCTACCCACAACCTCCCTCTACCATTGTGGCCAGGGGAGACTGTACGAAGCATATGCAGATACGCCAGCTATGGTAGCCGGTTGCTGCTCTCAAGACAAGACTACTTATTGCAACGCTAGCTGCAGTACAACGTGGGACTGGCAGTTGTAATCGTAATGATCAAGGAGGTGTTTAACGAAAAAGAAAGTATGGTACGCCCTGTTCGTGAAGTTCCCGCTGCTTTCGATGATAGCAGTAAGGTAAGCACTTATGGTCTACCTGTCATTAATAAACTCTTGTTAAAGCAGTCTCAAATCTTGGTGCAACAGTTTGCTATGCTTTATTGACTTGCTGCTCATTAGTGTAGTTGAGATATGCATTGTCTGGAGAGCATTTCGTCATGCTGCTTCACCATCAAATGTAGTCACGTAGCAGTAATGCATAGGACAAAGTTTTATCCCTAGACTGACGCTCGGGAAATTTCCAGATTACAAAAAAATCCCTTGAGAAATTTTAAGCTCATTATTCTGTCTAATTAACGGTTAACTATATATTAAGATAACGTGCTCTGTGGCCAAGTTGTTCTGAATTTTGTTGAAAGTAGAAACAGCCGTATTAACCGCCTTTATTGTCTTCTTTTCTACATGTTCTGTGGATGCATGGTGTAACTGTTGTTTTAGCGCACGAAGAGACACAAATGAACACAGAAGTGCTACATGACGAGGACTTTGCCTTTCTAGATTATGATTCTGGATAATCTTTCTGCTTTTGTTTTCTGACTGTTGTGTTGTCACGGTTGTCCTTCTTGTCTTCCCACCCATGCATTGATCTCTGTTTCGTTTCGTTCAGCATTTATATTCTTCTTTTTTCAATAAATCTTCTAGTTGTGGGTCCTCTGTTCCTTTGTGTCTCTTCATGCGCTAAAGCCGCAGTTACGTCATGCATTTCAAGTGCCGATTCTGCTGATATGTTCTGTGGAGTTGCATATAAGTGTGTGTTGATGACATCAGTTGCCACAGAAACAGATTTTTACATAAAAGTCACTTTGCACATGCATTAAGGCATAGATGCAACCATTCCTTTTTTTAGCTGCAACTTTGGTCCGTTCCTAATTTTCCACATTTGTGATCACTGTTGCGTTATTTTAGCAGATGTATGGGGGCCCTCTTTTACTGGCTGATAGCTACTCATTTCCTCGATACTTTCAATCAGCTCCTCGTTTGACCAAATATTTTCGTCACCTTTGTGCCCTCATGTATTTGGCACAACGGAAACACTGAGAACACCTGAACAAGTCTTCTCGTCTCTTTTCATCTCGCTGACGTTTCCGCAATATTGAAGCCGTACCGCCTTACCCAATCGTAGTTTGGCTCTGTTCCTCTCTAAGCCTCCTGGCTAAGGTAATTCACATGAAGACACTGCTCGGCGAAGGCACGCAGCCCCTGTAAACACCAGCTTATGTGCACTACAAGACAAAATTTGTTTTTTTCGCAGAGCAGCAATCACTTAAGGTGCTCAAGATATGCGGGCGTATGCTTAACATTTACAACAACAGAGTATGATTCCCCAGTATTCAGCATATAATAATATCGCGTTACAGAGCTGCTACCCCCTAAGGCTGTCTTGAATAGAAAAAACATGAGATAGCCAAAATTATTGGTTTTTACAGCCTTTTTAGCAAAAAGAGCGTGATGTCACGCCTTTATGAGGCCACGTAATGTGATAATTCCAGTGCCTTACAAAAACCCTTAGATTCAAGCGACATTGGCTGAGAGGTAACGGGTTGATTTCGTAACTGCGATGTCCCTGGTTCAAATCCCGCAGTTGGCTTTGTTTCGAACTGGATTTTTTTATTTTCTATTTTTTTGATGTTCCACTCTGTGGCCACTTGGCGGTATGAAAACCTTGGGCTTCAAGGTCCCATGCCGCCAAGTTGCCGCTAGGTGGAGTGTGTCAAAATTTCTGAAGAAAAAAAAAATGTTTTGTTGGAAATGATCTTGAAGTGGGAATGGAACCTCTGACGTTCCGGTTACGAAACGAAGACTTAACTTCTCAGCTAATGTCGCGCCACAATTTCCAGCCTGCAAAATTAGGCTCAGGATCTTCGTCTTTTAGATTTTTCGAAACTGTTCATGGCATACGACCTTAAAAAAAAACTCGAAAAAGTTCGCCTGAATCGGCAAATCGATGCAGCTATAGTAACACCGACATAGAAGCGAGCGATGTAATTTCAACTAAGGGCTAAAATAACACACAGCACTAGCCGTGTCTTTGTTTCATAAACGGAAGGTCACAGGTTCGAATCCCACTGATGAAAACGATGGCGGGATTCGAACACGCGACTAGGGCTGTGCGTTATTTTAGTCCATAGTTAAAATTAAACAGCTCGTTTCCACGTAAGAGCCACTATAGTTGCTGTGGATGCGCCTGAGCAAGGTGCATCAAAGAATGACGTTTATTCAGGAAAGTGGTCGTTAAATACATGGTATAAAGAGGGCGGTTCCTGGCCGGCTAAGTGCGTGTGCACGATTGTGCACTACGTCACATGACATCTCCCATTTTCTCCTTTTTTTTATAGAAGAGAAGTGTTAGAACTATGGTTCTGGGTATCTTCGTGGTGGTTGACGTTTTCATTGGCTCCGGAGGAGTTCTGTAGAGATCGGACGGGACAGAGGTACCGTTGTCTGGAATCGTCGACAGTGGTGTCACGTGGTTTTCAGGCAGAACAGGAGTCAGCGTGATGTGTTCTCGTGTATGCTGAAGCTGTCGCACGTCCTCGGTTGCAACCATGTACGCTCGAGGGGTCTCAGCCGATTGTATGACCGTGACCGGGGACCGCGTCCCCGACTGCGTGTTGTACATTGCTGCGGTCGAGCCAGTGCACAGCTCTGGAACGGGACGCGTGCCTCTGTTGTAGAACTTTCGTTGTTTCCGCCTGATGTCTTATGGCGCAGTTCAGGGCACATATCGTGTTCTTGAGTAGGATCAGACGTCCCGCACTTGGAGCATGCGTTGGCGTTCGGGGTCGGGCACACATCGGTTCGGTGTCCGGTTGACCGACAAATCTTGCAATAGGCTTGTATGGGTAACAGATCGCCTCCGCCCCGATGAAATGGACGCACCTGGGGAGCACTTTACCCGTAAAAGTTATTAATTACTGACTTCGAAGAGCCTAGCATCTTGGCTCTCTCTATCTTCACCCCTTGTGTCCGTATTCGTAGGTTTGCCATCAGGTCGGCCTGAGTGGTTCCGGGTGGTAGTCCGTTGTGATGAGCGAAGAAAACGACAACGACGGAAGTGCGGGGCAAGGCGCGTTTAATGTGCGCGTGACTGTCAGCGAATCAGCTGATGACCA